CTTGATTACACCCTGTTAGGTGCCGATCAAGCCACAGACTTGGAGGTCCAAGCTGTCCGGATGGTGGACACAACACTCTGGTTTGCTGATCTTAAGGTGGATGGTGTGAGCGTCACACCACTGTGTAACATCTCCATGAGCCAGCTGTGGCCAATCATTCGGGCCGACGGAAGTCTCAGTGGTTGGTGGCAAGCAAGTTTGTGTGGCGTGACTTCAAGAAGGATGTCTGGGATTGGAAGGCAGCTTGTGTTGCATGCCAGAGGACCCCATCGGCTCCATTTGTTGTGCTTGCCCAGCGTTTTGAGCATGTTAATGTTGACATTGTTGGGCCCCTTTTCTGATTCCATGGCCTCATGCATCTGGTCACCGTAGACAGGATGACAAGGTGGCCATTTGACAACCACTTCCACCACTAACGTGACCAGAGTCTTTATCCGCTCCTGGGTGGCCCAGTTTTGCACACCTTCTGACATCACCTCTGACTGGAGTGTGCAGTTCACCTCGGAATTGCGCACTGAGGTGGCGCTGAACCTGCTGCATCGCATTACCACTTACCACCCCCAGGCCAACAGCCTCTGCAAGCGATTCCCCCAATTGCTGAAATCAGGCGTTAAAGTGACAGTGACCAATGACTGCAGACTCGACTGTTTGCCGTGGGTGCTGTTGGAGCTGAGGACAGCCCCCAAGGAAGACTTACAGGCCTCATCTGATGGACCGGTGCGTGGCCAGATGCTCCGGGTCTCAGGGGTCACTACCTACCTTCGCATCTCAGCCGCGTTCTATCCTGCTGGACAAGGCCACTGCATTGAAGCCTGGGCCACAAGTCATCACGGCTCATCCAGTCCTGGATTCCATCTTCCCTGCAGCTGGCGAAATATGTAACCGGGACCCACTGAAGCCACCGTATGATAGGCTGGTGCAGGTCCTGGAATTAAAGAACAACACGTCTCTGTAAACCAGCTCAAACCAGCACACAGGGACCTAATTCAGCATTTCACCCCCACCGATACCGCTTGTAGGTGCCGGCTCCCCACCCACCAGGTCACGGCGCCGGGGGTGGTTCCCAGGTGGCCTCTGATCGCAGCCTCACAGGTACGAACGCGGGCGGGTCGAGTAATGCGGACTCCGCCCAAGCTGTCAATGCCTATGCTGGTGAATTCTGGGGGGGAGGGGCTTGGGGGCTGGGTTGGCAGTGGACTATACCACATAATGTGAAGACGTGGAATTCACTCAACATCATTTGCCAATGACGTGTGCTGTTGCAACAGTAATTTGCTGAGTTTTTCTGAGTGCAAAATTTCACTGTTTTATAAAGCGACCATCAAGAAGTACATTTCTTTGCTCAGAAACCCCATAGCTGCTTTCAAAATGTATAACATTTCATCTAAGCTGAAGAAACACTTTTCTTTCAGCTGTGAACAATGTTTGCCTTTGTTTTATTTAGCATTTATTTTTATTTGTTTGATACAGTATCAGCAGAAATGTCTTACTATAAAAAAAAAAATGAAGACAGCCATGTTCAAGGGGCTTACAGTTTAATATTTAGCTGACATAATTCACCAAAAAGGTGTCTTGGTGGATAATGGAAACAAGACCTCTGTATATAATGTTTTTTGAGAAATGTCATTTTCCTAGATGTTTCACATGAAAAATCCATTTAAGTAGGCCGTGAATGTGAGTAACAGGCAGAGTGATCTGCTCCATCGAGGAGGGAGTGATCTTAGCTGACCTCCGCGTTTCCTAGTTACCTTTGGCCCCAATCATTTTGGATAAAACAGCCCTCACTCCTCAGGAAAGGGACAGAAAGGGAGTACAGTTCATGCCGTGCATAAAGAAACACTGTCCTTCAGTGACTGTTTGAAAAAAAAAATAGGCAAGGTCACGTGTGCCACTCGATTCGTACATGAGAGACTGTTTAAAATGGCTTCGAAGATTTGATTTAGCTGAGCATTTGTGCTCCCAAAATGGCAATTTCCGTTTGTAGGTTAACAAGTTCACGACTAGGACACACCCATGTGTGCGGAGATACTGCGTGTATGCTGAAACGATTCTCACCCTCAGGGAGCTTCGTCCAGAGACTTACTCTGTTTTTATTCGGAAATTATCTGTTACTGACATCCTTATTCCTCTGGCTGAAAGTCAACACTGGCTCCAAAAGATCTCTCAAAAAGAATCCTATGAATAACTGTATTTATTAGCCATCTAATAATAATATCTACAGCACCATAAGCATAATCTTCAAATGAACTTTACAGTGCTACTGTGGTATCTTCTAACAACTGTCTGTATTCACATGATTACTGATATTTCAGGAAAGACTTATTCCAACATTCTCTATCTGTAATGTATGTGTTTTTCTGGCAGGTTCATCATTACATTCAACCACATATGTTTAATACACTAATAAACTCTTTAAGGTTGTAATTGATGTGCATTCAGTCTCTCTCTCTCTCTCTCTCTCTCTCTACTCCCATTTATCTGTGAACTGTTTTCAATACTATTTTTTTAATGACAATTAAAATGACAAAGTGTCTGTCAGACTTGCTTGAACAAATAAAAAACATGCAGTGTAGGAACGTTAGCTTTCTGGTATTTTGTTAGTGTCTGTGTGCATTACATTACAGCCACGTTTCCAAACCAATCATATCACAGTGAGACATTTTTTGTGAGCTTTGCTGAAAATGACTCATCCTTATAAAAAGCACAGTTGCCAAACCTCAAACTTGTGTTTTCATAAACACTGCGGAAAACAAATCTCCCAACAGATTGTCGCCATCCTGCACCCTTTTAAAATGAATCTCAGGTGGATTTTTTTTTCAGTTCTGTCATATCACAGTGTCAGGGCTTATTCAGCTAGTTAATGATACATGTAGCGAAATTCTCTGGATACCTGTACTATTTGATTATGTGTTTTGGAACAGCACATCACTGAATGAAAATTATAGATATGAAATGATCTGGCGTGTGCTGTCATTGTTCAGATCTTACTAAATTGCTTTAATATGGAGTCTTTCTGGGTACAGTCTTGATTCATGCAGTGGTGGCTTGATGGTTAGGGTAGCGCACTTGTAATTGAAAGATTGCAGGTTCGAATCCCCCACCAGCAAGTCACCACTGAGGTACCCTGAGCAAGGTACCGTCCCCAAGCACTGCTCCCCGGGCACTGAATTAGCTGCCCCCTGCTATGTCACGAAAGTCACATATGGGTCAAATGCTGAGGACACATTTCGTTGTTGCGCACTGTGTGCTGTGGTGTGTTGACAATGATCACTTAATTCTAATTCTTTTCTTAGAAGGTTCAACATCCAGATGTTGCCAGAAGTCATGTGGTAAAGATGAAATGGTAATCAATGTAAAAGTGAAACCAAACAAGCCAAAATCTCCCAGCAAATAGACACCAATGAGTTATTGTACTTTGCTGTTAAATTCTGGCATACAGATACCAGCTCTGATGTCAAAATTATGTGAAGCAAATGGGCAAATGTAAGTTTAGCTTGTGGTTTAACCTTTGGCTTTGAAAATAAAATTTTATAGTGAGGGCTGTTTATTTTTCTATTCTGCTTCCTCACAATAGAATTACGACACAAAGATGAGCCTGTGTTAATCATATTATCTGTCTAAAGCCCCTAATTATTCCTCACGTGATCCACTGATCTAATCAAAGCCAGCTTTGAGCAGTAAAATTTCCCTGTAGGGAATCAACTGGAACCTCTGGTGTTGTTTTAAGGGCTGTGGATCAATCCAGACCTTTTCCATAAAAGAAAATACATACAGTACTTGGATTAAAAGTTTGATGTCTGTAATGATACAAATGTGTGCATGTTTTTTTTTCACCAAGGCTTAATTATAGCAAAACCTGCAGTATCTGAACTGTCATGCTCCACAAAATCTGTGTCTGTAAGGATTCATACAAAACGGTTGCCCTGTGACTTGTCACTGTTTCTAACTGGTTACCTGCAACCACAGAACAGGTTTGTAAATGTTTCTGTTCAGAAAGTGCTGAATGCACATACCAGTGTATCTGAGGGATATTCTGTTGACACCTCGTCGCGCTTTGCATAATTTTATCCCCAGATAAAAAAAGAAAACACATATGCTTCCGACTTTCAGTTACTTTCATACTTAATAATTTACCTCACTATGTCTCAGAGACCAACCTTTAATACAACTTTGTGTGCTTTGTATGCTCTTGAAGTGACATCCTTAGACTGAGTGGCAGGCCTCCCCTCAAGGAACAGTGGGGAAAACCCTCAGTGGCGCAGTTTCGGAAAGTGTTCCAGTTTTTTCCCTGCTGAAATAACCTGCTTCGTGGCTTCCAGCAGCCTGCTTTGCCATGTGCAATCAGATTGCATGTCATGACAGTCGTTTCACCTTAGATACCACTCTGTGTGTGTGTGTGTGTGTGTGTGTGTGTGTGTGTGTGTGTGTGTGTGAGAGAGAGAGAGAGAGAGAGCGAGAGATCTAATTAATTACTTAATGTAAAATAATACAATATATAAAAATCGCGTATGCATTTTATTGCATGCTATAGGTATGCAATTAAAAGTATGCCCCTTATGATAACCTGCGTAAATAAGCGTATCCCATGAATGTTTATGTTGCTGTTTATAGGACCCACGGGCTTGCGGTGTCGCATCCCCTGGACCGGCTCCACTGCGCCACTCGGACCTGGATGACTCACCCACCTGATAGCCTGTCATTCAGAGGGGATAAGTGGAGCATCAACCTGGGGGGGAGGGGGTGGAGGGGGGCGCAGATAGGAACAGCCCCTCTAGAGCTAGGCAGTTCGTTCGCACCCGGGCTTTAACCCGCCCCCGACCGACCGCCTGCCTCACGTAAGAAAAAAGAAAAAAGGATGGAACGATGCCCTGTTTTTGACAGCTAAGCCGGTCAGCCAGTGGTGTGTGGCTCTGCTTGGGGGGTGGGGGCGGTATAGGGAAGTCCGAGCCCGCTTCGGGGGAGGCGGGGTGGTAATTAATGAAGGGCAGGAGGGGCGGGTGATGCGCTGAGGAGGGGAGCTCCGGCGCGTTCAGGCGCAGCGCTCACCGTCAGCCGAGGCGGCGGCTCCAGGCAGCGGCTGGCCGAGCGCTCCGCCCAGGTAAGGGGGACTCAACGCGCTCCCGGGCACCGCCGCTGTTCACCATCTTTCTATCGTTTATCCGGTAGGTTTGTGTTAAGATAAAATGGGGAGAATGCAGTGCACATGCATGTAAGATGGGGGCTAAAATGGGGGCCAGCGAGGGTAAGGGGAGCGAAGCCGCCGGCGCGGGAAGCTCCTTCCCCGTGGAGCTGGGCGAAGCGCTGGCCGATCGCAGTCCCGGAGCTGCCCTCCTGGGTTAAGCTTGCGGGGGGCAACCGGGCTCCGTGTTAACCCGTTAACCAAACTACCCGACAGCGTCATTACTTTAACGTCCACTATTTTTAGCAGCTTTTTCGTTCGTCCACGCAGCCAATCCGCGGTCTGCGCCGGACGTTCGCCGGAACCTGCCGAGCCAAACCTTCGCGTGTGTGGCGGCCGCCGGGCAGCGGGACCGCGGCGGATCGCTTTGGTTATTATGCCTGACTCAGGTCACTGCAGCTGGTAAAGCTGGGCGATGGTTAAAGATGACCAGGCTCTGCTATCCCGGGCCTGCCGGCCGTTAATGATAAACCGGCCAAGCTGTAGGACACTTACGGTCATAAAGAGGCAGGCATGGCCGTTGCCCTTTATCGTGGCAAATATCCGATAAGCTGCTGTAATGCACGGCTGCAGTCATAAAAATGCATGCACATATCAGCCGGACAGTGTTTGCATGTGTATCCTATTGCAGTCGCACGTTTTATATTGGGTAAAGTAGTTACACGCACATATTGCTGCACACGGAAAAACATAAAGGCATGCTTGGCTTTGCAGTGTATTCTTCCTTCTGACTTGTGAAATAACGAAAACAAAGCGGCGCATTGTTTTTTTTATTTTGCGTTTGATAAACCAGTAAAATGCATGGTTGCAGTAATGAAACGGCACGCATCACTTGCATAGAGAGTGTTTGCATGCAGTTTGATATGCCGCCCGCGCGAAGAAACCACGAAAAAATATATGCATCAGGACTGTTTAATCTGTTTTCTTGTGTATAAACTATACCGGTGTCCCAGCTTGAATGCTCCTGTGGCCTCGCACGCATTAAAGCATGCAGCAGAATTGTAATGTTAAAATTATGGTAGGGTGATGATAGCGGGATCGGGTCAATATAATAATAATGGCTATTATCATCATTATTATTATTATTTGTGTGTTTTTTTGGGACATTGATTTGCATGAATGAGTTTGGAAAATGCAGATGTGACCCGTTTCACACCTGTTTGTGCAGAGTCTGATTCTCTGTAATGTTTACGACGTGCTGGGAAATGCAAACACGGGATGAATTTATTTTGAAAATGCTGTTTGGTGCAGCCTTTAAGGTACGTTTTAAGAGCGCCGTGCCGCTTTTTACTGACCCCCAGCGTCTCCTTCGGACGGCGGAGGCTCATTAACTCCAACGAGGCCAATTGTGAAATTAAAAAAAGGAAAGTAGTTAAAAAAAGGTCAGTGCGATTTTATAGAGGAACCGGTGTTTAATAAGTGTGTCTCCCTACCAGAGGCGGGAATAGTGATCTCACTGTTATTACGGGCATCTGTGCAGCCCTCCCTATAGCAGGTGTTTTAAAATCTAACTTTACATTAGTCACATTGCGGGAATATGTTGATCCTCACCTGTGTTGAGCTGGCTGTGCGCTCGGGGATCCGTTTCTATCACAACTTTATATAGCGTTTCATAACCGGGGTTAGAAAAGACCCTAACACCCCTTCCCCGTTCTGCATATATATATATATTTAGCAGGAGAAATGTGAGGAGTAATGCAATAATGTAATAGTTGTCATCTGTTATCAGCGATTACATAAGATCAGACAGGTGGTTTTTCATGTTGCTATTTGTCCTTTGCAGTTTCCGTGTATTAAATTGGAACTTAACAGCATGTAGTGTGTGTGTGTGTGTGTGTGTGTGTGTTTGTGTGTGTGTGTGTAAATCGCCTTTAATTTACATTAACAAAGTAAGGAAAACAGCCAGTGATCAAAAATGTCATTTCTAAAGAGTAACTAAAACCAGCATAACCCGCTGTTTCCGTTTAACATTAGTAAGTTTTCTTGTAGTGCATGATAATTAAATAGGATGTTGGAAGTCACTTTAGCTGTCAGTCACGCTGGTTATCTTTCCCACCCAGAGGAGAGCCTCAGTGGGCGAACACTCGCGCATGGATACTGTCATTTGTGACTGATTCATTCATAGCATAAATAAACTGTGTGCAATTGACCAAAGCCTCCATATCTGACTAAGAACATTTAGTGCTTCTCACGCTTTTGTGATCTCAGTTGAAACGTTATCTTCCTTTTCAGATAATGCTTCTTTTGAATGTGAAACACCTACAGCATACCGGATTGCGTTTAACAGTTGCTGATGAAAGTAGAACTTGTTTACGACCCCCCCCCCCCCCCAAGACAGTGTGAAGGGCTCATTAGTTTGAGATTTAACTGGCGTGCAGAGCACTAATATCCAGCTGAAAATACAAGCATATTTATTTATAAACAGCCTGTCTTAACTTGTTTGGCGCTCACTTTTCTGAAGACTTTCATTTACTGCTAAGGTCCAGACTGGCTTTGTTTTTAAAAATCCCAAGTTGTCGTCTTTCAGCCGATGCTGCTTTGGTTGTTTATCGCGTAGCAGCACGTGGACGTTGTGCTGAAGGGCCTTGAGGCGTGAATGTCCTCCCCGATAGCCCAAGGCCCTTGGTGGAAAGGCGTATGTCGGTTGAAGACTTTGTTCCCTTGGTGGGTTTGGACCTGTAGCCTTTGATGGACTGGAATCCACTGACGGCACCAGTGCCTCCTGTCACGTGCTGCACCAGCTGCTGTCCTCCATATTAATCAGGATAAATGAAAACCCTGCAATCTGCCTGTGGTCATAGACCATGAAATCCCTTTGAATGTGACGTTAATCTTCCCTCTCCTCCTAGCACCCATATATATCGGCGTTGCAGTTTCGTTCATTTGGAAAGTTTCGGCACTGCCCATTAGTGACTGCTGTAATGTGATCTTCGGTCTTTTAATTCTGGGGACACCTTTAATGGAAATCTCTTGCACGGTCTCTTTGGCAGAAGACAAGCGCATGTTTTCTCTGGAGAATGTATTAACCGGCTGTTCATGGTGCCCAGTTCAGGGAAAGATCTGACTTTTAGAAGCTGTTTCTTCCCTGGGAACGCAAAAGTTGATATTTGATTGTGTTTGTTTTTCTCTTCTTTTGTTAGGGAAGAAAGAGATGCTTTTTGTTTCCAAAATTAACTCATGTTGAACTGGTGAGTTACCTTGGCCTTCTGTTTAAATGTTCCTGTGTGTGTGTCTGTGCACGTCTGTCTTTTATCAAACATGGCATTGTAGAAAACAGTGAATGTTAGCGTAATGTATAATGCTCACATGCACCAAACAAATAGTGTGGGCATTATGTATGTACTCCATATTTAAAAAGCTATCAAATGCAGTTTATGTCAAGTGTCCTTAGGTGTACTTGATATGTTTACACTGTAATATGTCTGTGAAACTGAAATTTCATTATGCTGTGCTTCACATCTCATTTATTTAAAAATAGGCCTTGTCCCAACAGATTTTTTAATTGAATGAAATGTTTTTTTTCTGTTTGTTTCTTTTTCTTTTTTTTTTTTTTTTTACTTCTGAGACAGATGAGATTAATATCCAAGTCTTATGAGAATTTTCAGCTGACCACACTTGGCAAGTTTTATGCAAAACCTTTCAATAGTCTTTTTATCTTTGCTCACAGTGTTTGGGATGGAAAATAAGGTGTCTGCAAATCTGTGGCATAAAGGCTGCTTTAAGTTAGGCTATTAGCTAGCAGAAACTTTTTCAAATAAACAGCTAAATGGCGTAATCGCGTCGTAGACCTTTATTGTTATGATGTATACTCGGGTAAATGCCTACAGATTAAATTTTTCTGCATTTTAGAAGATATCCCAATATATGCAATGTGAATATTCCAATACAGATTTGGTTTAAGAATACATAAGAATGTGAAACTGCAATGTTGCCAGTATCCCAGTGCTCCCCCGAACAGCATTTCCTTCGCAGATGGTCTAACATGCGCAGTAGGTATTGGGGTTGAGGCTTGTTGTGCTGCAGCTGATTGTTGAACGGATCCAGTGACTTTATTGGGGTGGAGCCTGTGGGCTCTGGTTGCTTAGAGTGGGTCAGCATGAGGACTAAGGCTCCATCAGTGGGGGTGTGAAGGCGAACGCCCCCCCCCGGCAGGGCCCAGGGGGGTGCAGTGTGTGCTGGAGTAATACGCACTGTGTGGCAGTGTAGCGCTTGCTGTCTTGTGGCCTCCACATCCCGCACTGCTGGGATGGACTGCTTCTTACCACTGACCCATTTTCCTGTCCCCGGAATTGTAAACGCTACCCGTTATCCTGGGGGTGATGGAACCCAATGGGAGCTGGTTTGTGTCTCGGAGTGTGATGGGATCTCGACCCACCCTCCCACCTATGACGATCGGCCATGGCTTACCCAAGCCGACCCGGAGCGTGGCCCGTTTGGCACGGCTGCTGCTGTGGCGGCTTTTCTGGCGGCTGCCAGTGTGACGCTGTTCCTTAGAATGCTGGGAAGCCAGTACCTCAGTCCAGCACAGCACCGGGTCCACAGTGCGCAGATCTGCTGGCTTCCCGATTAGAAGGAGAGTGCTTTAATTATACCGTGGGTGCTTTGTGCTTATTAGGATGTACAAGACAGAATAATCCTCGCACTTTTCTTGGACTACACGTGTAGGCTAAAAATACACGGGGGCTGTGGAAAGAAAAGCTATTATCTGCCCTTTCTAATTTCATCCCCCCCACAGGAAACGGATCGCTCTGCTCGCGCTCACCAAGCCCATGCCGCAAACCACTAAAGGGGGCCGCGCTTGTGAATGTAATTTACACTCCCCAATTAAACTGTCGACCTCTGCCCCGTAGTATAGGAAGTGACTTTCTTCGTGTTTTTTTTTTTTTTTTTTTTTTTTTTTTCTTGGCGTAACGTTTATGAGCTTGCATTATGATCCGCAGTGTCACCGTCGTCGCGTGACGACGATTTTGCGCTGAATCAGGATCGGGATTCTTCGTTGTCGTTGCGCGATTGTATCTACGATGAAAAACTTGTTCGGCTCAGCTCAAACGGCAGCACCGGTAAACGACAATAAAGACGTGTGTCGAAGGATAGGGAACGGTAAATGACACAAGGCTAGGATCTATGATGAATGTTTGAGAGCATAGGGTGGTCACCTTATGGATTAATAGGTCAGATTGTTTGCGTGTGCCTGAATATGTCTCTAAGCAGTTTGGTTTAGTGACCAGACCAGGCATTTCCACCCCAGAGGGTTAATTTGCTCTCGGCACAAAGAAACGCATGACTTCTTGCTGGGATCAGATGACTTAATTTGAATTCAGAATGCTGCCCCCCCCCGATTTGTTTTTGTTTTTGTTTATATTTTACATTCTGTAGAAATAACATATTTAATCAATGAAAAACCACAATAAGCTAGTTGGTAAGTGTTACCTTCTGAGCTTCGTCAGTGTTTAATCTGGGGGAGTTTGCTGTCCCGGGAGCGGAGGAGAATGTCAGCAAACCACGTTCGGTGAATCCGAAGCAGACCGTCCCCACGTATGACCGTGGTCATTTGGCGGATGTCCTCCAGGCGCTGACTTGCGTGTCGCGAGAGTCATTACGGCCGTAATTATTCGCTGACCGTCAGATGGAGTGCCTTGTTTGCGAAAGGCGTAACGGTGACCGGCGCAAAAATATGAGCTTGCTAAAGCGGATAAGAAAAGATGGTTGGGGGGGAGGCAAACAGAGGCAGCTCACAGTTATGCTGTTGGGGGAGGCTGTTGACTTAGCCTGGCTCTGGGAGGCCTGACTCGACCATATCAAATGCACCACTTTCGATCGCGGTTCACAGGTGTGAACACTGAGGCCAGGGAAAATACCGAACGAACAGCCAGAAGGTCCGCCACGTTCACGGTGGGGAAGGAGCCTGAGCGTCTCCCCGTCCTTCTATTTGCGCTTTTGTAATTAGGCCCTCCGACGGCAGATGGTTTCATACATACATTGTGTCGAGCTGAAATTAGACAGAGACCCCCAGACCTCATTTCCCTGCCGCTCGTGGAGCGCGAGCAGCTTCTCCGTCTCGGTGGGATTCAGCAGGCTCCCGCGGTCACGGAAAGCGGCCTTCCGCTCTCTCGGGCTTCCCGGGATCGCTCCGGCCTCCGGCGCAGATCTGTTTGCGGGGGTGTCACGGTGTGAATAAGCGGGTCCGGGCGCCATAATCCAGTCAGGTGGCTGGAAACACTGTGATTGTGATTTTATTTATTCACAAAGAAATTCTTTTAGACAGATGAATTCAATAAGTTTATAAAACTTTGTGTTAATGTTTTGAAGTCCTTGTAATGTCGTGCGGCATCTGATGGTAACAAACACATTCCCTGGTTTTTGATGAGTTTAGACACTACAACATTTACAGACATTCTTTTTTTGTGAATCAGCTCATGTATTAAGGTCTCTTCATATTTTTAATGGCCATTTTCCCATCTTAATGCACTTAGTGTGATTGTGGTAAGAACTGTCTTTTTTTTCTTTTTCCTTTGGTTGTATTTTCAAATACTTAACCTTCAGATTTAGCCTCATGTCTGTTGTACGTACAGTGCAGTGTCTGATAGATGCCTTATTTCATGCTTATTGAACAGGAAAACAGCTTGAAATGTGTCGTGCAGTGCAGACCTGCTGTATGTGTATATGTGCAGGCCTGCTGTATGTGTATATGTGCAGGCCTGCTGTATGTGTATATGTGCAGGCCTGCTGTATGTGTATATGTGCATGCTGTCCCATTGCCGTATCCTGGGCGTTTTCAGGACGCTCCGCCGAGGCTACTTTTGGCCGGGCCACATTTGACATGTGGAAGCGGCAAATCTCTCAGCACACTGCCCCCACCACAGCTGTCTGACGACACCGGTGCTCATGGTGACGTTTTTGGGGTCACGCTCGCTTGTTTGTTTACATTCCATTTAGCTCGCCAGGAAGATGCACCGCGGCCCTCATGGGTGTGGCGAGAAAATTCTGAACGTTTTTGTTGTTGCTTGTTGTTGTTGTTGAAAAGATGGGACATACTGGTTCTCACTGAGAAGCCTTCCAGATTGAAAACCCCTTGTGGATTTTGGATCGCATCCCTCTTAGCTGCAGTTTTAATCATGGGAATATCTGTGCTGACACTTTGTAGGTACCTCTCGCATCGTAGCCATGGCTAAAACTGCACAAACCAGTCTTGTTTGCAGGCTGGTGTATTGCTTTGTTTCTGTACTCACCTGTTAGCTGCAAAAACATGAAGCCTGTCGATTGCTGGCTGCAGCTGTGCGTTTTGGTGTCTCAGCTTATGGCGTTATGCTTTTCTCGTAATGCGGTCTTGGTTCAGCATGCGGCATATGCTTCAAAGTTGCAATACTTTCCTGGGACAGTAGGTGGCGCATTGCTTTAGGACATTGATTTGTAACCTAACAATTGCAGAGGGCCTCGTGTCCTTGAAGCAAACGCCTTCCCCGATGACATGCCGACTGTGCCGGCTATGAATTAGGCACGGCTGTGACTAAACGTAGATCATTAAACCGTACTGAAATAGAAATAAAGCAAGGGGCTGAATGATGGGATGTTGGCTGCTGTTCTGTGTGTTACACTGCCTTGTCATCCCTGAGGATTAGTCCCGTGACAAAACGCAGCGTAACCAGGGAGTCTGTGTGTTTTACTGTGCATAGCAGGCACCACTGTCCAATGGGCTTTGTTTGTCAAAAGGCGCTGTTTAATGTTGTTTATTGATTATTGTTCTTAGTTTACCAGATCCTCAGCAGATGAAGATTTTTTTTTTTTTCCATTTGTGTGTCTGCCAGACAAATGGTCTCTAAGATACGATTGCAGCATCAGAATATGTTCCTGTCATTAGACGTTAGCGTTCACCCCTCTCCAGGACTGCCCAGTCACCCTCCGACACTTGAGAATTGAAGGATCTTCATTTGCCTTTTGAACATCAGCGCATTGGAATGGGTACTCGTATGTTAGGTGACAATCAGGAGGAGGCATCAAAACAGACACAACTAGGAGCTGCAGAGGTCCTTGTTTTTGTAATAAATATGAAATGGAAGTAATGGCTGAAACAGAAGAATAAACTTTTTGTTTCACAGGCAGCAAAATTCCCAATTTAGCTTTTTCTGAAATTTTATTCCATAGTTTTTTTTTGTTTTTTTTCCCCACATATTCAGCTAATTTTGTGATGAAATGAATGATTTTCGCTGCCGGTACTCCAGCCTTAGTACAGATGGTTCCTCCCGGAACAGAAACGTCACGCTGCAAATGCGGAGGCCGGCCGGCTGCCAGCCGACTCGGGGGAAGTTCCGTCGTGCGTGTGGGTCTGTGATCTGTCAGCCCGTTTCCTGAGGAGGGACTCGGTGCTGAGCTGTCGTCAGATGCTCAGATATGGACTCTTCTGGCCCAGTTGCCGGCCCTGTCCCATTCCTGTCCCCCCCTCCCCTGATCTTTCAGAAACTCAATAAATAGTTACTGAATAGAGTCAGAAGATCGTAACTAGTTCGCAGAACATGCCGATTCAGTATCTCAAAATAAACATATAGGGAAATGTTTATTAAATATATGTGGTTTAGTGACTGTTTGTGGCCAACAGGGGGCCCCAAACCTACAGAGCTCCGTGCAAATGCATGGTTTGAATGGTGGTAAACGCCGCTGTTGTCGGCGTGTTTGGGAGTCCTCCACCTGAGCTGAATTGCCAGCTGTAAATCCCCCTTATCGTGAGGCTGCTGCTCCAGGTCGGTTTGTCTGACCTGGTGCTACTTCAGTACCGCTTAGGTGGGAGAGACTCCAAACTGCTGACAGTGTCCCTGTGCAGCGGGCGTGACGCCCTCGATCCCGCATGGCTGCCCGTCCTCCCGTCTAGACCCACTGATGAAGGTCTGGGTGGGAGCTACCAGCCACTGTCAGGATGCCCCCTACCGATCTCTCTCCATCAGCAGCTCTCGGGACGACAAGTGGAGGGGGGAGTACATTTACATTTGCGCTTTTGTCCAGAGCGACGTACGAGTGAGGCGAATGGCACATTACAAACACAGGAGTGGGAAAGAGACCAGACTGTTAACATTCTGAGACAGACCGAGAAATCTGTTATAATTACGGTCACTCCTCCCGATTCGTGCATTTGATATTGGGAGTTTCAGTTATTCGCGAACTGGCCATGAGCAATTAAACAAACAAGGTTATTTTTGGAGCTTGCCGACAGAATGCAGAAACTCGCAGCCCCTCGTAAGCCAAAAAACGATTCTGAAAATGATTTGGGTCGCATAAATTCGTAAAATATATTAATATTAGTGATGCATGATATATTTAAATCTCATGTTAGCTGTCTTTGTGACCAAGGAAGGACTCTCGTGTTTCTCAGAGTAACTTGCAAAATGGCACTGAAAAGTTTACATCTTTAATTATGAGTCCACAACGTAGTGCTCCCAGTGTGTACAGTAGTAACTGTACATACAGAGGCATAATTTTGATGTTTTGTATATTGTATAAAGATCTAGATAGGAAATGACAAAGTAATTTGACATGCAAAGTGTACAGTACTGTTTGTTTTGAAATTTGTAATAAATAGACTTTTTATGTTTTGCTTGAGGCTAGCAGACTGTTATGGGTTGAGGTTAGGGGGGCCCAGGTATTATTCGAGAACGGATCTGCCGCCAATAACCCTCTCGAATGTGAAGTGGTTACTGTATATTGTTTTTGGTACCTGCTTGTAGTTATCTTCCATTTCTGCACTGTTCAGTTTGTGTCAGTATGTTTCTTACCTACAAACAAAGCTAATAAACATTGAAACAACTGTTCAACTGAATTTTTACTGTACTTTGTCCCAATACATCATGTTTGTCTTACACAATTATACATTTCTACTGACTACCGTCTCTTTGCAAGATGACCAGTAAGATCGTAATTTCGTGACAACTGGCCATTGATATTTTGATTAAGAAGGTTGCGTGTCCTGGGGATTTTGGGGTGGGGGGTGAAGCGGGAGCGTGTTCGGCGTGCGGCTAATGGAAGGTGACGTGTGAGGTTTACAGTGCGGCGGATTTGTTTAGATGTCAGGGATGTCCTGCCGGGCATTTCATTAAAAGCCAGACCTGCTGAGGGGGCGGCTTTGCAGCATGGCAGACGCTTTCTGCTGTTTGAAAGTGTCTTTGTGTGTTTTTGCTAAGCAGATATATTCGTTCACTTTGAGTCAACCGCTTGTCACAGCTAGTCGCGTCATAGCTTGCTTAAAATATGGTTCCATGTAGCCTTGTGCATTAATAACGGTTTATAGTTATGTTGTTGTTAGTATTTTTTATGAGTGCAGCTATATCAGAATGTTTTGCTTTTCACATGCATTGGGGGTTGACGTGTGGCTTGGTGAGTTAGGCTTCTGTGATCGGGAGGTCGCTAGTTTGAATCCCTCTCTTTGTAGAGTAGCTACATCTCAACTGGGCTTTGGCCCCTAACGCCCCCACCTCATCTAATGAGCTTGTGTTCAGACCCCAGTCTTCTCTCTCTCTCTCCTGTAAATCCATTTCCTGTTCTCCACGAGAGAGATGGGTATAGTGAGAGTAAGGATTGGGTTCCGAGCTCAATACCAGCCATTTATCCAGCGACCCTGGAGCACCTATGAGCTTCAGGGCCTCGTTCAAGGGTCCATGTGGCAAGTCCACCGGTTTGATGTGATCGGTCGTCTGAGATTTAATCAATTAACGGCCGATGCAAATGTGCTCCTGGCTGGAATGGAGGCTAGCAGGTTCTGTGCCCTCGGGCGCAAACCATCTCTCTTCTTTATCTCTATCTGTCTTTATCTTTCAGTAATAAAATAACTCCGGTCTTATATAAGTATCTCACGCGCTGTTATTGTCTTTGAGATTAAAAGTAATTTCATTAAAACACGATATTGCTTGTGCAAACCCAGTGTCCCGAGTACTTTAGGACACTGACGAAAATTCTTTGCAAAATTGTGAATCCCCCTGTTCCTGCTTGCTGCAGTTGGCGTTTGTCTAACGAAGCTGGGACCTACGATTTAAATTAAAGTGCACTTCAGAGTTTATTAAGGTTTTAACAAATGGAGAAACTGAGTTGTTGATGTTTTCACCTCAGGAATAGAGTTGAGTGGCCATTAAATTAAGGGTCTTTGTGAAACTTAAGTTTAACTTAAATTTCTCACCTTAAAAATTATGCTAATATTCACTTAAAATAGACACATTAAACTTATTACAAATGTACCTTATTTTATTCCTAACTTTATAAAATTAAAATGTCCACCCAATACAAGAGCAACCTGCATCTTTACATGGAACTGAAAGTCGAAAAACCAGCAGTTGGACAAATATGTAAAAAAAAAAAAAAAAAAAAAAGCTGTGAACCAAAAAGTATTTAATGACAAATATTTGACTGGCCTTCAACAGTCATCTGTCATTGTTTGTCTGTATGATAAGAGTCATGTGTGTTATCTTTACAAATAGACATACTCCCGTAAATCCTGCAATGGTAAGTTGCGTTTGACCAGTATTTGTTCAGTGCCGTGTTCTGTTGGAAGGTAAACTGCTTGTTGCAGAGTAAATTCCAGTTCAGGATGGTACCCGTCTCTCACTGGGGTGGTTTGAGGCTCGCTCAGCGGGTTTGGCCTTTGTGTCAAAACCAAACAGAGTGTTTTCTGCATGGGGCCGTTGCTGTACCAGCTTTCCCAAAAAACATTGGGCTTTGGGTAAAAGTATCTGCTAAATACATTTAATGTAATGGTTTCACCATGTAAACTCACCTGTTTCGTCTTGGGTCCCGGAAATCCTTTGGGTCCTGACCCTATACCCACGTGTAGTCCTGCCATTACCCATTCTGCCTGTTCTGTCTGTGTGTGTGTCAGCACCGGATCGGCTGCTTGCTGTCCTTTCCTTCTTCCCATTGCTTCCAGTCCTGTCTCCAGACACATTTTCCATTTCCCGTTCTTGCAGTCCCATGTTGTTCAGTTCCATCTCCCTCAGACCAAATCCTGCATTTTCCTAAAGACATTCCTGCTAATCACAGTCCAGCCTAAAGCAGGCAAACCACATATTTCATTCAAATATGTTTGTGTACCTTGGACAGTCGGTATCTAAGCAGCTGTGTTTCTCCTCGCAGAACAAAGATCGGCACTGACGTCTGCCTCTCCCAGACTCCTGCCGTCTGCCTCTCCCAGACTCCTGCCGTATGCCCGGTAAGTTCCATAATGTGCCGCGCGTCGGCATAACCGTGATTTGGCAGTGGAGGGCAAACTGTGGCCATGTTTGTAGCACACGTTAATGAAACACGAGCATCCGTGTTTTCCCTGCTATCGAGACGGGGCAGTTTGCTGTCGGATGTGGGGGGGGATTCCCCACAGGGGGTTTCCCGTCAAGGTCATGCGGCCTTCTCTCTCTCGACGGGATTTCCGTGAGCCTTCGGATGTTGCTGTCTCTGTGGATTATGCCTGTCTGAGCAGATTGCGGATGGGATTTTGTGTTGTCCGCGTACGTCGTGGCGGTGTGTGTATATTTAGGGTATACCACTGTGAGCCCTGCCGCTCGTCCGAATGGCCGCCTGTCTCCGCTCTTGCCGTGGCTGGGGGGGCGCAAGCATGCAACCCCCCAATCATGTCTACAGGCCGTGAACATGTGACTGAAGTCTGTTCTGTTCATCTGGCACTTTAGATCCTTAAAAAAATCTAAAAAAATAAGTCCTTAATTGGTATTAAAATGTCTTAAGTCCATCTGTTAAGGGACTTAAAGGCACAAACGTGGAAAATAACATCGATTCGGGTCCATGCATGGAAAGATTTTATTAGCTGCAACCGTTTTGAATTTTTAAATCACATGTTCAATGGAATCTGCATAGATGACCTCCATGGTTAAAATCTGTTAACGATATTTGGTGTACAGGAAGTTCCTCAAACTCGGTGCGACGGGAATCAGAGCTGTGGAGTCTCACCTTGCATATGGGGAACGCAAAGTGCCAGCAACCTAAAGTGACTGGTGTCATTGCATGTTTTTGTTATTGTGTATAATTGGCAATAAGTGTTAAAAGTCTTAAATCTAACATTCCTGAACCTGCAGATGGCTTGTTGTTGTGATGTTGGTGAGATATGACTGGGTAATGATGTTCTGGAGGTACTGTTGTGCTGCATGTGGTCTTCAGCATGCTTGTGTCCAAGGCTCCATGTTTACCACGGCCCTCGTCAACCACCGAAAATACCAGAGCCACCGCCATAATCTACCTTTACTCTTTATTCTGTTCATGAATCTCTGGGGATCGGTGCTGAATTGATCGTAAAAGCTGTTGCTGATCCTACTCACATCTCCATAAAAGTCCTGGTGAGCGATGACATCAGAAAGTTGAACGTACGGCTGAGGATGGTGAGCTTCAGGTGACTGAAGCTTCTGGACCAGAGCGGCATGACCGGAAAATCAGGATCGGCTCCTCTGTGAAATTTGGATGCGGGAACTGATGTTTATATTGGGCAAAGCCGACATGTACTGTGTCAAGGGAAAGATCTCAATCGTAGAAAAACAAACGGAAAGGAGCCGGTGAAAAAATCAGAAGCCGATACCGTTTGGGCCTGGCGTTTGGATGCTTTCTTGCTCTAGTTTCTCTGGGTGACACAAATGATCGTATCATTTTTACTTCTGTTCGGCTCAGTGTAATGACCTTTGTCCATCTGCTGTTATTCATCATGCATTCTGTCCTTTTTGATGAAATTCTCTTTGATCCTTCCATTCCCTCTGCTGTGGTTTAACCCGGGACGGCTCTGATTAAGCTCCGCCCGGCCCCATCGAGGCCTCCGGTGCAGTCCGAGATGGCTGCATGGTCTCGGGGAGACTTTACATCCTCCCTGTCTGTGGAGTTACTCTCTGCCTGGGCCTGCGAGTCTTGGTTTGAAAGGAGCTGAAATAGCCTGTCAAGGAACAAAATGTCACCAGGCAAATTACTGGATGTTAAATATGTTGTTTCTAACCGTGCTGAGCACATGGTGACACATTTCTGCCGAATCCGTATTAAAAATCTCTGTGGCTGCCTGTAGGGATTTGCCATCGAGGGTCGTCTCTCACCTAATCTGTACTTTCTGTGAAAAGCCGACTTTTTTTTTTTTTTCCTTTCAGATCTTTTAAAAATCTTGTTCACTTGTCATAGGATCAGTTTAACCCAGACCGAGATTTTTGTACTGGAGACAGGGGGGTGCGGGGTGTCTATTTCAGGGGGGTGCGGGTAGAAAAGGGAGTCAGCCGAATGTGTGCTGTAGATTTATCCGGAAAAGAAGGTGAACCCTGTAGCCAGGGGAAGGTATTGGGGGGGGGGGGGGCCTTAAACCCTAAATGCTCCAAGGACTCGTCGACCCTATATATGTGTTGCTTTGGATAAAAGCTTCTGCTAAACAAAAATGTAAAATGAACTTGTGAGTAAATTCTGCCCTGCTTACTGCGTGCATTCAGAGATACTCTTATTGTAATGTGTAAGGGTGGTTGCACACAGCATTATAACGTGGGCAGAATTTTTCGTTAGTGGAAGCGTACTAATGCTTTCGTTAAACAAACAGTGTTTATAAATGAGCGGTACTCTCTGATGTGTCGGTGATGACTCTGTGTGGCCCTGTTCGTTATGCTGGGCCCCGTTTTAAAAGGGACGAAAGGGATGAAGCTGGCTGTTAATAATAATAATAATAATAATAATAATAATAATAATAATAATAATAGGATCCCTTTCTAACAGTGCACAGGTGTATAACTGGAGGCGCCCCAGGGCTGGCTCTGAAGCCGCACTGTAAACGTGCACAGTTATCTCTGTGAAGCCGCACTGTAAATGTGCACAGTTATCTCTGTGAAGCCGCACTGTAAATGTGCACAGTTATCTCTGTGAAGCCGTGGTGAAGCAGCTGCCGTGGACGACCGTGGCTGGTTGCCATGGCGATGTGATGTCAGCTAGGAGCAACATCTGTTTGGTGTGTGAGAAGGGGGCTTCTTTTTCTAACGAGGCAAAGGGAAAAGTACCCCACACAGAGCCTGTTGGCGGTGCCTCTGATGGCGCCGTGCACGGTGTGGATTTCACGGGCATTCCCCGCTCGACGGGGAGTTTCGGACACGCCTGAGGGGGGTCTTGGGATGCCCAGTTTAGATATGTGTGGACGGGTAACTGCAGGGTTATTGCATCTAGCTTTCATGTAAGAGTACTATTGACATGTAGATGCAAATGGGTTGAGGCCTGTGGGTACGAATCTTCGAATCCTGACCAAACACACCAGTGTGTCTCGTGCTGCTGAAATGACTGTGGTCCCTCCCAAAAAAAAACGAACTACTGTGTTCAAGTCCCCATGCGGATTAATAATTAATGACTAGTGGTGAACAATCGTGCGTTATTGGAAAAGGCACCGCTAATTAATTATAACTGCATGCCTAATGCCTGCCAATAAATAATGTATGGGGAGAATTGAATTGTTTTATTACCCTGTCCTGAGGTCTCTAGTGCTGCAGCCCCCCACCCCCCCCAACACCGAGAAGACCTGCCTGGTATCGGGTCCGCTCTCAGGACATGCCTGCGGTCAGCAGAGGGCACTCTCGTTTGCCCCCTCTCCCCCCCCCACCTACCCAATCCATCTGTATAAGGCCACATTCTATTTCGGTGAGGCTGGAAAACATTCTGTCTTATTGCTCAGACCACATTATCTGGGGAGGTCCAGGGAAGGGGGTGGGCAGAGGTTATTGGTACTTATTTGGGCAAGGAGAGGATTCGCTGTTTTTCTTTTTTTTTTTTTTTATTTGATGCCTCGGACCAGCTGAGAACCGTCCAGCTAATGCCTAATATCCGCGTCTCGCGGTTACATGGCTTCTCCATCCCCTCCTGTAACGGCTTCTGATTAATGGAAAATCAAGGCGACCTGCAGCAGACACTCTATTAGGATAATTGATTTGTCTTAAAAAGAAGCTGGTCTGTGCTTTGAAGTATTACGATGTTATCAGTAGGGGGCGGTACTAAATGTTGGTCCTGTTTTGTCCATTTTTGGGCAAGCGTGGACTAGGGAAACCTTCAAGCAGGAGGTTGACGACCCCCCCCAAAAAAAAAAAAAAAAAGCAGAGATACTCCTGGGACACTGAAAATCAGGACTCAGGTCTGTCGGTCCTTTGAGTATCTCAGAGCGATAAAACAGCCAAAGGGGAAACATAGAGCTATGTTTGTATGTGTGTGTTTTTATTTGTTTGAGAAATTTTGGTTTTATGAGAAAACAACCAAACCATTATGTTCAAAATATTAAGAGCGGCTTCATCCAGACCATGCTGGTCCTTTTCCAGGAAGCTATATTATTAATCTGGGTACTAAACTTTGTCCCTGGTGAATGGAGAATCACACGTAACCCTTTGTCGTTCAGGAGCTCCCTAATTCAGCCTGAACTATTCCTGACCCTCGTTAAATACAAACATATCAGAACTGAATCGTTCCCCTCCCGCTTGGACCACCGAGTCACATCATCTGACTGTGTGAAATTAATTTTAAAAACATCTGAAGGGCACTACAGACGGACCAGAATGAGGTCATTGTTAATAATCAGTCACTTTAATTAATTTTCAATACTAGAGAGCAGTAAATATTATCAAGCAGGAGGCTTTGAGTACCCGGCTGTGTCCTGTTATGGTGGTTGCTGAGTTATTCACGTGTGTGTGTGTGTGTGTGTGTGTGTGTGTGTGTGTGTGTGTGTGTGTGTGTGTCCTCACTGGGTCACTCCAGCACCGTACCCTGGGGCCCTGCTCTCTTTAGCCGACGTCGATCCGGTTTCTCTGGCACCTGTAGGCCATATCCGCTTCCGCGTGGCTGCCCGCATGCCGTGTTTATGCTGGATAAACGTGCCGCTCCATGGGCAAATAACTCCCCAGTGTCCTGAGGGGCTCTTTAATCTCTACTTTTTTGGGATATAAAGATATAAATCGACACCTATACTGCTTATGTGTGACAAATCAAATTTCAAAATGTAGCGTTTGGGATATTTTGGGGATGAATAGTGAGCTCCGGATACTGCTGGTATAATCTGACTTATTCTGCATGCATGAGTCTGTGTGTGGCGCCGCCCACAGGCACCTGCAGGAAATCCCCTGCCCCGCGCAGTGGGTGTCCCCTAAGCTGTCACTGTGTGGACACAGGCTTATGCTCCCTGTCACAGTTATTACCTTTGGCTCTGGTTACGATCCTGTCGCTCACAACGGAGTTGCACCGATGGGAGAGGAGCAGCGTTAGGGCTACAGTGCAGCAGCTTGCCGTGGACCCCCCACCAAGGCAGCCCCCTCCCCCGCCACCGCCCAGGGAAGGTGCGTCCACTCGCACGGCACATTCCATTCACTTAATTGCGGGATTGGTTCTGCGTCGATGATTAAGCTTTCTTCTTGGTGGCGACGCGTGACCGTCTCAGATATTTGTTTCCGAAGGGTGTAATAATCGATGTTCTCCGCAGTGTCGTGTGATGACATGTTTGCTTTGAAGAATTTGGGGGGGGCGGGGGACTGAAGGTATTGTTTATGGACTTTGGAGTAGAGATGGGCGATCCACATTTTTTCAGTTCCGATCCGATTCCGATACACAACTGCTGATACCGATACGGATTCCGATATGAGCTCTTTTTACTTTGTTATACTTTATATATTAATTTTTTAAGCTAGTAAATACAGATGGAGAAAATGTATGACAAAAAATATTTAATTAGGCAACTACAAACAAACATAACGTACTGTTCCACCTCATTTGTTTTAAGCGTTTTTGAGCCATTTGCAGTTCAATATGAATATCTTCAAAGCAAGTATACACAAGTGGCGAATGCTTAAAATGTTAACAGTTTTTCTCCCATTGGCGTCAGCGCAGTTAAACTTTTGTTGCGATGGCAGCCCCTCCTGTATCACAAGCTGCAGCGAGTTCGCAGGACAGTCCAGGTTAGCGACTCCCACATCATCCATTGCTTTGTTTTGTCTCGCAGTTGCGTGCGTTTTGTTAAATGGGATTGTCCATTAAACACTATTCCCACCTCAAAACTTTATTTTACATGGATTGCAAATCGCTGTGCTACTGGTTTCTGTTAAAAGCGTATAATACTCCCAGATCATCACGTCTTATCTAACGCTCCTCGTACTGCGAAGGGTATGTGCATGACGTCAGAGCAGGCGGAAGTCACTGTACTCACACCCACTGAGTAGCAAAAAAGACCGAGGGACAGCGATTTGAATGCCGCAAAAAAAAACACATATGAAATTGGAAAGAGCTGTCGTGCGATTGATTGCCAAAAACTAAATAAATAAGTATAGGACGTGGATCGGTCACGCATGGCCGATACCCGATCCGTCAAATAGGTCTGGATTGTCGCCGATACCGATCCGAATATCGGTATCGGTGCATCTCTACTTTGGAGGCAGATATGCCTGTTTCTTACTGTACCTTAAAACCAGAAGCGAACTGGCAATTTGCCTAAAGTTCTCATCACAACTGAACCATCAGTGATTTCATGCACCTAATTTCTCTGCATGTAATAGTCAGTATTGGGTCTGGGACTCCCAAATTATCCTCGCTGATTTTTATGATTTTGTTTTATTGTTTGGCTGAAGGTGGAGTAGCATTCTGTGGCTTGGAATGCCCTGCTGGGTGGGAATCTTCCTGTCACCAGTGTGTGACACACGCACTGTCCGTCACCATGACGAACGGGAAACCGCTGATGTGTTTTGATCCCCAGCATCTTGTCGTGGCATTGAGGAGGTGGGGGTGGTCATCAGGCGAGTGATAAAGGGGGGGACGGGGACGGCGATCGTCCTTCTGCTGTTTCTGCAGCTCCCTCCACTCTGCTGAATGATGATTTTCTGCTTTCCTGTGTTGGCTCCCCTCAGGTTTTCCCTACACGTCTTCCTCTGCTTGGTGCCCCAGTCCTCCTGCATGTTCTCCCCATGTTCTCTGGGCTTCTTCCCGCAGTCCAAAGATGTCATCGCGCTGACCAGGGTCTCTAAGTTGCCTGTAGTATGTGACGGTGTGTCCCTGTGTTTGACTGCCATCCTGTGCCCTGTTCCGTCTGGGACAGGCTCCAGCTCCTCTGTGACTCTGACCAGGATGAGCGGCTCTCAGGCCTCCTGAAGTATGTTTCTTGCTGGTTTTGTGTGGCCTGTGACTGCCTGAAGCTTTTTTGTTCTGGTTGCCTGCCAGTCAATGAGAATGAAATCCCAGAGGAGCATCTAGAAGGGTCCAGTGTGCCGCATGCGACCTGCCCGTCTCAGCCCGTTAGGATAGCCGTTCATCTCTGCGTGCTTTCCTCGCATGTCTTGGATTTAAGACGTTTCGGTGTGACAAAATCTATCAGCGGTAAAATATACTATATCGTTAAACTGATGGGTAAACGGTAACTGAAGGCCGGTTCGCAGCCCTGCCCCCATTCTGAGTCGTTAATCTCTCAGTGATTGTTCCTGTACTGTGTCAGGACCAGATGAAACTGCACCACTGAGACTCTGGCTCTGCACTCACAGGATCCTGTTCCGGATGTTTCCCAGCGGTGCTGACAGGAATTATACTGTCATTCCCATCCATTTTCAAACCCCCTTACCCAGTGCAGACTCGCTGGGAAAACGGCCATAAGAACTTTTTTCCTTTTTCCCTTAAGATAAAGAATGTGATCGAGAATTAAACATGACTGTGATCTTTGTTTCTTTAGTGGCAATAAAAAGGAATTAAAACGGCTCCCCTTTCAGATGTTTTCGGGTCTCTGCGCTTTGATTAGCGGAGCCACACCAAAATGGACTTGCAGGTCGTCTTATTTAAAGGGGGCTGCTGTGGCGTCTCCGGCCGTGTGAAGGTGCACATGAATGCTCGCGCGTCTCTGATCCCCCAGCCTGACATCAAAAGCTGGGGCCCCTCCCCGACCCTGTCATCTGCAGCTGGCCGCCCCCACCTCGGGGCCGGGGTCTGCTTCCCCCTCGTTAGCAACCGGCAGATGAAACGCGGGGGCGTTTGACGCCGCCGCCATGGGAAGCCTCCGTGTCCCCCCCCGCCCCACGGCTCCTCTCTTGGTGTAATCTCGCGCCCGGATCGTGCCGCTTGCTCCTCCTCCTGTGGGAACCTCCTTGGCGAGGTGGCATCGCCGTGCCCGGCTCCTCGCTGCCTTGATTGCGATCTGCGGCCTTTCCAGTGAACATCTTTACCGTAATCTTGGCTTATTTTCTCCATGGAAGCATGGAATTCTGGGGATTTTTATGTGGGCAAACAGGTTCTCTCTTTGGATGTGAATATCAGTCTGATGAGGTTCTGAAAATGAGAACTAAAGGTGAACCGTGGCTGGTGTCGGTACAGAGATGTTTTTAATAATCTGGCCTCTGTGTTCAGGTTTTGTGAGGGACTTCTCATGGGTAACGTGGCAGGTGGGAAGGTCTTGTGTTTACACGTTAATGAAAGTGTACTTTATTAGACCGGTATGGTTCTTTCTCAGTAGGGGTCAGCGTGGAGGGTAACGGCGATGCCTGACGTGCCTGTAGAGCTAAAAGACGACCCCTTTACACCCCCCTTTCATTCTCTCCGTCTCTCCCCACAGATCCGTGAGCAGCCATGACAAAGCTGTACGAGTTCGACTGGCAGAAGCCCATTCCGGAGTTCCTGCAGGAAGGGGCCATCTTCGACAGGTTTGAGGAGGTGAGAGCCCATAAACCCCACCCCGATTTGGCCAGAACATCTGTCGCTTTTCCTCTTCACTCTTAGGAAATACGAACGTGACCGTCCTCTGCAGAGGGCCAGACCCGCATCTGCCCAGAATCCTGGAGTTAATGAAAAATAACGGGCTCCCCGGGGCCGTGTGCCCTCCTAAACCCGCTTTCCTGTGGGAACGAGTTGCGGAACGTGGCTTTTCCCCAGAGCATTTTCAGAGAGTGCCACCTGCTGGTTAGGGGTCACCGGCGCCACTAAGCGTCCAAGTGTCACGGGGAAAATAGCAGCTGCTATATTTGTGCGGCACATCATGGAAAATGTGTTTTCCCGTGGCTACCGCTACCTTATATAGTAATGGCCTGGACCCTTGCCAGCGTGTGGCGCTGCCTCCCACTGTAAAATAATATTCGATTGGATGGGTCCATTAAGCATGTAGGATCCACCAAAATGAAAAAGGCAGTTTCAAAATGTATTTTGTTTGTTATTAATAAGGGTCGTTGTGGGTATTTTTAGTAAGAGGATAATTTAGTATGAAGTGACCCAGGCTCTGGTTCCAAAGCAAGACTCAACTCCCTCTCTGGGTCCTTCAGTCGACCTCCATCTGCTTCGGAAACCGTGTTTTCCTGAGGGCATAGCCAGAATCATCGTGGAGCTTGACTGGCAGGGCAAACTGCATCCGTAAACCTGAGTTGCTGTTTCTCCCTGGGTTAGGAGGCTGTGTCTCTGATCAGAAGGTCACCGGTTCAAATCCCGGAGTAGCAGAGTGATGTCATCGTTAGGCCCCTTGAGCGAGGCCCTTAATGCCGATTTGCTCCAGGGACTGTCTGACCCTGCTTTCTCGAAAAATGTACATAATGTACAAAAATGTACGGATAAAGGCGTCTGCTAAAACAAGTGGAATGGATGGTCGCAGAAAGTCATTAGCAGGGCTCGGGTTTCACCAGCGTCTCCTCTCAGCTCCGTGGGGGGGGGGAATCCTCATCAGCTCCTCCTGCCCTCGGTAATGTTTACGTACCTGATGCTAGCTGTTTCTGCCGCGCTGCTGGGGGGGCACCTACCATCTCGGCAGAGATAAAAGGGCCTTAATTTGAGGGAAGTTCACGTGTCGCTGTAGGAACGCGCTCTGCATCGCCAGGGTTACCCGGTGTACAGTGTCAACAGGCAACGGTGATCTAAAAATACTACGCGAGTGAAATGCTTCAGAGATGACGCCGCGGTTTATGTAGCTTGACGAGATCTGCGGCCCCCAAAGCACATGGGGGCGACGTGTTGGGCTTCTGTTACGCTGCAGTTTTACCAGCCCGGTTTGCCCATGTGCGGTAAAGTCAGACTGCGCTGACCATCCAGACAGTGAGAACCGCTATAATTAACGTTGTAATTGTGATGAAAGTTACTGTGCGCCGGAATGAAACGTCTCTCTCGAGCGATTTCTGCCTGCTTTCATACATCGGCATCACAGTAGCAGAATTCATCGGGCAGTTTACTGAGTAACCCCTGCTTGCTCCTTGTGGAATTCCTTGATTAATACTTCCCCTGGTGTATAGTACTTCTCCTGGTAGTCGTTATAGTAGTAGTTTTAAGGACAGTGCTAATATAATCCATCAATCTTCCATAACCACTTATTCATACAGCATCACTCTGAGTAGTGTTTATATCAGAAATGTCTATATAGTTCTCCCAGCTTGTAATTATATTTCTTTGTTAGTAAAATATGCCCCAAGTAGTAATTGTTTTTTGTCTCATTAAGTGTCATGGTTTTGCACACACTTGGGGGGCGGGGGTTACTCTGTGCTTCTCTGAGTACGTTAGCTTCTCGTGCGTTCTTCAGAAAATTAGATTCGTTAAAATATTCTCAAAAGAGCAGGATTAACTTTTCTGTGTTGTCTGTTTTGTTTTTATATATAAAATTAGGATTGTTTATTAAGTACGTTTGGCACTCGATGTCAGATGCTTGTTTTTGTGTTTTGGGATCTTCGTTTATTCAGTTGACATTCCCATGAGGCCGCATCTCAGGATCCTTAAAGCACAGTCTGGTAAAATGCGCGACGGACATTCAGTGGCAGTCCATGTGGTTCCACAAGAGAATTAGCATTACTGTTAGAATTTGGCTAAATCTTAGCGTTTTTTTTAAATTGTGGTCATTTGTTGGTCCAAGGTAAAGGTGCTTGGATTTTAGGGGCCTGTATGTAGTCTGGGTAAGTTGGCTTTTGTGCTCTTGCCGAAAGTGGACTGTGAGTCTGTTGGAATGATTATTGTGCCTCTTAGCCAATTGTGGAGCCGCAGCCAAGGAAAACGGCGCGGTCATGTGACCGTAAAGGCAGGATGAGCCGGGCAACCAATGGCTGGCAGTTAATAATATCCAGCATGGAGGATACAGGATCTGGGGGCGGTCTGGAGCCGCAGGCTGTGTCTGTGTCTAGTCCTCAATGGGTCGTTTGTCTCTGGTCACGCTAACCTTTCCAAAAGCAAGTGCTTGGACCCTTTAGTTCAACCAGCTGGCATGGAGCGCAGCTATCAGTACGGCTCTGTTTGGACCCTGTCACCTTCAGCAGGAGCGTGACCACCTCGGTAACTCGTGCTTTAGAAGTTATATCGTATAATCCGAGCAAAACGGAAATGAGCAACGTGCCGGCTTGCTGTAATAACAGCCCCCGCAGGGCGTGGAGGTCTGGGCTGTCGAAGCATTCAGGCTTTCCTCTGCTGCCTCCCAGAAACTGAAGGTTTCATTCCGCTCGTTTTCCTGGTAACTTCAGCAATTTTGAACACAAATTAAGCTAAATGGTTAACATTAAGTTAGAAGGAAATTGCCTCGCTGCTTTTTAAAAAAAAAACAAAAAAAAACACAAATGTTTGTTTTGTATCGGCTGACTTATGGTTGCAAGACAGTCGCACAAACGTGGTGTTATTCTGTTTGGCCAGAGATGCACACATGACAGGAAAAATTAGCTTTGCTGCAGGATATTTTCAGGTGATTTGAGTCTTCCATACTTAATTATCTTTCATAGTGATTCCATGCCACATTAACTTGGATATTGGTGTTCATTTTTTATATGTTTATGATTTGTTATGAACTGGTGTACCATGCCGAGACCCCCTGCCTTATCCCATATGCTGCCTGGGATGGGACCCAGACTCATCACAACCCAGTACTAGCCATTATGAGGATGGATGGATGGATGGATGGATGGATGGATGGATGGATGATTGCATAACCGCCAGTTTCAGACGGTATGTACATAGATGTAAGATGACCATAAGGGGTGTGGATAGATGAGGACACTTGGAACAAGTGAAAAAACAAATGAACGAATGAACAAACGATCAAATGGATGAACAAATCCAGTTCCGTGTCCCGCGGGGCCCCTCAGACCACGGCTGTGAGCGTAGATGACGGGTGGATGGGGCTGATGAGGCAGCACAATGGTCTGGCTCCTTCCCCAGGAAAGGCCTGGGGGGGGGGGGGGGGGGGGTGCAGGATCGTGAGATTCAGCCTGCAGCGCTCCGGCTCTCCACCAGCGCTTGCTAATGCTTCCTTAATCATTTGTGCGATGTTAGGGATCAGGTTATGGTGTGCCTGTTATCGGAAGGTGACCGGTTCAAACCCCGGCCCTTGTGCTAGGGTCTTTACCCCCAATTGCTCCAAGGACTGACCGACCCAGGTTTCTCAGAAACGCTTCACTTTGAATAAAAGCATATGCTAAATAAATAAATGTAGCTGCTATCCCCACCAGCAGCTCCCCTGCACCTTTCCATCAGCCACCCCCCCCCCCGTCTGCCTTCGCTTCGGATCGCTGAGCCCAGTCACTCCCGATGGACACAGACTCTCGTCCTTGCGTCTGTGTAATAATGACGCCCTGTAATGATGCTGCTGTCCTTCCTCTTAGGTCTGCTGTAATAATGATTCCCTGCTAAGAAAAGCCTTTCCTGCCCCGTCCTGGTTACCGTATCAGTTTGCTTATTTGCCTTATCTTCCCCAGATTAAAAATGCCCCTTCTGGAAATGCGTCTGCACCACAAATGCAAACTGAAAAGCGCTGAGCGGTAACGCGGGTCCGCATCAGCGCGTCATCTGGAACCGGCCTGGTCCCCGGCTCCTCCGCCGCGTTCAGTCACGCCGGCCAGCAGCGTGGTTATTTATTTGCCGTGAGACATATTGACGTAATTAAACAGCCGTCATTCGGTGTAAACACCGGCGATTTTCTTTTAGCTGGAGTTCGGCGCCAAATGTTCACCGTGATTGTGTATGTGAAAGGTCACCGTTAACCCGTGTTCATTTAGGAAAACGCCTCGTCATATTAGGCAATTAGGCATGTTTTCTCACCTAGTCTTCATCCATGTCTGAGGTTTGTTTTGGTTTTTAATGTTTTTTTTTACAGTTAAGTAGGCTAACTCTGCATGCCTCAAAAGCATGAAAATGAAGCGCACGTTTCGGTTGCCCCGTAATGTTTTTGTTTTTATCTGACTGTTTGCAACCTCATGTGAATCTAGAACGATGTTTCCAGGCCTTTTTTTCTGCCGCAGCTCACCTTCCGTGAGGCAGCGTTTTTCAGCCAGTCCTACAGCCTCGGCTCCCCGGCTGAGAAATGCTGATTTAGAAGATGGGGATCTGGACACAAGCAGCTTCTTGGTGCTGTACCAATGTTCAGCTTTGAGACGCTGGTCACTTTAAATGCATAAATCTGCAAGCTGTACAGTGTAAACATTCATGTTGTGTGTGTGTGTGTGTGTGTGTGTGTGTGTGTTTATGATCTAAATCAGATAACTAATCGCCATAATATTGCAGTAGTTTTCACAGATTTATGAAAATGTTATTGCTTGTTGGACAGGCAGTGTTATATGTGGTAACTTGTGCTACTGAACACTGAGTACCTGGTTCGTCCATAGCTGAGCAGAGTATAAATATGAAATGCCGAACTGCAAATATTTATTTATTGTTTAACATTTTTAATTTCCTCTTTTATAACATTTTAAAAATAGATCATACCTGCAATAAATAATTTAAAAAGGAACACAATTTAATTACCTGGTACTTTTTTTTATTCATAATGTTGTTTACATAAGCATTAAGAGCAAACTCCAGTTCGGCTCACACAATAAAAGGCTTGATAAGGTGACAAGTGAAAGGACCTACCTTGACATGGTAGCTATGGTAACCTCATTATACTCTACCCGAGGCAATGCGCTTGCTCCCTATCCCCAAAACAAAGCAAGCTAAAAGATGGTTGGTTGCTCTGCTGACAGTTACCATGTAGCAAATCACTGTAATAGTTATGGTTACCTGGCTTTCTGATTGGCTGAGCAACTTCCTGTGTAATTTTCTGTTGAAAGTCTGTTTACATTTTCCACTGATTATTTTTGACCTGTTGTAGAGGGTTATTGTGGCTGTGATTGGCTGGTCAGGGGATTCGTCACCTGTTTAGGATTAATTCAGTATTCACAGGACACGGCAGCATTCAAACACCCCCAAACATCTCTGCCTTCAGTAGGTGAGCTCCACCTACAGTTCACTGTTTTTTAAAACGTAATACTTATGACAGTCTCCTTAAATAAACCTTTACTTTATTCATTGTCTGGTTATATTTTCAGGCATGAAATTTAAATCCACCCTTGTATCTGTCTGCTGTGACATGTTTAGCTGGAGAAACTTTTTTTTTTTTTTTAATGGTTGTCATTTTAATTGATGCTGCAGTGGGTTTGCAGAGTAATGAAGGATGCTGTTTACGGATTATCGAGGGAGAGAGACGGAAAGAGAGAGATCTCATTCCTGTCCTGTCCTTCACGCGTCACCTTTCATTGCCCTAACCTCTCACCAGCATCCCTCCCCTGAGAAATGGCCGTGGTCTTTAAAAACACTTTTATACCCATAAACAGGAAGTTAACAGACTTGACGCTGGTGGGAATGCTGTGGCTTATCAAAGCAAGAAGAAAGTATGATGAATAAAATCCAGCTTAAATTTTTATGGAGATCAGTCTCCTCCCAAGGGTCTGCTGTTACCATATTGCATAACTGATGCTCACGGGTCACATGGATGTGTATTTGAGGTAGCATGGGACAGTTTGTTTCTAAAGTTTGATTTTTATTGGTTTTGAGCCTGCATTCCTTTGTAGGAGAACTTCAATCCCACGTGTGTTGGGTGTGGATTTTATATAAAATTATATTATTTTTTTAAGTTTTAAAATACCTGTCTCGGGAGTCTGCTGAAAATTGACTTTGTGTAGGGGGGGAAAAATGGATATTTTTTGCCTCGGAAATCTCTCATCTGATTAACGTGATTGCCCCGCAGCGATGGCTGCTTGATTAACATCACAGATGCGCTGCCTTCCCACAAAATATGTAAATAAGGCGTAGTCCTCCTTAAGTGCAGTTACCGTTCACCAAAGTCCCATAGAGCAGCAAATACCACAGTCTCTCGCCGCCTTGGTCGAAGGCCCGGATCTCTGACGCCGTGGTAACTCACATGGCCAACAGGGGGCATCGCAGCCAAGTACTCGACGGTCGAGAATCAATAGCTGAAAATCTTTAAGCTTTTTGCAGTAGCGGAAAACAGTTTTTTTTTTTTTATGTGGGTGGGGTGTGGCTCAGAGGATTAGGATGCTATGTCTGTGATCGGAAGGTTGCTGGTTCGAATCCCAGGGTCAGCGGAGTGATTTTCATTGCTGGGCCCGTTGATCCATGTCCTTAAGCCCCAGTTGCTCCAGGACCTGGCCGGCCCTAGATTCTTGACTCTTGATGTGCTTGGGGTTCTGGTGTACCGATACATGTTCCGGATACACAGTCCACTTCACGCCTCGTGCAGAGAGCAGGGTGTCGCTGTGTTTGATGACACCCTCCCTTCCCTGAAGGCACCAGCATGGCAGCTGTTCATGTGGACGTGTTACGTCGTCTTTGTATGCTTTCTCATGCGCTGCTCACCTGCTCTCTTTGTTTAACGGCAATTCGGGTCTTTCCCGGGTGGCATTATGGGAAGAGTTGTGCTTCCCTACCCTGGTAAGCCAGGTTTGGGCTGCTCAGTAGATTCAATAGACAGATGGAACGCAAGTAATGATAATATTTCTAACAATGGTACCATTGTTGTTCTTGTTATTAGTGCTCTTCTACTCATTGTTGACCAATTGTTCATGCCACTGTCTCATTGCTGGTATTTGTTAGCAACCATTGTTCTCTCTCAGGTAATAATAAGGTGGGTCCCTAAAAGACTTATTTAATCTCTCTGTGTATAGACCCCCCCTCAAAGTAGTATGGCAGATTAAAGCCAGGCTTCTCTTTGCGACAGTAGTCTTCCTAAAGTGGGAAAACTGGGACAAGCACCTAGGCTCCTCTTGGCTGCTTAGTTACTGAGACATTTCTTTTTGACGATCTGTAGATCTGCCTGAAATGAACAAAGAGCGTACCATTCTGTCCGTGGGCTTGGATGAAGGCGACTCTCCTCTGTAGACTAATAGATCCATTCAGCTATTGTGTGTTGTACCTCCACGCCGATGTTTGTGTTGAATGATCTTCGTAACCTGTCCACTTCACACAGTCATTAGCCATGGACGTCCAACAGCCCATGTCATTGACCTATACTGTGGTTTCTGGGGCCCGACATGAGTCAGCTCACGTCCCCCTGCTCTCTTCAATGCCCCCCCCCCCCCATGATTCAAAAAATGTCAATAGCTAGCCAGTCAGTTAGCAGAGCATGCTGTTTCCGCATCTCCTCAATAAGAATGGCATTTATTTAATATTTAGCACAGTGAATGTTTGTGGCCAACAGGGGGCCTTCAGACTCTGGGGGCCACTGCCAAATGCATGATTTGAGTGGTAATAAATGTCACCACTGCAGGCTCTGCACTCACCTTTCTGTTTTTCAGGACCCATTCATCGTAGAGACCAACTGCCTGTTCAAGGTCGACGAGTTTGGCTTCTTCCTCACGTGGAGAGGTGAAGGAGGGGTGAGAAGCTTCCGGAACTTGTGTATCCCCTGCTAGGCCCAAGGTGTAAAAGATAAACTCAGAGCCGTGCAACATTAGTGTACTTTGTTGTCTTTTTTAGGAAGGTGTAGTTCCACAGCGCTCTCTCTCTCTCTTTTGTTCTGGTGGTGACACTATTCTTTTTTTTCCTCTTTCTTCCTCTTGACATAGGAAGGGCAGGTTCTGGAGTGTGCTTTTATCAACAGCATCCGCAATGCTTCAGCACCCAAGGTATGCCCCCCCCCCCCCCCGCTTACCCTCCATTTTATTCACTTATATACACAAATAATATTTTTCCCTCCTTTTGCCACAATTTACTCTTTCATCCATCCCTACTGTATGCATCTCATCTACATGAGTATTGAAGATGGGGGCATTATGCCACATACACAGTCCTGTCAGGCGCTCGCTCTGTCGCTTCTCCTGTTGGGGGCGCTGCACATCGCTCGGGGAAACAGTGCCAATTATGCCCCACTGTGGTGTAGAGAACGTATCTCCGGAGTAGCAGAGCCCAGGGTGTAAGATATCATCTCAGCTTCAGGTCTCGGGAGCCTCAGCGATCCTCTAGTTACCACGGTGACCATGGGATTCTCGACGTCCGGATTGCTACAGCGTCACCCTGTAACCACATAATGAAGATGCTCACCGAGCATCATGTTGGTCTGCAGGCTTCACATATTCCACTCAAGTCTCAAGCATCGTCGGAAATTTAGTGCCACGTCTTGCCTTGTTGTCTAGATCCAGTAAGCTAATTAGATTTGGAATTTTTTTACTGATAAGAAATTTAAAAACAAATGTTTAGCTGCAATTTCAGAAGATTAATGTATCACAGTGGGGAAGGAATCGTAATACATAATCAGTGATAATCTGTAATAACACGCTTTAGTGGATGTGAAATTTTGGTTCAGTAGTCGCTGTTAAAAACGCAGACTTTCAACTCAGAGTGATGGTGTTACAGAAATAACACTGTTAATATGTCATCGTGTCCGAGCTCAGAATGAGAGGGGAGATGTTAATGAGGACGTGTCGTTAGGGTCAAAACGAAGCTGGATGGGCTTCCTTTCCAACGACCTCGTGTCTACGCCGCTTTTTTGGGTCGGTTGTGATCATCAGGAGCTGAATCTGGCCTCTTGCATCTCTGGGATCCCATTCTTGTGATCATAATCATCAAAGCTCTCTCCTTGCCCCAGGACCCCAAGCTCCTGTCGTGTTTCGAGGCGACAGAGAGCGAGCTGGATGGCCGAGTCATCTGCATCTGCAGCGGTCCGGACCTGGTCAACCTCAGCTTCATATACATGGTGGCCGACAGTGTCGAAATAGCCAAGGTACAGATTCTTCGGACTGGAGATTTTCTAGCAAAGTAGAAAAGCTTCATGGTAGCAAAGAATGTGTGGTGCAGGTCTGCAGCAGCCCGAATGTTTGGATTTGACTTTGGCTTAAATAAGGCTCTGCTGCCCTCTAGTGCTCAAGATGGATATTGGCTGTGGCTTGTTTGGCACAATGTGCAAATAAAGCAAAGTGACAGGACAAGTCTGATGAAAAGGTTAAACTGCAAGCTGTGTTTTGGTGCAAAATTTAATATATTTTCTCAATTTGAAAACGTAATGGTCTAAAATAAGGTCAACTTTGCAGATGGAAAACAAATGTTTGGACGTTTGTGATTTCCCTTCTGATTGGGTAAAAAAAAAAAATCACATCTATACAAAGCCTTTATGGAATCTGCCTGTAGAAGCCACTCTAACCAAGGCCCCACGAAAACCTCAGGACTGACCAATGGCAGCATTGGGGATTTTATGTTATCAAAGTCTTATCTCGGTCTGTCCCTCCAGAGAGGGGGCTCTGGTTAGGTTAATGACCTTGAAGATTCACCGTCCGTGTGCACAAAGAGGAGTTCGGCCTTGGACGCTCAGCACTGGTTCCTTCTGCTTGAAGTGGAACAGGCATGCCCCCTGCTGGTCAATAAGGCAGATTAATTCAGCGTATGAATGATGTATGGATATTGGTAGAGAGACCGGCGGACAGGCAGGATGAATGTTATAGTTCGCGGGGTGTGCCTGTTGGATATTGACCTTCACAAAGCCGTCTGCCGACTTTCTGTGGCTCCCCCACATCTGACGGATCTGTTCCTGCCCCATATGAAAGACGTGAGCTGGTTTCTGTTGTCCCACACCCTCTCTTCTGTTTTTCAGCAATGGCTGGAAGGCCTGAGGTCTGTGATTCATAACTTCAAATCAAACAACGTCTGTCCCATGACCTGCCTGAAGAAGCAGTAAGTATTAGAACGTGCCGGAAAACTCCCCGAACCACGTCAGCGTGGCGGCATAACTAGCTATGACTTTGGCCCTGGCGGTTAGTGGAACGTACAGCTTGTGTTTCTCTTAAATGTTTGGCGCTGGGTTTGTGTTTTAACCTTTTATATAGGAATATATGTACCGGACTGTTTTCAGCTTTTTTGAAAATTAAACTTTTTCCCCCCCTCCTTAGCTGGATGAAGCTCTCGTTTCTGACAAACGTAAATGGCAAAATTCCTGTGAGGAGGTGAGATTCTGGCTGTGGGGCTTTGTGGGTAATGTAGTCCTGTAGTATATGCGTGTGATGACAGCCCTTCTGGGTTTTTATTCACTTGTCAGCTGGAAAGATTAACCAGAGTCTCTGTGGACTACGAGGCCTTTGGAGTGGATGGGTGTTTTTTGTGTCTCCGGAGGTCTCCTGAGGTCCGCCAGTTGTGCCTGTTTAGCTGGCAGTTACGGAACATTGGACAGATTAACGCACCAGACGGGTGGTTTAGCATTAATGTTGTAGCTGCGCTAATCAGTGCCTCTTTTGCCCCCGTCAGCATAACGAGGACTTTTGCCTCTGGCAAAACGGAAAAGGTGATCTTTCAGGCTCTGAAGGAACTCGGACTGCCCAGTGGGAAGGTGAGCTCCGCACGGCGTCCCGACAGCCGGTGGCCTGCCCTCAGCTCGCTCAGCAACACCATGCCTTCTCCCTCTCTCCCGCAGAATGACGAAATCGACCCCGCTGTCTTCACGTTTGACATGTTCTATGCCCTAACCCAGAAGATCTGCCCACGTACTGATATAGAGGATTTATTCAAGAAGATGTGAGTTCAAGAAAAAGTTCAATTGACAGGCATAGGATGCACTTTTAGAAAGTGAATTTCCACCTGTTTATCAGGATAGATTTGATGTGCTTTTCCTGGGATTCGAACCCATGTTTGTTGCATTTTTAGCACAATGTTCTACTCCTTGAGCTACAGGACTCTCCCTGTTGAAAAATCCCTCCCTCTAGGGGTGATTAAAGACTTGATTCCTCCACGTGCCTCTCCTTAGAGGGCCGACTTGCCTCTGCTATACTAACGTCTTTGAGAAATCTAACCTGCTTCAGTTTAACCAATTTGTTAATGAACTAACTAGGTTTTATTTCTTCTTGATGTGTAACATTGTAATGCTAGTAAAAAGGCCATTTTTAAGAATTCCTGTTGCAGTTGTTACCTTTTTCCCCCCACTTTGTTTTGTTTTGTAGAGAATAACAGTTTTCTAATTAATTCCTTTTCAGCAATGGAGACAAAAGTGATTTTTTAAACATAGACCAGTTAGTCAGCTTTCTGAATGAAGTAAGCTTTTTTTCATTCATTAACTGTTCTGTGCAAGCCCTGCCTGTCCACTCCATTGCACTGCATGTGCTGGGTTCACTGCCTGTCACTGTCCCTGTCTCTCTGTGTAACTGTCATGGGATTTCAGTCGGGGTGGGGGCTGCAGGAGCTGTGGGGGTGGGCTGCTTTGCATCTGTCTCTAAATTTTTCTTTTTGGCTGAATATGTATTTCATTATATTGATTTTATTGTAAGAAAAACTGAAGTGTAACGTTATAAATAATGCTGTAGATGTTTAAGGGCATACCTGAGTTTTCACGCTCGTCTGTCGATGGAATAATAAGCTACTTTGCTGTTTCTCAGTGTTTAGCCCTCATCTGTGTGTCCATGCTTGTAAACCTCGTCCGTTGTATCTGTGTCTAACCGTGTTAAGACCCGGCCAGCGTAAAAGTCACGCCCCTGCGCTAGAAGGCGTCAGATTTAGTGTGAGGCGGGGGCATTTCAGTGCCCCCGCCCCCCCCCCCATTCTGATCACGGCTAGCCACTGCTCTGGCTGCCCCCTTAACCTCCCCTCTTGCCACTGTGCTTCGCCAGAATCAGCGGGATCCACGACTAAACGAGATCCTGTTCCCGTTCTATGAGCCCAAGAGGGCAATGCAGATCATAGAGAAGTATGAGCGAGATGAGGAGCTGAAGGTGAAAGGTAACGGGGGGGGTCGGCTCGTCTGTGTGCATGCAGAGAATCGGAATGTAGACGGATAGGGTGGCCTGATTGGTCTGGTCCCTTTTGTAATCATACAGTTTTCAGTATTCTTTCAGAATTAAATGTGTTTATGAGTTTAGTTATTCCTGTTGATTGGATTTTCACTTCCATCTCATAATTTCTTGTATTTCTCCTGCCCCCTAGTGGTGAAGTGAAGCAGCAGTTGTTGCTGTTTGTTCCACTGTTTAATTTTTTGTTTCCACAAAATGCATAATGACGTTGCAGAAAGGCATTTAAAGTAATTGATTAAATGTTAACGATGGCCTTAAAAATATCATTGACTTTTTATCATTGCATACTGCCTTTACTTATTATGATGCATTGATGTCAGATTACACTGAGTCCTGTATATAAAGATCACCTGTATCGCATATACACAGAATTTAGGGTCACATTTGTGAGGTGTCATCTGTTGCAGTAATGTGTGTCCATTTTTGGGGGATTATTTATTGGTTTGATTACTGGTTAAAACATGGGAAAGTATTAGACATCAGCAAAATATGACGGCAGCATGGTGATGTCTGCTGGATTTTGATTGGACTTCCCCTTTTAACACGTGACTGATCACACCTGCCGCTTCTCTCCCTGCTGCCCCCGCAGGCCGCATGTCATGTGACGGCTTCTGCCGGTACCTCATGTCGGACGAGAACGCGCCTGTCTTTCTGGACCGTCTGGACCTGTACCAGGATATGGATCAGCCACTGGCCCACTACTTCATCAGCTCCTCGCACAACACCTACCTGACGGGGCGCCAGTTCGGGGGCAAGTCCTCTGTGGAGATGTACCGACAGGTGCTCCTGTCTGGATGCAGGTGCGGACCGTGTGCTCAAACGGGCTCCTGTGTTTGGGAGCCTGGGACCACACAGGACAGGGATTGACAAAAACCATCTGTCACTTCGTGCCGTTTTGCCTACTAAGCTTCACCGCAAGGTGGTGCTGTTCCAGGTGCAGACTTAGCCCGGTGTGTGTCTTTTCAGATGCGTGGAGCTGGACTGCTGGGATGGGAAGGGGGAAGACCAGGAACCTATCATAACGCACGGAAAGGCCATGTGTACCGACATACTGTTCAAGGCAAGTCCGCATGGACAGAGGTGCAGAGAAAGGCAGGCCGACTCCTTGAATGTACGATGGAGATGCACCCTAAAGTATTACTCTACTTCATACATCACATGGTTGCTACCTACAGGTTCAGTGTAGTTATGAAATTATTTTCCATTTCCACAAGTATTGGAACAGGGACAATGGAGCGTGTTCGTTTTTTGCGTAAGTGTAATGCAGTACCAAGTGAATGATAATGATTGCACATTACACAGTGTTCTGGATACATATTCAGTATTGACCCAGTGGTAACGAAACCTTCTGCGCATGAAGAAATGGTCCAGTCAGAGATTGCAGGCCACACTTCTTCAGCTTTGAGAGATGCCTTCTCCTTTCAGGATGTGATCCAGGCCATCAAAGAAACCGCCTTCGTAACCTCGGCGTATCCAGTGATTCTCTCTTTTGAAAATCACTGCAGGTGAGTCATGTCTGAGTATTCGCCCGTCGGGGTGATTAAAACACTACTGCCATAATTAACCTGCCGCTGTCATACACTTCTGGCTATGTAATGGACTATAACTAGAAGGTGGCCGATTCTAGTCTCAGGAGAGTCCTCACTGGAGTCCCTTTGAATAAGGCATTTATGTTCTATTCTATTCAGCAGACCATTTTGTCCAAAGTGACGCAGTGAGGAAAACTTGGGGTCAGAGAGCAGGGTCATCCAGTGTCCCTGGAGCAGTTTAGACTAAGGGCCCAATGACAATATTACTACCAGCGAAACGACTCAATCCCACTACCCTTCCGGACCTCAACTTACTGAGCTACACACCATCTCTGTTATTAGAATATCCGACTGTACCAAGGGCTTCATATTTTCTCTTTGATGTTTTCCACAGTAAACCACAGCAATACAAGATGGCGAGATACTGTGAGGAGATCTTTGGAGACCTTCTGCTCAAGCAGCCAGTGGAGGGCTTCCCGGTGCGTCCCCGTTCTGGCAGCCAGCGTCGCTATCGCTGCCGTCAGCGTTAAACCCCCGTTCTGTGTTTCATCACAGATCGAAGCCGGGAGGCCACTACCATCCCCCATCGATCTGAAGAGGAAGATCCTCATCAAAAACAAGCGCTTAAAACCGGAGGTGGAGCAGAGTAGGTCTCCTCCAGTTGGTTCGAGTTACCCTTAAAAACGCCACATGTCTGCTGCATACTTATTTGGTACTGTTACTGCAGTGTCTTCTTTTTGTAATGAAAGTACAGGAAGATTATTAAACAAGTCCTGAATTTATAGTACCTGGTAGGATTTTGTGAGTGTCTTCATGGTCTCAGGCTGGCAGATACGTTCGGGCCGGCAGTGTGACTTTGGTGATGTCTTCGTGGCATACAGAGCAGATGGAAGCCTTCAGAAAGCAGATGGAAGCTGGAGAGATCAGCACCCCGGCCAGCATCCTAGAGGACGAAAATGAGGAGGAGGGTGACGGTGGTAAGTCTGGGCCTGCTTGACCTGTTTGTCATCTTTGAGGTTCCCAAGTCCACCTCTGATCTTGTACTTGTAGGCTCGTGACCTCTGCGGTCAATGGAGATGGAGGGTTAGGCAGGATTTGAGACATGTTGTTTTGGGAGTCAGTGTGGAAGATGGTAATGATGGACAAAATGACGCTTCATGAAACCACTAGATGGTGCTCTTGGTGTGCTTTGGGGCATGCTTTGTGCCCTTTTTTGTACAGAGAGCACCATCTAGTGGAGTTAAAAAAATACAGCAAATGGTTCGTAAAGCATCATTTTGTCCATAACTAGACACTCACTGGTCAACCTGCTTCACTGTGTTTTTTGTAAAAGTGACAAAGGCCTACTGCACAGCAGGTAGCTGTGTTACCGGCTCTTCCGACGCAGCAAGTACAGTCACTCCTGTGTTCTTTCACGCTCTCCCAGCCGAGGTAAAGGACGGAAACCCAGAACCGAAAAACGTAACCAACCTGTCCTCAGACGAGATGAGCGACGCCCACCTGAACAGCGTTAAGAAGGTACCTTCCTACCTCTTCTTTACAGCATGCTTATGCGACCTGCTCCACAATGCCCCCTGCTGGACGGGAGGTTCACATTCTGCTAGGGCATTAAAACTGCTGCATGGATTTCCACTTAAGCACGGGGGTCCTGCTCCGTACTAAACTGTCAAGCTGCAATGAGATTTACCTGGAAGTCCAACACAGAAAAATAAACAATCCTCATACAAAGTGAAGAGAGCGAGCCTCCACCCATACTTCTTCCATAAGTGCTTATCCAGTTCTGCTTATATGACGTTCACAAAGTCCCACGCTGACCTCTACAGTCTGCGTTTCCTCAAGAAACTTCAGTTTCTTGGTCTGCTGGCCTAAACCACTTAAATGTCATGTGATCCTATCAACTTGCTGTGGTCTGGCCGCACTCAGTAGGTTTAGCAGAACGGAAGGCGATTCGCCACTTTAACTTGTGCCTGATGTTTGCCAGGTCACCGACGAGGAGGGAGTGGAGATGTCTGAGTCCACAGATGCCCCAGACACCACAGATGTGTCTGAAATCTCCGATCAGGACAATAATAAGAAGGTAACTGCTGCTTTGTGTTTATGTTCTCCGGAATAATTTACCCTCCTTAGATCTCTCGCTAACTCTATATACAAGAAGAGGCTGCTATATATCTACTTAATATACCAACCCCTCCACTGGGGTCGTACATTAAGGTCGGTGTCCACCTATTACAGGCTACAGATTTCTGTTCATTTCCATAGTTGAGCGACTGTTGTTCATTTTCTCATTTGTTTCTTCACACACATCTGTATTTAAAGGTGAAACTCATCCATCTATCCATCCATCCTTGCGTCCATTCATCTTCTTTTGGCTAATTCCTGGGGTACACCCTGGACGGGATGCCAGTCCATCGCAGGGCACATACACGCACACACTTGCACAACCTTCATTTTCCTGGCATCTGTCACACCTTGTGTTTCGTCTGTCATTGTGAACGAATGTGAATCACTGTGTGTGACTAAAGGCCTTTGCACATCACGTCCGAAGCCTTCATATGTGTTTTTGTTTAATTCGTCATCCGGTAAGAATTGTTATACACAAACATAGCCCGATACATTTTATTATCCTATAATTGAGAAAATTCACAATACGAGATGAAATGGAGTCATCAAGCCTTGAGGATGATTTTGTGGTCCGTCTCCTGAGCAGGAGAAAAAGAGAAAATTCTGGTCCTTCTGATCCTGAGAAGCCGTCAAGAGCAGGGAGAATTTCATGGGTTTAATAGGCAATCCAAACTGTGCCATTGGAAAAATGGCTCTAGGTGGTCAGCAGATATTCAGAGTACAGCCTCAAAACTGCAACATACCTACAAAATCATGGTCAGTACCTCTTGAGGTATGAGACAAACGCAGAATATCATACCTGCTCCGTAAACTTTTAATGATGGATGTTGTTGTGTAAACGTGATTGACACATTTATGCAGTTCAAGATGTTACTGTAACTCCAGGGAACAGCAACAGCACTCTGGGGTGTGAATTTTGTCCATTTTCATCTGCACTAATCTAATCTACTGCTGATTTTGTTTTTATGAACCTTAAAATAGAATGGTGTATCCCTCTGTACCTCCACCTCTCTATCCCTCTTCGTCTGTCCCTCTGTCTATTCTTCATCTTTGCTCCTCTTTATCTCACTGTGCCTTTATCCCTCCATCCCTATCTGCCTCTCTCCCTCAGTGTTTCTCTGTCCCTCTATTTCTTTCTCCCTCAGTCTGTTACTGTCCCTCCATCTCTCTCTCTGTCCCTCCATCCCTCTTTCTCTCTGTCTGTTACTCTGTCCCTCCATACTCTGTCCCTCTATTTCTCTCTCCCTCAGTCTGTTACTCTATCCCTCCATCCTTCTTTCCCTCAGTCTGTTACTGTCCCTCCATTTGCCTCAAAGCTTCTCGCCCTGCCGTCTCTCGCTTACATTTGGCCTGTTTGGGACACTCAGTGCCAGAACGAGCTCCTTCCATGTGACCCATGTGTGTTTCTCTATTTCTAAAGGCTGGGGAGAATGTGGAGGACGACGAACAGGCCCTGATTGCCTCATACAAGTATGTGGGGGCGACCACCAACATCCACCCTTACCTCTCCGCCATGGTGAACTACGCCCAGCCCGTCAAGTTCCAGAGCTTCGAAGTGGCAGAAGGTATGTTCCCTTCATACTCCAAGACGTGGTGGTCGTCGTCATGACCACCCAGCCCTGAGAAGCAGGAGATCAATCTCTCAACCAAACCATAGTTCTTCGTGTGCTTCAAACCATGCCAGCCCAGTGACATCTGCAGAAGTCCTCAGTGCAGAGTTACCTGCAGATCAGTCCCTTGTCATCTAGCGATTCGCATGTGTGGTTCTGTGGTGCTGAAATGAGCTGCCAAACCACATTCAGTCGTCAGATTCTCCCTACCTCAAGAAACACATCAAGACCCATCTGTTCCAGGAACACCTCTACTAGCCTGATTCCAGTCCATGTTCCCTGAAGGCTCCTAACGCTGCACTCCCTACTCATTGAATACTCGTCTTATTAGCTTCCTGCTTTGTTTGGTAGATGCTGTGTAGCTCTTGCTCCTGTACTGCTTACACTGTTACCTGGGCATTCATTGGAAGCTCAGCCTAGCTGCACTTCTGCCGAGTCCCTGACAGCCGTATGTTTGTAATGCGCCATTTGCCTCACTTGTACGTAACTTTGGACAAAAGCTTTTGCTAAATAAAATAAATGTAAATGTGATGGCAGTGCCAGGGGGCCTCAAGGGCCGTGAGCCAGCCAAAGGCTGTTTACTTACTGAGAACTTCCCTAGCCTGCTGCTAGAGGGCAGCGTAGAGCAGTCGTCTGAGAAAGCTGGATGCTCTGCGGCTTCAGTTCCACACATGCAGCGTGCATATTTATACTCCTGATAGTGTGTGTATATATGTGTGTGTCTATATGTATATTTCTTGTTCTCTTGTTTCTAAGGTGAAGTCTGGTTTTTTTCAGCTCAGCAGTTTGACAGACTGCCTTTCATTTATACAAAGGGAGGCTGACACACTAGTGATTTTATTCTTGTATACAGCTCTGGAAATAATTTTGCTGTGGTCTCTTACTTTTCAGTTTCACTCATTCCTCTGTTTAAGGGTATGAACCCGTGTAAAATTCTTTTGCAAGCTCTAGCCTGGTTCTTCCCTGTTTCTCATTAACAAAGGGCTTCTTCCTTGCTTTATGGGTCTTCAGTCCTGCTTCTAGGAGCCTGATACCAGCAGAGCACTTCACACCACTTAATGTTTCCCATTCTTTATGATGGCCACTTGAGGTCATCATCCGATGTATGAGGCTGATAAGTTGTCAGTCATCTCTGCCATTTGAAAGTTGCTTCAACCCTTTACCTGGCTGGTTTTTGGTTATTGTCAGTGTCTCCAGTATCACCTTCAGTTCTTGTGTACTGTTTGTTAGAAACTTTGAGCCTTGAAGCAGCCTGCCTCGCAATGTAGCCTTCTGCAAGCAGAACCAGGATTAAAGCAGGATTGAAAAAGGCAGATTTTTGAAAAAATTGAGATCACTGTATATTTATCCAGAACTGTGTAGCTGGTGAATTGAGTAGGGCGCTGCAGTTCTTTCTGCATGCTTGAGTGTTTCATTTCCCGTGGGGCCGCTGTGTGACCTTTGGCTCTCGCTGCGTGAGAAGGTCTCGTCATACCCCTGACCCAGCACTGAAGAACTGGTCACATGGTGACATTGGCTGCAGTTGGTCTTCAGTGATAACTAAATAATTGAATCAGTAGAAGGACGGATGGGTAAAATGTAGGAAACATAAGTTTTTTTGTATTTTTTTTTAAGTAGTTAAAAAAAAAAATCTGTTTACTGTCCAAATGCTTTTGATTTTTTTTCATTTTGTGTAGTTTTTACCCCCCAACAATATCTTAATACATCCATAGAATCCATCTATCCTTGCAATGTCGAGGGGGGGGTCCTTTGGAGGCAATAGTGGCTCCAGGCAGCTTAGGGCAAAAGGCAGCTTTTTGTGTGTGTGTGCACGCTGTGTGTGTGTGTGTGTGTGTGTGTGTGCACGCTGTGTGTTTAAAGCCCCCTCTGCAATATCTTACTCTTTCCAGAGAGGAACATCTACCACAACATGTCCTCCTTCAACGAGTCAGTGGGCCTGGGTTACCTGAAGACCAACGCCATCGAGTTTGTCAAGTATCCTGAGCATTTGGGGGGGGCTTGGCCCGTTCTTGTGTTCCCCCTGTCAGTCTCCCTTCCCGTTCGATTTGGGGTTGTAAAATGCGGCCTTTCCCCGCCTCCCCGTGGACGGACGTGGGGGTCTGCCTGAGATGCTGTCCCCCCCCCCCCCCAAGTTTTCCTGAACAAGACGTGCAGCTATAACAAGCGGCAGATGAGCCGGATTTACCCCAAAGGCGGCCGCGTGGACTCCAGTAATTACATGCCTCAGATCTTCTGGAACGCCGGCTGCCAGATGGTGTCCCTGAACTACCAGACCCCAGGTAACGGGGGTGAGGGGGAGGCCACGTGTCATCGCCCTGTCACAACCCCCCTCCCCAGCCCCCGAGTGCCCAGACAGGCCGAGGCTACAGCGCCCCCCGGCATTCTGCCGAGAACATATGTGTGGGGGGGGGAGACATGGTGTCCTGTCGGGGAGGAGGGTTAGGGTTACACTTTGCACACAGAGATGGAGCCTGATCTGGGAGCAGGCCAGACATGCAAGCAGCATGGGCCCTTCCAAGGGTTACCCAGGGCAACGGGAGGCCGCACGGGATTCCCATACGGACATGGATACCAGTCTTTGCAGATCGTTCTCACAGACACTGTGCCCTGGGGCCCGGAGCGTCCTGGGGCCCGGAGCGTCCTGGCCTCGGGTTGCGTTTTCAGGCTGTGTAGTTGTGCCCCTTGATCACAGCCTCTCTCTCTCCCACAGATTTAGCTATGCAGCTGAACCAGGGGAAGTTCGAGTATAACGGCTCTTTCGGGTGAGTGTCGCTGCTGCCCTCTACCTGTGTATTAAGGTAACACTGTAAGGACTGGGGTGTACTTTATGCGACACAATACGTGGGTAACATGATGTTTGCTCTGCTCAAGCAGTGTACTGACTGTACTTGCATGCATAGCTTATGTCTGTCTGGAGGATTAAAGGTCATGTCCACCAGGGGTCAGTGCAAGAAACTTGGTCGCTCTTTCATTTCTTACTTGTTTGTATGAGGTTGTGGCATGAAATGTATAAATGGGCCGTAAGTCCTCTGAGCTTGAAAGAGTGACTCATCCCAGGAACTGCAGGCAGGTCCTGGCAGGGGTGTCCACAAGCACCCCCCAACTGATGTTTAATGTGGTACAGAGCTGCTAAATGTCGACATGATGGAGCTTCTCCATGTCACACGACATTAACACAATAATAAAATACACATTCTGCATTATTCATTTCCCACAAAATCTTCCTTTGGGGATTAATGAAGAGCCTGTCACTCTGTCTTTATCTATCTCTGTCCCTCCATCCCAAACAGGTTTCTGTCTTATCTTATGTATCTTTGTAATAAACTTCACACTGGACTGTAGTTGTTAATGTTCACGCTGTGCAGGCGTGCTGCCCTTCCCTGTCGCGCTGTGCAGGCGTGCTGCCCTTCCCTGTCACGCTGTGCAGGCGTGCTGCCCTTCCCTGTCGCGCTGTGCAGGCGTGCTGCCCTTCCCTGTCGCGCTGCCCAGGCGTGCTGCCCTTCCTGTTCACAGGAACCTCTCCTCTCCGCCCAGGTACCTGCTGAAGCCAGACTTCATGCGGCGCTCCGACCGCATGTTCGACCCGTTCTCCGAGACGCCGGTGGATGGGGTCATCGCCGCCCACTGCAGTGTTCAGGTTGGACAAAATGTGGAGTGTACGATGCCCCAGTCACGTTGGAGCTCACACTCGTGCCTCACCAGCCCCTCCGTGTCACTTCCTCCCAGGTGTTCTCAGGCCTCTTCTTGTCCGACAAGAAGATCGGCTCCTACGTGGAGGTGGACATGTACGGCCTGCCCACAGACACCATCCGCAAGGAGTTCCGGACTCGGATGGTGATGAACAACGGGCTGAACCCGGCATATAACGAGGAGCCGTTCGTATTCCGGAAGGTCGGTCTGAGGTCACACCTCGACCGGGGGGGGAGTGTCGCCGCCGCACAGGGCCGGCCCATAAGTCATGTCACGCCGGATGCCGCAGTCAGCAGTCCACGGGTCGGGTCTGTGGCCCTCGCTGTTTTGGCGCAGGGTCGTTCTCGCCACCGGTCGCCCCCAGCTGCAGGCAGGTCCCTCTGGATGTGGTGGTGGTGGGGGTGGGGGGGGGTGCTGAGAGCAGGAAAATCCGCAGCGTCCGTCGCAGGGTATAAATCAGTGCTGATGTGGCTCTCCTTCATGCCGCGCTGCTCCTTGAACTGCCACCACCACCGTACGTCTGCCTGCCGCTGCCTCTCCTGGGACCTCATGGGGGGGGGGGGGGGTGACGCTTTGTTTTCTCGTTCACCGTGTTCCTTTTTTACCCTTTTTGCTGGGCCTGCAGTATTTGAGTCTCCTGTGTTCACACGCATTTTTATTTCATCGCACCTACATTGTATCGCTCTTACTCCTTACCAATTATCAAGGTGTTTTTTTTTTTCTTTCCCCATGTATCTCATATTAATATATGAATATCCATAAAATATTCCACACGTCCATTCGGCAGCTTATTTTGGACAAAGTCATGTGGTCGTCGGGAGCCTATCCCAGGCAGCGCAGGGCCCAGGGCTGGGGCCCCTGGATTGGGCCCCCAGCCCATCAGTGCACATATCCATTCGTCATTTACAATGCAGATGCTAATGAATCCCTCTGCAAACTCCACCTACAATGAACGAGGCGGGATTCGAACCCCCAGCCTTTTAGGTTGGAAGCCTCAGAGTTACCCGCTGAGTTGCCATTCTATTTCACTAATTACATATTAATATTACAAGTTTATAATTATCATGACACATTGATAGTCGTGTTTAGCTGCTCTAAACAAGCTGTGCTGATGGATGTCTGACACTTGGAGGTTCAGACCTACCCCTACCTACCATCTTATGTTAGAAATGCATCAGTAGACCATCTCACCTTCTTTTAACCGATAATTAGCCAGACGCTTAGAGCAGTCACCCCCCTCCCCCTCACCACTGTGCTCTCCCCGGCCAGGTGATCCTGCCGGATCTGGCGGTTCTCCGGATCGCCGTCTATGACGACAACAACAAGCTGATCGGGCAGCGGATCCTGCCGCTGGACGGCTTGCAGGCTGGCTACCGACACATATCGCTGCGGAACGAGGGCAACAAGCCGCTCTCCCTGCCCACCATCTTCTGCAACATCGTGCTCAAGACGTACGTTCCAGACGGATTTGGAGGTGAGCCGCAGAACACAGAGCCCACCCCCCCCCCTACGTTCGGACATCTGCAGGACACGCTCAGGCTGGGGTGATCCCTCACGGTCTGAAGAGTCCGCCATGTCACACATTTGTCCCCCCCCCCCGTGAAAAATAATTAATCCAAACGCGACTGAGCGTGGAGTGATGCTCCCTTCTCTGGCTCGAGGCTGCGCGTCTGCTCTCACGTTCAGAGTTTTTCTTTTCTTTTTTTTTTCTAATTTTAGTAACAATTGGGGCAGAATAAAACGAAGGACTGCATGATGCGGCTTTAATGAATGAGGCTGCGTATTTACAGTCCATGTTTTATTCAGTCTGATGGATTATGGCGAACCTGTGCTGAAATCTCCATTATCCCGTCCAGGCGCACTTCTGATCCGCACGTGTCAAACACAGCTGCCATTTTGGTTTCTAATGCTTATTAATGCTTATTGTTTCATCTCCCGATGATCGCTGTATACAGCATAATTAAGCAAGGCTGTGAACCCATTTTTCCTTCTAGAGATCGTGGATGCCCTCTCAGACCCGAAGAAGTTTCTGTCCATCACGGAGAAGAGAGCTGACCAGATGAGGGCCATGGGCATCGAAACGGTGCGTATGATTCACACGACCAGCACCCATCCTAAGGGCGGAGGCATGGAGGACTGTGTTGGGGAAAGACCAGCGCTTGGATGAGGTCGTCTTTTCAGGGATTAAGCTGTCCTAAGGTGAAGAGGGCAGTAGATGTAGGGTTTGAAACGTACGGCCTTCCAATCACCGCCCTGCTGCAGCTGTATTGAATAGGGCCATAGACGGGGCCGGGGGGGGGGTTGGTTGGTTGGCTCTTTGATGCTTTTCCATTGTGGCACTAAAAGGCCACAGACTGCATTACAGGCTGGAGAACCCTGGGCTGGGGTTTCCTGACAAGGAACCTTTTTTTTGCCACCCTCCGTTTTAGAGCGACATCGCCGATGTGCCAAACGATAGCTCGAAGAACGACAAGAAAGGAAAGGCGAATCAGGCCAACGCAGTTCCGCAGAGCGGGTCCGAGTTGGGACAGACCTCCATGTCGGGGCAGACCAACATCAGCGAAGCCAAGAAAGGTCCTCTACATCCGTCCGTCTGTATTCATATGCTGTCTGTTCTCCATCTTCTTTCTGTCTACACCCACATAGCCCCCATCTTTTGTTCTGTTCCACTTGCAGCCATTTTCCCCCCCCATGATTCCTCATAAGATAAACATGTATGTGACAGGGTCCTGCCATCTCTCCTCCTCTGGATAATGTCTGTTAACACCAGAATGGAAAAGTCACAGTGTCTTTCCTGCGCTTTCAGACGGCGCGCTCATACCTCAGGTGAACATCGAGGACCTGAAGCAGATGAAGGTAGGGCACCAGGCCACACCAACATCCATCCAACTCCGCCTGTCACCCACTGTGCTCACTCCTGACCTAGCCTAGCTCTTTGTTTTGCTAACTGTTGTTCCCTTTTGTTCAAACACTACAGTTTCACCAAGCAAACCAACATAGGCTCCAGAGACTGCATTTTAATTTAGAAGCTTTGGAGGAATAACATCCTGCCTGATCTGACTTTATTAAATACTTTTTATTTTTGTACCCTGCAGACATATCTGAAGCTGATTAAGAAGCAACAGAAGGAGCTGAGCACTTTGAAGAAGAAGCACGCCAAGGTAAATGGCATCTCCCTCATCGCATACGGCGCCGCCCTGCTGGTGGGTCGAGAGAGGTACAGCTGTTGAGGAAAACGTGCCGGTGTCCTCTGTGCAGGACAACAGTGCCATGCAGAAGTGCCACTGTACCCAGGTGGACAAGATGGTGGCTCTGCATGATAAGGAGAAACTGACCTGCGAGAAGCTTCTGGAGAAAGCCGTCAAGAAGAAAGGGTAATGTGCTCATGGTCGACGGGGATGGGGGCTGGGGAGGGGTGTGGGGCGCTGTTGGTTAAGCAGGGCAAGAAAGTGGCTGCTGACATCACTCAACCGTTCTGTGATCCTCAGAGAAAACAACTGCCAGGAGCTGAAGAAGGAGGTGGAAATCAAGGTCCAGGAGCTGACGTCCGACCACAAAGCCAAGGTAGGCCTCAGGCTGCCACTGCCCCCCTGCTTCCAGGCCGCACATTCCCAGGAGGTCAGGTGGCTGACTGAATCCATGCTCTGCGAGCAGGTGAAGGATATCGTCGCCCAGCAGACCAAGGAGTGGTCAGAGATGATCAACTCCCACAGCATGGAGGAGCAGGAGATGAAGGACCAGCATGTGCTACAGCAGTGTGAGCACCTCAGGAAGCTCATGCTGGCCGTGCAGGAGCAGCAGACGCAGAACCTCAAGATGATCCACGAGAGGTCGGGGAGGGGTTTGTTTTGGGGGGGCCTCCATACCCCACGATGCTGCAGATGTGACTGATCGCCTCTCAACCTGCCACCTACAGGCAGAGCAAAGAGATGCGGGCTAACCAGGCCAAGTCGTCCATGGAGAACAGCAAAGCCATCAGCCAGGACAAAAGCATCAAAAACAAGGCCGAGCGAGAGAGGTACGGTGCGTCCTGAAGGCCCCGGAGAGCCGGGTCCGAGGCGCAGGGCCCGACCCCATTCGCAGTTTCAGACCTTTATGTGCCAGGGCCACTGATTTCTGTGCACCTTCGCAGGAGAGTTCGGGAGCTAAACAGCAGCAACACCAAAAAATTCCTTGAAGAAAGGAAAAGGGTACGTGTGGAGTTGGTTTGCTCTCAGCAATGCTGGGTTCAGGTCCAGTTAATATCTGCCACGGGGGCAGGGGGGGCAGCACATCTGCTCACAAGGACAATTCTCACTGGTTTCCAGCTCGCCATGAAGCAGTCGAAGGAGATGGACCAGCTGGAAAAGACTCAACTGGAGCAGCTTGAGAACCTGGAGAAACTCAATGAGCAGGTAGGAAAAGCTCGTCACCTGTAGGGGGCACTAGTGGGCCGGACTACTTGGCACTAAGGTGTGAGGTTCCTGGATGTATGGTTAGCAGTTGGGTGGTTTAACAGCCAGTCCAGTGAAGTCACCATGTGGTGGTTTGAGTGGAGAAGGCCTCGGCCCATGGTACACGGAGCTTCCTTCTTATGGAGGTGTCCCCACTACCCTAATAGTATACCTGTCATACCTGTCATCCTGGGGCCCTGCTCAAAAAGTCACTTTGGGGTTGATGTTTCAAAAACTAAATTAGCTAGAGTCCAAAGATTGTAACTAGCTAGCTGGTTAGCAGAACATGTCGCTTCAGCATCTCCTAAATAAGGAATGCGTTTATTTAATACTTACTGTAGTGACTGTTTGGCCAACAGGGGCCCCCAAACCTCAGGGGCCCCATGCAAATGTGTGACTTGAGTGTTAATGAGCATTACAGCTGACCAGTCAGAATACTGTGACGCTGACATGGTCTCTGTAACGATCTTGATTTGTCATTGTCAGATTTCTTTTAGTATTTCATTATTTATTATTATTATTACTATTATTATTCCTTTTTGTTTTGTCATCTGTCATTGTTTTGATATTTGTTTATATTTGATATTATTATTATTTATTGTTTATATTTGATATTATTATTTATTGTTTATATTTGATATTATTATTATTATTATTATTTATTGTCCATTTTTAATATGATTTGCTTGAATTTGTATTTTTTTGTACAGCTTAAGAATTCACACCATGCAAATTCTCAGTGCCCAGGTAGGCCCTGCTGTTCTTCTAACGGACCATTACCCCCCCCCCGTCCCTTATCCCCCCCCCCGTCGCGGTCTGGAGACACGGGAGCTTAAGAGTGGGGGTGCCGTGCGGGGAGCGTGTGTGAGTAATGTAGGGATCACATAGGATCACGGCGACTTCCACCCCCCCTCCCCCCCCCCCCCCCCGGAATGAAAAGGGGTCTTTCTACTCGAGTAGGTTGATGTTAGGAGTGGCGGAGGGGAGGTGAAAAGGGGTTGGGGGGGTCCTGTGCGCCATGGGTGGGGGCGGCGAACTAAGGCCGTCCGCTGGGTCGTTGCAGGCCAAGGACATGCAGCAGATGGTGAAGCTGGAAGCAGCGATGGACCGGAGACCAGCCACAGTGGTGTGAACTCCTCAGCCGACTGAGGGGGGCGGGGGCCCTTTTGTGGACAGACACCCTCTGACGTGATACTTAAGCTCTCCGAGCTGTGCGCCCCCCGACCCCTCTCCCCCCCACCCTCAAAGAGGCAACAGCGTCACCCCAAGCGATGGGATCCGCCCCCACACGGCCCGTCCATCGCCACTCACCTCTTCCCACTTTTTCTATTTAATTTTTTCTAACAACAGCATAGCCTGCGATTTGTCTGACATGCTGCGATTTTAGATACTGTCCCACTGTTTATGCCAATCAGGATTATTAGATCTGATGTATTAACGTGTATTTCTACATTTTTATTTGTATTTTAATAGTGTGAGACTATAAAAGGCAGAAGGAGAGTAAACATCTGTCAGTCAAAATCGCACGGCGGCCTGGAGGTGTAAGTATTACGTCATAGGCACTTTTATGACGAGTAGGTTTTAAGGTAGTCCAAAAAATGTAGCAGTGCCCTTCCTCATTCCTCCATCCATCTCTCGACCCTAAAGTACCGTGGGTTTGAGTGGTGGGGGGAGCTGGGGGGGGGGCAGCCTGTCCGCTGGCCGTAGAGACCCACAGAGCCGCTGCCGTCCGGACTTTGAAAAACCAATATCGCAATAGCAATGCCATCATCACACTTTTAAAAAGTATATTATTTAACTTTTAGGATAATTTAAAAAACGATCAGCTAAGCTGCTGTTGTAGGGTGCCATCCATCCATCACCCATTTTTCCACTGCCTGTCCTGGACAGAATCATGGGGGGGGGGCTGAAGCCTATGTCAGGCATCTTAGGGCACCAGGCTGGAATCCACCCTGGATCGGATACCAGTTAGTGGAATACCAGTTTATTTTGACATTAACAAGGTTTGGAGATTCGGCCACAGATCCAGCAGAAATCAGATGTCCAATCCGTTCGTTGCCTTCTATTGCTCATGATGAAACCTTTTACCCCCAGCCTGTGTTCACATCGATTCTCTTGGGTAGAGACTAGATGGTGTGGGACTATTAGGACTGGTTAGTGCTCATCATCTGGTTATCCTCACTAAGTACCTCATTAAGACCTCATTAAGTGTCACCTGCAGCAATTGATTTTACCCTTTCATTTCAGATTAAAAAATCAGCTCAGCTGTGTATTTCATCACATGAATGGCTTTACTAGGTATTTCTCTCATCTGAAATTAATAATTGCCAAATTCAGTACTATTGGACATGAGTTTTGTGTGTATTTACTGGGGCTTATGCTACTTAAAGCAGTGGTTTACTGGGGATTTGGAGGAGGCGGGACTTCCTTTATAGGAAGCGGGACTTCCTTTTTCAGGAGGCGGGACTTCCTTTGCATGCCACTGTCTTTGGGTAGTATGTGGTAATAGAGCTGTGGTTCAGGGTGAGAAGCAGTGGGGGTTTAATTGGCATATGGAGGCCAAAGTGTTTCACGCACAGTTACAGGACGACTGTCCATGTGGGTCTGCTGCCTTGTCTCCGTCTCACTGTAATTTGTCATATTGGCAGAGATCAACACAACCTTGATTGATACTATTTATGACCGATGCCACTAAAAGGTGACAGTCAGTGTCGAACCTCAGCCTTGCATCCTGCTGTGGTTTCTGTCCATCCGTGTTCCGTCGTCATCACTGGAAGTGGTTCGTCCTTAATGTACAGAGCGAGAGATGCAGTGTGACAGTTCATCAATTGCAGGGAATGTTTTTAAATTTCGGTCAGCTGTGTTAATATAGTACCAGCCATCGGCACTATTTAAAACGCCACCCAAAATGATAAAGCTCTTCCTTTGTATAAGGAATGATATGTACTCTAAGTTCTGCTGGTTCTCCACTCTGGTTCCGTGGCTGTAGTTCACAAAAATACAGACACTTTATGTATATACCTGAATGTATGTAGTGTATTATTTTTGACCAAATGGGTTCTGCAGTATATCAATAAGTTAAGGGCTCTGGGATTAAAAAAAAAAAAGAATATTTGTTACTGGGGAAATGAGGTTCAGAGCAACTGGCCATTTTATGTTCCGGGTCATTCCATCTTGCAGCATCATACAGTGATCATGCCTGTGATCACCTATCTAATGCGATACTATTAAGCGAAGTGCGCAAACATTTGCTGCATTGCTTTCAGATGTGCCACTCGACGGAAGTCTGGTTGGGTGTTTCGGTTATTTAACAAAATATAATGCCAAAATAAGTTATGTATATAAATAAATACATATAAATATATGAAATGAGAATATAGTAGATAGTATAAGACTCTATTAAGGTTTGTCATAGAGCCTCCTTTACACTCAGTGTATGTTTTCTGTTTGTGTGATTACATGTAACCTTTCGCTTTATAGTTTATTGTAAAAGCAATTATTACGGAAATGTTATTGCTTTTACGTTTACTGGTTTGTTTTTAGTCTTTAATTTTAACTTTGGCTTGGTGAAGGGACTTCATGTGAGTGTTTTTGTATTTATATTGTATTTGTTGAATTAGAAATGAAGATGTCGTTGTTATCATGCTACTTTAATACTGTTTTATAGTATATGTATCAATAAATAATCAAATGGTGCCCAGATGTTTGTTTTAATTATTCTCTGCTCTTTCGTTTCAGGACTGAGTCAATGTCCTCAAATATATTTAACTCCGTAGCCTGTAATATCAGTGTTTTGTCTTTTGTGTCATTTATATGGGTGAACAAAAGTGTACAGACCTTATAGTGATGTCACTGAGCTCCTTACGCAGTGCGTGCCCATCAAAGTCATGCAAACATTATTATTTATTTCAAGTGTACAGTGAGAGGCAGATTTGAGTCCAGTAAGGATTCCTGAGATTTTACATGCCTTTAAACGGTGTGTTGTGTGTAAAGCAAGCATTCTATGTGTCTTAGGAAGTGACATGAGATATAAGATTTCCAGAAATGCCCTGACAGTCAGGATAGCCTTACAAAAAGAGAGACACCACCAACAAAAGGCATCTGTAGCCAGGAGTGTGTACATTAAACTTATGTGAAAGTGCTGCAGAAGATTTATCTTCATGTGGATTAAGTTTATACATTTAGCTCCACGGGGGATGTGAACTAACAGCCAACTGATGATAATGGGCTTGGTGAAGTGACATTGAGTAACCGCTTGTTTGTTCACTGTATTTTAGTGATTTGAGCGAAGGTAGAAGTCTACACGTGATTAATCAGTTTTTGTTTCTTCATTTGGCAGAGAATCCATGTTCCTGTCATGTTCGGGGCCCAATAATGTTTAATGCAGCAATATCTTGCCGTCTTGAACAACTGTCTGCATCCTCTGGTTTCATTTAATCCCCAATGATTGCCAAACTGTGGTTTGATAAGCACTAAATGACCCCTCCCTCGTGATTCTTCAACTAGACATCTCTCTGGGCAATGCCTGGGCACAAATAGACTTTGTCTTGAGAGGCAAAGTTGTTCCTGGCATCACCAGTCCAACCATTTTGGATGAAATGACTCAGAAGAATGGTGTCGTGGCTGCACAGGGTTACCAGAAAGCACTAATTTTGTTGGCCGTCCGATGAGTCTGGGTTTCGGGGAACAGCCCTGTCAGCCGATCCATTGTCGGCCATGAAACAAAACAGGAAAGACATCCTGGTTTTCATGCGGTGATAAACCAGGTGGAAAGAGACAAGTGCAGTAGTGGTTTTGTTCTGAACCATAATTTGTAGTTTTAATTGCCATTTCTACAGGCCTTGCAAATGGGCCCCACAGAGATGTGGTTACAAGTATGTACAAGTATGGGATTTAATCTGGCAACCCTCTAATCAGATCTAACCTGCTGAGCTTAATGATGGTCTGTGAGCTCTGGTCATACTGGTCATACTAGCCATTATGCAGTCTTAAGTGTACCTTGGGCTACAGCAGGCGAGGGCAACTGTATCCGCAAAGGGCTCCTTTTAGCTTTAGGTCTGCCGTTCATACCCAGGTGTGAGGACTCTTCAGCCAATCAGTCCTCTAATTAGTAATCGAATTAGGGAGCTGCAGCGAAAACCTGCACACACAACATCCCCTTCTGGATAAAATTGCCCACCCCCTGGACTAGAGGAAATCGGAATTGAAGGCTTGAGCACAAAGCCCTTCATTTTAACACTTGCCTTTTTCGTTTAGTCTACCTCTTTTATGAATCATTTTATGTTTTTTAAATGAATTTATTATATAGATCATACACACTCCTTTCACATACACACATTGGATATAAAGTGATATAAAATTATTACATGTGTACTACAAAGTGGATTGTATCTGTAAATGTTGGCCCTAGAATAGACCTTTCTCTGAAATTATTAGCTCTCACTATGGTAATGGAAGTAAATAAAAAACATTCAGCCATTTCCCCTTTATAAATGGGCACAGAGCGGCATTCTACGCTAGCGTGCCTTTATAACGGGAATTGATAACCACTTTCAGTATCCAAATGCATGCGCACTCGTAAACACACTCATCAGATCAACACAACCTCTGAAGCACCGCTCAGTAATTATATTGTCGATGCTGCAGCTTCCAAAAACGGGAACCATATTAATGATTTTTTTGTTGTCCTGGTAACGTAATCCATCCATCCATAAATATGGGGACAAATGCTCCTTACACAACAATGACTGTGGAGCTGTGTGCTTGATATAAAGTGACTGTTTGGCGTGCTGAGCACTTCAGAAAAACCCCCCACCAGGGTGAAGATGGAGTTTCTCCTGCAAGCCATGGTGAAAAACAGAGCTCATCTGACCAGGTTCATCTTTGATGCGCTCGACGGAAAGATACAGTATATGATTCAAAGACAGCCGGAGGTCACACCCTGTTGATCCACGTTGCCCTTCTACCCAACGGCTCCGAGTTTAAAGTTCTTGCAACTTCTGCTGCGAGGGAGAGTGAGTGTAAACTCCTAGGATGCAAGCGGCTGCCCTAGTCTGAATCACGCCTGTAAATGGCCCCGTCCGGACACCATAGGGAAACGTCGTCTAAGCTGGGGGAACGCGTGGAGGAATACGGGCCTTCCAGCCACACAGCAGACACTTGCTCCTTGTAGATGTCTCGGTGTGGTCTTTCAGAAGGTTCGGTCTCCAGATCCACTGGCAGAACAAGGCTGGACACCTGGGGGTGGACAGCTTCACCGGCACACAGGAGGTGTTTGACCACTCTGAGGAGCAACGGCATCCCATAAAACAGCCATCAGGAGCAGAACTTGGATCATTATCTGGTCAAAGACCTGCCCTTTGGGCCTCTAAGTAGCTAATCGGAAACCAGGCATGTTTGGCCACTAAATAAATCTGACAACACAATGGATACAATTTGGCCCATTGGGTCTCCGGCAGAAAGGTGGCTCATTTTACAAACCGTAGTAAAATGGATGGACCAACATTGAGAGAGAAAGTGAGACGCACCTTCTTCATCTCACCCGCTTTGTTCTCATGTTTTTTGTTCAGCACCTTCTGCAAGGCCAGTTACGCCATGAACGGTATTAACCAAATCAGAGACCACCTGTGGACATCTGCCTTCCTTAGCCCAAAGCCGTGATCTACAAACAGCAGTTATCTTCTCCCCAAGACCAGGCAAAAACGCACTAAAAGCTGCAGAAACCTTCGACTTAACTCCATTTGATTTCTTGTTATCAAAGGCTGGCAAAGAGGACATGAAAATGACCACCCAGAAAAAGAAAAACGCTTTTGATTTTGTAAATAGGAAATTTGATGAAATATCAGAAAAGATTTATGCTGTCATGCGGCTTGCCCCTAGTCTTATGAGTCCTGCACCCCCGTGTCAAAAATAATTGCAAAATAAACCGCAAAATAGCGCGTAGAATTATGTAGTGGATCATTTTACACTGTGCTGTGGAACAAACCATTAAGGCGTTACACTTCTCCGGAATTTAAAAAGACTGGCGGTCTTGGGAGTCCAGAATTCCCGGTCCGCCGACTTCCAAGATCAGAGACTTTCCTGCTGAGTAAAGCCGTAAAACGACTCAGCGCCGTCAAATGTAAAGCTGACTTTGACTTTAAAACTTCTTAATCCATGCAGATGCGCGCAGGAAATATGAAATATCATTCTATAGTCGTATATCATCCACCAGATTGGAATCGTCCCATTTGAGTGCAATGTGCAAATAAAATGCTGGTCTTTAATCTGTAAATTGGATTTCTTGTATTTTCTAACTAACGTTTTAATACGTTTTCGTGTAACTTAGAAATGTAAAAAATGCATAAATATTCATTAAACAGCAAATTGCGTTTTAATGCCTGTTCTGCGTTATTAGCGCCCAGGTAGCTTTAATGTGGGTGCAGCTGTTTGCTTTTCCGTTGAAACCGCCCATGTCGCACCTGTACGGACCGATGGCGCCGCATTGCCTGGCAAACCGGTGAAAGTCATCGCTCAAATTCAACCCCACCTGCAAGTTTAAGCTGAAACTGAAAATAATAATTATACTGAAAATAATGTAAAAGCCTTGCCCTGGACAAATAGCCAATCAGTTTCTTATTCAAAATGTATGATAATATAGTAGTTAAATTTACCAATACAGTATAAGCATCCCCACCATGGTTCGTTCTGTTATACTATGGGCATAAACGCAGTTTGTGCTTATTTCCTAATGTCGTGACTGCCCCCCACACCGGCGTCTATAAGACGCTAAAGCGTATCTGAGCTGCTCCAAAGCGGCGAGGGCAGCTGTGGCCGCAGCTTCTGCTCCGCACGGCTGATCTGCCACATCGCGGAGCCGCAGCGGTCCGCTCACACAAAGACTGCAACCTTGCCGGGAATCGGAGGGTAAAGCGGCTCCCCGTCAGACTCAGCTGCAGTCTCAGGCATGGGAATAACGGCATTGCGGGAGTAGCCCTGGCCATCTCGCACCGAGAGACTTCAGGGAACTTCTTAAAACGAGCAGTCGTCCCTTTGACTTCATGCTGCAGTTCCCGTCCGGCTGCGCCTCAGTCTCGGATAAACACGACAGCCTCCGCAACGAGTTAACTGTCCTAAAGCGACCCCCTTTCCTCGAGAAAGGCACGTTTGCGCCTGCATCCTGAGCGCACTTCGTGCCTTTGGCGACTGGATGCTGCCGCACGCATTCCCCTGCGTTTGCTGCATTTGCGGGGCTGCCGTCGTGACTCCTCTGAACTGAGAGGGAATCTCATTTCTTCCATTTGTTTTAGTCATTAGTACATTAGTAATTTCCAAATCCAGTGAACTGAACGATGGAGCGTACGCGATCCAAGACCTTGGACGCCAGAGGAATTTTGCTCTGTCTATTAAGTAAGTGGCTTTTTTTCTGTCTTTGTCTTTGCCTTCAAAGCGGTCAATGGACAGCTTAGCGTACATTAAAAGTACTGATCCAGTAAGGGCACCGGTCCACTTCTTTTGTATCAAGTGAGAGTATGTTAACAGATGCAAGAAGTCGTGCATTTTTATGTGATGTGTATACGCGTCAGAAATATTGATATTGATAATGACTAATAATAATGTTATATTCTGGAACTTAAACTTAAATTATTGTCATCACCTAAGGGTATTTTACTATTTCGCTGCTGTCGTTAGTTGTTATAATAAACCTCCAATTCCAGGTATTGTTGCTCGAAGCCCAGCAGAGCAGGAGGTGGAGAACCTATCGGGATTATCTACAAACCCAGACAAAGATATATTCGTAGTTCGCGAAAACGGAACAACTTGCTTGATGGCAGAGTTTGCAGTCAAATTTGTCGTCCCATATGACGTCCTTGCACTCAACGGCATAGACGTAAGATTCCTCATTCCGACTTTTACATTTATTTAATAATTATTTGCATGCTCAGCACCAATTGACTCCAGTGAGTTTATTGCACAAACAGGATATGGTACTGCCAATTCGAAGAAAAGTCCTGTAATAATAATAGTATGTTGTGAATGGCACCTAAGGCGCGCGCAAGCAAACTATTATAATCGTATGCAATCAGTAAAAAACGCTGAGTCAATATATGTGAACATCAGTGCAGCTGATATGTCACTGAATAAATGGACGTGTTTGACACGAAGTTAATCCAATTAACATTTGTTATAGATCTGCAAATACCCTGCCATCAAATTTCTAATGTCTTTTTTTTTCTACAGCTGATTACAGAACAGGCGCCAATTGCGCTTCCCCGAGGGGCAGAGATTGAGGGAAAATGCGGGAGTAATGAAGCCGAGCTGCGCATTTCCTGGATAAATAACGCCTACACGTTTCGCATTTTCTTCCTTAAGGTTGGCAGGGACGTTTTTCTTACATTACATTAACCACACAGATTACAAGTATATAGTGCTGCACAGTCGCAAATTTAAGAAGGATTTTCCCAGTTCTTTTTTAGTAATTCACATAACAGATTGCTGCTATGTGAATTACTAGCTGCCAAGTTTAATTTTGGTTGTTTGTTCTTGTTGTTGTTTATTAGGAAGTACAAGACCCATCCAAGGGAAAAGCAATCTGGAAAATGAATAAGATGCAGTTTGTGTACGATACCTCAGAAACAGCACACTTCATTAACGCTTACAACCGTAAGTATATTTTGTGCTATGGCTTAAGCTATTTTAATCGAATACAGATACAAGGTGTTTAACCAGCGTTTGATTTTGAAAGCAAATATTTATTCCATTGTGTTTTATAGCCTATACTTTGGTACTACCGGTGTAATACTTTAAACTACATACATTCGTTATATTTTAAAATACGACATAACAAGCGGGATCAATAGAGAGGAGCCAATTGGGGAAAAAATCTAAAATGATTTAGATTGAATTTTACTCTGTGCTGTTTATTATATGCTATCATTATTTTTTTGCTATGGGTACGTTTGTAAGTAGGGGCAATGACACAACAAAATATTTGTTCTAACTTATTCCCATAAAAATAGGAAATAACCACATTTCTGAATTTTTACTATGGAACATTATGTATCACGTATACGTTTAGTTCGAGACAACGATAGTGTGTATTCAATTATTTTCATATGTCTATTATTTTTTTCTTTAATCTCCCGTATTGCTCGATATTTTGCGTTCCATATCTATTTTTTAATTGTTTTATATCCAGGTAGTTGGGTTGAAAAAAAATTCGTTTCATGGGCCAATATGGGCTACTTCTTAAATATTTCACAGGCTTTAACTTTGCGTTAGGCTCCGTATTTTTCATTTATAATATAGAAATTAGTATTTCCTCTACACATAACATATTCACATAAAACAAATGTTTGAGGTCGTTCTATATTTTATTTATCAAGAAAAAACAGCAGACAACACGGATCGTATATAAAATTATTTTGCTCTTTCTCTTGATTTTATTTCATACTCAATGTTTCAATAGACAGTTCAGCAAAGCTGTAGTATATATTCCTGATTTTTTTTATTGTGCGTGGTTGACAGTTTGTTAAAATGCTTGTACGGTTCTTGCACTGTATTGGTGCTGATGTTTTTCATCTTTAAACTCATGGTGCAATCTGTGTGTGTGTGTGTGTGTGTGTGTGTGTGTGTGTGTGTGTGTGTGTGTGTGTGTCTTTTCAGCTGGAAAGCACACTGCGAACTCTCATCGCCTCTCAGCTCTAGTGACCCCTGCAGGCCGATCCTATGAGTGCGCGGCTGTCCAGACGGTCACCCTCATCTCCAGTGACCACCAGAAAGGAGTAACGGTCTCCATGTCTGACATTCAGATACAGCCCTTCGACATACAGGGCGACTTCATATTCAGTGAAGGTATAAATATCGCCACCCAGAAGCCATTATTTGGGAATCGCATGAGAATTTGAAAGGCTCGTATTAGGTACTGAACTAACAACCTTCAGGTTACAAACCTTAGTCTTTAATCACTATGTAATTGTTTCTAATTGTCAAACGTCAATTTACACTTAACAGGGAGAATTTAATCCATGAATCTGCTTTCACGTTTAGCATCACCAGGGTTAATGCTTAATCCTATTACACCATTAGAAAAGCTCAATTTCACCCCCTACAGAGGTAAGGAGCATGCACTGATTACAGCGCGTTGCCACACCCACCATATGGTGAACCACCTCAGGGATGAGAACCTGAGTGCAGCCATGTGGCAGGTGATACCTCAGCACCACACTAGTCTGAATGGATCATTGTGAGGTGGCTGGAGTGTCAGTCTTGCCACCAATCTCCAAGTTATTCCCTGTAAGTTGAAGGACCTCCTCCTTATAGGGCTGGATGTAGATTAATGTCATGCCCAGGATGAAGCAATCGCTGGGTAAAGGCCATGATCAAGGGCTCAATGGGGTAGAATCACTCTGGGCATTCATGGGATTTGAACCAGCAACCTTCCAGTTACTGGCTTAGATCACTAGCCTCAGAGGCACAACCCTGTCCCTACAGGCAGAGCGTAATAACTAACAGTGATGGAAAATTAGACACTGTTTCTATGGTTTTAGTTTGCTGAGAAATTGATTATTACTATTTTCATAATTTCCTAGATTATAAATAGTTTCATATTTATACCACCATTATAATTAATTCTTACTATCACCACCCCTGAGTAGCTCAAGCACTTTAAATTGCATAATTGCTATTTTGAAATTTTCGGCTTAGGAAGAACTCTGCTTTAAGGGTTTTTATATCAAATCACAGCTTATCCACAGGTCGGGTATAATACGGAGTCATTTAAGGTCATGTGATTTACCTGCTGTTAATTTGCGTCTTGATTCTTTTATAATTTAAAGATGCAATGGTTAATACATATGTTTTCAGCTTAAGCTGAAATGTCCACTGAAGTGGAAGGCGGAGAGTCAAAATACAGTGTGAAAAAGTATTCCTCCATCGAATACCATTCCTCAAAAGCAATGAGCTGTTTTCCAACCATCCATTTTTTGCTAACCGCTTATCTGAGGGAGCTTCACGTGGAGTCTGTGGGCTGGTCTTGGAAGCACAGGATAGGAAAGATGGGAAAGACCAGTGCATCACGCGTCACACATATACACAAACTCACACACACAAACACGTTTGTATTAACATTAAAAGTACTGATCCAGTAAGGGCAAAACCCCAATTCCCTATAGGAAATTTTCTATAGGAAAAACCCCAATTCCCAATAATGACCAACTTAACAATAAGTAACCGAGCAATGTGTGATTGCAGCCACAGATTTTTATAAAACTGAATTTCACTTTGTGGATACCGAAAAAAATGGTCCCCGCAACATCAAAATAACAGGTTTTACATTTGGTCCCCACAATGTAATATATACATCTCTCTCACACACACTTGGAGGAGTGAGCTCCTAGTGCTACTCCTCGATCTACCGCAACACGCCTCCTTAAGCTGATATAAATTTGCATACATACAGGTTTACACACAGCAGAAACACTGGGCTTGGACAGAGCGAACGTGTCATTCCGCTGTTCTTTAGCGGTGACGGGGAACAGTGGTTGCCGGACGTACTGAAACGATATGTATGGGTGGCTGTTATTTGGACTGCGCAGCCCGGTCACTGCATCTACATCTTCAGCTTGTCGCACTGTCGATGTCTGAACGGTGCTCCTGGGCTGTTATCAGTAAAAAAGATGAGGAAATATACTGAAAGGATTCAAGCTGATGCAGTTTTGAAACCCGACCCAGCATATCCTCAGGAAACGCACAAGGGTCTCAGAAATGAGGAGGCCACTCATTTCACAGATTTATCACATTTAATCCGTTGCTCCCTGTATTTTTCAGTTTTTTATTCATTGTTCTGTCAATAATTACATAAGTAAATCGACAGTGAATGCCTTCTACTTTAAGAGGGTTATTTTTGTGCTGGGATGTAAAGGTCATTTCGTGTTTATACCCGTGCCCCTGTTCTCTATGCTTAAAAAGGAATGACTCATTAATAACGACATGTGCCGCAGCTCACGTCAAGGTGTAATTTTCCCACGCTAGCCTAATAGGGTGCTCTCGGGACAGCGACTGCGGGCTTTTCACAGCGCGTGCGGTGCTTTCGGGACAGCGACTGCGGGCTTTTCACAGCGCGTGCGGTGCCAGCGTTCTGGCGGTGTGTGTGGGGGCGGGTGTAAGGCGCTGGAGCCGCGCGCTTCACTGCTCCTTTACAACCTTTTATGACGGATGAAGATGTCGGATGCACATGACCTGGCAGATCCCTGCTGCCTGGCCCGTGAACGGGAGCTTCTGAATTTAATATGCGGGACTTTTAAAGGGGATTATAAAAGATTCTTCCCGACAGAAGGGTCCAGGGAGAAACTGCAATGCAGAAAGTGTGACTCAGTGCGGCCGAAGGGACATCACGTTCACAAATGTCGCTCAGTCCTATTTCCTGCATTCTAGAATCTTCCCATTGGATCGTAAGGTATTTGGGTGGGGTCTCACAGTGATGCTGGCTGTTTTTAAAGTGCACAGCGCACTCGGCTCTCCTATTCTTCATGCCACTGCCGCAGCATCATCACGGGTCCCATTTCCTTTGCTTCTGCAGCGTATAAATGCTTGAGTGACCAGCGGGAGCAGCTGGAGGAGACGCTGCCGCTGATCCTGGGAGTCATCCTGGGGCTGATCATCGTCATCACCCTCTCCGTGTACCACGTACACCTGAAAATGACCGCCAATCAACCGCAGCTGCCCAGGGACCGCTCCATGTACAAGAATATGTGACCTCGGACACACGACTACCCCCCCCCCCCCCCCTTAGTGATAGACACCGCGCTGCATCTCACTGTGTGGTCGGCCGTCTGTTTTTTTTCTTTCAGTTTCTGCTCAGGCCCGATCTGTGCAGAGTTGGTTATTATGTTTAAAAAAGAAAATCTGCAGAGAAAATGAGTTTACGCTCGCGGTCGTCCAGTTTTCCGCTTTGAATTCTACGTTAATGGTGAAAGTGGAGTGTCGTGTGGAATGCAGGTGTAAAACCGCGGCTTAAACGATGATTTATTACCTAGCCTTACTTCCCCATCTGTCAGTAACATGCATTATAATTCAGTTTGAATGTATGCACATTAAACCGTTAAAAAATGTAAAACCAGTGTCTTTACGCAACTGACAGATTTATGTTAAAATGACATTTATGCCTTGTCATAATTCATTGCATACTGGAGGAAAGAAAATATGGTCAATTATAAAAATTAAAAATGAACACACGATGTTAGAGTATAATATTTTAAGAACTACTATGCATAAAGAAAACCAAGAAAATAGCATATGTTTAAATGGAGGTCTCTTTACTGAAATAAATGATACAACACATTTTTGTGTGAATTTTGTTATGCTAATTTCATTGTCATTTGAATTCTGCTGCAGACATCTTGCAGACCATGTGCCTTTGGGCCAAAGAAAACACATTCTGTCCAAACTGCAGTGTCCATTAAGCTTTAGAGGCAGGGTATATTAATTAAATGCACTTCAACAGGCTTCAATGATGCGCAACATGGGGTCTTACAATAGTATAAAATGGTTTTATCAATATTTTTAACATTTACATAGACGCTTTTATGCAAAGCCACATACAAGAGTCCCTGGAGCAGTTAGGGTTAATTAATTTACACTGCCATCCATGGGATTTGAACTCAGAGTATTCTGGCCACAGACAGAGACTCCCTAAAATACTGAGATATAACAAAAAAATATTTCACACAATCCAGATTCCCTGAAAAGGACAGATAGTAATAGCCACTAGAAATAAAGGAGATAGTGGATCTGCATGAGTGAATCCTGCTCGTCTATGCAGCTGATATTCAGACAAAAGCCTAGCTGAGATGGTTGAGGATCTGAATCAGCACTGACTGTCTTCATTTCCTTCCTGTCAGTAGCTCTGTGGCGAGTATCACTCACTGACAGTGGTACCGGGGGGGGGGGGGTTGCTTAAAAACCCTGTGGTGCCTGTGATGCATTTGCCGTTTTGCTTTTACCTTTGGTGTGTCGTAGACACGCGGCTGGAGTGCTGCATTTTCCGCAGTGGATAGCCGTGAGACTATGCAGTGACTACGCAGTGGTGTGTCGTGATGTATCGTAACTAAGGTCTCTGACAGAGGAGGTTCTTATGAAACACAGCACACTGCTGGCAAATTGCATAATAATAACATATTCACATGTATTTTAAATGGCTTGCATTTAGCGACTTCTACTACAAATACTAAATGCTACATCCAACAAATATGAATGCATTTTATTACCGTAAATGTTTTCATTTACAGAGTTGTACTAGCTAGAAATATATAGGGCATAAGCACTTAACAGTGAAGGTTCTGAGAATCAAGAACACAGATTTTAATCTTAATACCAAACTGACGCTTTTCATACTCCAATATAATTTCTCTAGCCCTAATTACCATGGTCAGCAATAAATACAATAGTTACCAGTTTCAGTTGCTATGTGAAAATAATGGTAGCTTGTGTCAGATTATTACTGTGAGTCCAGGTCATTTCTCTTCAGACACACTGTGGACCACATTTATCATTAAAAAATACCAATTTAAAGGTAGACAGGAACACCAACGCAAATGCTACAGTACATGTGCACACTTTGTGAAGTCCAATCTGTGGAGGCTGTGAGCTAAGTGATCTGTATTAGACACAACAATAACAGGGCAGAAAGACTGTCCACATCTTCCTGGAATAATGTCATTGCAAATTTTCATCCGCACACTGAGATAATATCACCAAATTTTACTTATGGCTTTGCAGATCTTCTGGTGGGTTTCTTGGTGCTAAAATCAATGTCTGAAAAACGTGTTTTCAGTACAACGTTGACGGAGGACAAGAAAGAGTACAATCAATAGATTCAGATGGAACCTGCATTACACTCCATGTTTCCTGGAGAGGGTGCAAGCGTGGAATCGATCCAACTATTTGTCTAGACCTTCTGTCCTGGGTGCTGGTGGGGGGGGGGGAGCTCTGACTGACAGTAAATGAGCTACATCTCTCCGGACAAGCAGATATCCGTCTTCATTCTGGATCTGTACAGCCCTTGAAATACAAGTCAAAAATGCAAAACACAAACCTACTAGTCAAAAGTACTACAATAAAATCCATATGGAAAAATACAACATACACACATATGCACAATATTAGAGGTAGACATTCCCATACAAAAATTATTACAAAAAATGGCCAAAGTCTGTTTTGAGATATAGTCCAGACATTTACCTTGTCAGATGAACTTAATAAATAATTTTCTATTCATACAGATTCACTCTTGTGCGGTTAAATTGATACATAATTTTTCCTAATCATCATAGTTTCACTGTTTAAGTGATCCGTACATTGTGACAAAGCACAAACACTGCATTCCATCGTGCCCAGCTCTGCGGTGTTAGAGCGCTTTGGAGCAATGTGAGTGTGGGACAGAATGTTAGGAAAAGGAAGAGAAAGGAAGGAAAACTATTATGAAATTCAAAGTGTTTTATTGGCCAATAGCAACAAAATGTTTTTGGAACCAGCAGTCAGTTCATTGATCAGTGTGGTATTTACCATCATTGTTGGGTATTTCCTGAGGTAGCTGGTATTTAGAAAATTAGCAAAACAGATTTACAAAATTACTGTTAAAGGAGGGTATGACATTTTAAAATCTCTATGTCAGGAAAAGAATGTAGGGTTAATATTTTATGCGGCTTGTGCATTTGTTGTTTTTATTACACCCATAATGAAAACTTAGTTTTTTGTTTTATAAATACTGCAGGTTTCAAACAAATCTTCAAAAAAAAAAGGAAAACTTGTTAATTCAATGTATCAGCCTTCATTATGAGGTGGGAATAGTTTGTTTAGACAGAATTACCGCACGGGGGCATTTATGACTGGTCAAGGAGGGTGAAGTTGGTTGTCATTAAAATGCTTTCTTTACTCAGACAAAACTACTTATTTCAAGTAAAGATTTTAAAAGATTCCCAGTTCTGGGAAAAAATCAGTTTCAATTCATTTAAAATAAAATACGAGTACACTGCAAATGTTTTGCATTTATGGATAGAATCATAATTAACTGCATATTAGAGCGATAGTTCTGATACTTTAAAAAATAATTGTGTGATATACAGGTCAGATTTTTTTCATAAATTTATTAAGTTTAATTTATGGAAATTTTATTTTTCATACATTTTCTTCATAAATTTCTATATGAAAAATATGGATTGTTTCCAGACCGGTTTAATTTAAAGAAGCTACATTGTATATTTCTGCTTTAAACAACCAATATGCCTATACAATTTATAACAGCGTTTTTGCATCTGGTGGTCTGGAAAGAAAAACATTATCAATCACAAAATAATAGATATACTTTATAATAAAAGAAGGAAGATCCTTTTATAGATAAATAAATACATAAATAAAAACTCTACAATCAAATAACAGGAACAAATTCACATTTCTTATTTCCCGATCCTAAAAAGCTGTAATAAATATTCTACTCCATCACCTTCATCTGCGAAACGCAAAAATCAATATCCCCCATATACTCTATTACACTTCCTCTTTTCGAGCCTGTTCAGTCACTATTGTGCAAAATGACCACTAAGTCTTGACTAATGAATTAGCGTTACTGCTGTCTGTCCCATGCAAGTAGGCCTAACAAGGAAAGTGTCTAGCTCTGGCTTTGACTTCATTGCTCAGATATAAAAAATGAATATAAAAATACATCAGCACTGTTTATATATAGACAGTGGAGTCGCTAGGGCTGTTGTGAGAGGCCTTTAGCTCAAGTTTACTTTAAATAGTGTGTTTTCATTGGTCTTTCATTGAAGACCCCCCCCCCAAAGTAAAGGCTTATGTCCCTATAGTGACGCTCCTTGTACAGGTGTTATGCCGAAAAAGGCATCCCTGCCTTAGAATGCGTGCTGGTGTTCCAATGAGTTGAGCTTTTAAGGGTTTTTTGGGGGTCAGGGGTTTTTTAGGGGTTAGGGTTAGGGTTTTAGGGGTGTTTTGGGGGTTAGGGTTTTAGGGGGGTTGTGGGGGTTAGAGTTTTAGAGGTTTTTTGGGGGTTAGGGTTAGAGTTTTACGGGTTTTTTGGGGCTATTGATTAGCACTACGCTAGCCTTACTCGACAAAGTAGTTCAACTCGTTTCAGATCAGCGACCAATCGGTCATTTAGAGACAGGTATACATTCTACGGCAGGGATGCCTTTTTCAGCATAACACCGGCACTTTTAACCAGTTCCTTTAATTGCCGGCTGCCTGCTTCCGTAAAAGGTTGTTTTCCATCACTTACTTAACAGTATTTAAGTCCTGCAAGTCCAAGCAGCAGAAAACGTCTCCATCGCGTCGCTTTCCTTCACGTGACTGAATTACTCTTTTCTTTTTTTTTCCTACGCTCCGGCGAGTTTATCCCGGTCATGTCGCTCTCTCAGTTGTATATATTCTGTCATCTCTCTGTACTGTGGTATTTAATAAAAGTGCCCGTTCCTGACGGATTATTTGCGACTGGGGTCCACTGAAACCACACAGTTTTGAAAGGGTCAGCCTAATTAAATAAATAATTAAATTATACCACGAAAAAACCCTAAAATTTCACACACATCCCGTCTATGTATCATAGTATTTTGTTTGCATAGCATCCCAGGAGTTGTGCCCTGAGACATATATTAAATATTAGGCCCTCTTTAACCGACTATTTCTCCTCCAATTACCATGATATGAATATATGATATACAGGGTTACCCGTTACTGTACCTCACAGGACGCCCCCGGAGCGCCAGCTGCACCACCGCCTCTGCGCGGCTCAAAGCGGCCGCTTTTGCTGCTACCCCCGCCCCCGCCCCCCCAAAACGTCCCAAATAGGTCAGAATCACTTTAATTACAACTACTAAAATCTTGCGTGGGAAAATGGCCACTGAGAATAACTCTGTTTTCGTGACATATACATTAACTTGCATCTAGTATAAAAAAAAAAAACACACACACTCACAAAACACAGCACCTTTTGTAAGGGTTTCCTTTACAATGGTCACTTATCTGGTAAGTATCGTAAGTTTCTTGTTTAGAAAAAAAAAATACAGTCGATGGTATCCCCGATGATATCCCTGATCGCCTCTCGTTGGAGGACGAATTCGTTTGTTCCTTCGCGTAAGACAAAATACACGTTTGTAATTGAAAACCAGCTTTACTGATAACAAACATGCAATTTCACTCTACAAGCAACACCACAGTTAAGTAATAGTCATTCAGTTTGGAACATTCATCAAGGTTTAGACAGCAGCAAACATGATTATGTGCCATATTTACAAAACACCACGGATGATACATGAATAAGGTAGTAATAAAACTGGGGGGTTAACTAACCATACATGGCTAAGAAAATAAACCATAATAGGTATGTTCTGTAAATAGTGCCCATCCCCAGTAATGAAAAGTAAATCATACATGTAAGTGAAAGTATTGTGTATATCAAGGTTGTTTTATAATGAAATGAATTTAGAAATATTGCTAAACTTCATTGTTGTTACTTGCATAAATTGGCCTTTTATGCACATTTCAGAATTTTTATAGGAGCAATTGTTTTTTTTCCATCTAAATAAACCATCCACATTGAAGAACTAGCTGTATTCCGAAAGTTATCAATTTTATTGATGTTAAAGAAAAATGTAATGATAAACAAGGTAGAAATATTGCTTGTATGATATAATCAACATTACTGTCTTTTTTTAGAAAATAAAATAAATAAAAAAGGCTACACTACTGAAAAATAAATCTTCAATTCAAAAAATAAATAATACTTTTTAACAGCATACAAAATTCTGGTAATACCCTTATTTCCCCACTCTGACAGGAAATACTGCCTACAAATGTTTTGTTTATGATAATAAATATATTCTGGTTGGTGTTTGTTTCGGTAAGTGGTGGGTTTATTTAGCTTCTCTTCATTTATTAATCAAAATTGGATTATAAATAGTAGGAAAGATCTTTGCAGAAACTATCTTAATTATATTTAATACTGCCCATATCACAATAGTAACATCACAGCAAAATACAGATTATCAAAACTGTACAGAAAAAAATACAGTTGATCTAAAATACATAACACTATTAGTGTTAGAGGAGAAAAAATTAGGATATTTTACACTGCAAGAAATAAGCTAAATTCAAAAGGGTAGGTTGTGAACGCACTCTTGTGAAGTGGTGATTTAGGCAACGCATGGGTTCCCCTCAGCCTCACAGGCCAGCGTGTAGAGACCATCAGGGCAGACCATCAGGGCAGACCATCAGGGCAGACCATCAGGGCAGACCATCAGGGACTCACCTTCTCCTTGGTGCCTGTCAGACTCTTTACTGGATGTACTCTGCAAAAAGAGTCTAGAAGTATTGCCTAAACAGAGGAAACTACCGAACCACCACCCCACAAGCGACTAATTAACTTCTACCTGCCTAGTAAAGACGGGGTCAGTAGTTACTTCATGGAAGCCTGCGTCTAAAGCCAGGTATTATTTATTTAACAGAAGCTGACATCTTCTCCTAAACTACAACTTGGCAATGGGTGTCGCCGTTTCGAAAAGTCCCACTGCTGCAGGAACGGTGCCGCCCTGCAGGGGGCGTCAGCGGTGGCGGTAGTGCCGCATCAGAGGCACAATGCAGGAGGGGGGGCCCGAGAGCTTAAGGAAGGGATGGTGCAGGAGCTCTTGGGCCGTGGCCCTCTGGGACGGCTCCCTCACCAGCATCAGGTCCAAGAAGGCTCTCAACACAGAGGACACCTGGAGCATAGAGCCAAGCCCAGCCTGGTCACAGAACATATACACCAAGAGCACAGCTATTCCAGTCAGACAAGTCACCTTGGGAACACTCAAATATCAACCACACCATTCTGACTTTCTATACACCAAACACTGCACTGAGCTGGCGGGTTATGATGGCCAGAGACCATAAACACCGTACCCGGGGTCCTGCCCCCAGACTCACCTTGTGGGACTCTTTGAGGCGGGGCGGCAGGTTATCCCGTATCCTCCTCATGGCTTGGAGGGGTGGCTCGTTGAAGTAGGGGGGCTCACCATCCACCATCTCCATCACCATAATACCCAAGGACCAAATATCCACCTGAAGACAGATGGCAAGGAAGACACACACTTCATACCTGCTTGCTGGAGCCTGACGGCTTTTTAGTGGGACAGTGAAATCCACAGTAACACATTCCATTACTGTCATCATGCACCCCAGTCCCGTCTCTCTGTAAGTAAGCATTGCAGTATCGTCCCCCTTTCAGTACGCACCACGATACCGTCTCCCCGTCAGTACGCACCTCGATACCGTCTCCCCGTCAGTACGCACCACGATACCGTCTCCCGTCAGTACGCACCTCGATACCGTCTCCCCGTCAGTACGCACCACGATACCGTCTCCCCGTCAGTACGCACCCCGATACCGTCTCCCCGTCAGTACGCACCACGATACCGTCTCCCCGTCAGTACGCACCACGATACCGTCTCCCCGTCAGTACGCACCACGATACCGTCTCCCTGTCAGTACGCACCCCGGTACTGTCTTCTCGTCCTTACATACCTCGGTACCATATGGCATTCTGGAAATGACTTCTGGTGCCATCCAGTAAGGGGTGCCAACCAGTGACTTTCTTTTCGGCACCTCTTTCGACACTTGGGCACAAAATCCAAAATCTGAGAGTTTTATCTGTGGAAAAAGTTTATACGAAGAGACATAAACATTCAGTAAAACCCGGATCCATACTATTTTTAGTATTCAAAAAAGTCCTCGACTCCAACCCGCCTCCAGCGTGTGAGTGTGTGCGTGAACGTGTGCGAGTTCCCTGAAGAGTCATCCTGAGTGTACTCCACTTTACAACCTGTTCCCACTGCGTCACCCTGACCTTGGATAAGCAGCTCCTCAGAATGAATCTGCTACTGCCAGACTGCAAATCTGCACCCTTTTCATTATCTGTCCTACATGAAGATGAAGAGGTATCTCCGTAGCGGAGTCAAAGTCACCGGCTTGCTGTGGAGAGTCACACCTCCTTCTAAATTAGCCGTATCATCAGTACACCCTGTACTCACTCTGTTTCTTTATGATATTTTTACAGGCTACTGTGTTTCTTCCTGTTACCCTTAAGGCAGCCTATCGCAGTGTATTCCACAGCCTGAAAGATAAAGTGTATCCCTTCATTACTGCTTGTCAGCAGTCTGATACTTTAAAACTATAGATGCTTCAGTAGCCTGTTTTTATTTTTCAGATTCATTTTGTTGCACCTACAGGTTGGGGGTTCAAATCCCACCCTTGTTTGGTGTGTGTGTGTATGGGTATGTATGTGCACTGCAATGGACTGGCATTCCATCCATAATGGACCCCAGCTTTGTGTTCTAGGCTACCTGGGACTGACTCCACCACCCCCCCCCCAAAACCCTGATGGTTAGAATGGATGGATGGATTTAAGCACCTCTTCTCAATTCTGAGCATTAGCAAGGTAGACAACCAATTAAACAGTTTTCCTGTTTCTAAAGACTTTCAAAGGCTTAGAGATTTTAGCTGCTATGTTATATTACCTATTCTATGTGGTAACCTTGGTAACCCTTTATTACAATACAGTTCAAAGAAAAAAATCAAAGAACCACTGACAATAAAATAAATCTAGAGAATCAGATAGATGAGTAGCACTATGTATGAAAAGATTCTCCACTTGCCCTTCCATCGCTGGTGAGTAAGATGGAGTCGCTCTTGATATCTCTGTGGATGACTCCTTGTGTATGGAGGTACGACAGAGCCTTCAGCACCGATAGACAAACAGTGGCAATTTGCTCTTCATTCATCCTGTGGAGATAAATACATCACTGAATATATATATATATATATATATATATATATATATATACACAAGCTTCTATAGTTTAACAAGCAGCACATTGTATCAACAGCACAAAAGTTGTGGTTTTAAATCACAGAGAGCACACAAATTACAACCCCTCTCTCTAATTTAAGAAAATTGGAAAAAAAAACATGAAAACAATGAAGGCTGAGCGTCCGCAGAGACCGGGGCATACAGAAAAACAATGAAGGCCGAGCATCCGCAGAGGAATGACAGAGACCTGGGCATACAGAAAAACAATGAAGGCCGAGCGTCCGCAGAGGAATGACAGAGACCTGGGCGTATAGAAAAACAATGAAGGCCGAGCATCTGCAGAGGAATGACAGAGACCTGAGCATATAGAAAACCAATTAAGACCTCCCCCACCCCAAAAGTTACGACTGAGCTCTAAATGTAGACAAACTGAAGTCTACACCTTGTACTGAAACAGCAAAATAAGCATCACTTGTATCTATGCAGTTAAACTGCAGAGACCCATGGATGATTAGTGATCAGAAATATGCAGCTGTAAAGGTTTTTTTTTTTAATATTACAAAGTAAAAACATGTCAGCAGGAGAGATCCCATTTTTATTGCATTCCTGAGCCCCATAGCGAAACCACTCTCACTGACACGACACGAGGAAAGTGGCCCGATAAAACCTCAGCGCGGTGACTAATGGCTCTTTCATATGACCCCGGAACCGAGAGCTTATCAGCGAGCAGCAGCTCAATGTTAGCGAGGCTAATCAGCACCGCTCTACACATCCCAAATGAATAACCTCCAAAAAGCCCAAGAAGCGCCTGTGAACTGAACAGCCCGCGACAACCGCAAGGGGACAAAGCATTAGCATTGCACTCTACCATGAGAAATGAATTACTGACACCAGGGCAATAATTAGCAGTTAATCCCACATGCCTCTCACTGCTATAATAGGAATTGTAATAATACAACAATAATAATAATAATAATAATATGCATTATTGTTTATGGCTGTCACTATCAATTATATTAATAATTGAGTAATCGACTGATTAATCTGACAATGAATCAAGTAATCGTTTATATGATATATATATAATCCATCCATCCATCCTATGTAACCACTTGTCCTATTCAAGGTCGCGGGGGGTCTGGAGCCTATGGGCGCAGCACAGTGAATAACCCAGGACGGGGTACCAACCTATCACAGGGGACAACCCAGGACGGGGTGCCAACCTATCACAGGGGACAACCCAGGACGGGGTGACAACCCATCACAGGGGACAACCCAGGACGGGGTGCCAACCCATCACAGGGGACAACCCAGGACGGGGTGCCAACCCATCACAGGGCACACTCACACACCTTTCACTCACACATACATACCTATTGGCAGTTTGGTAACTCCAGTTAACCTTAGCATATGTTTGGACTGTAGGGGGAAACAGGAGCACCCAGAGGAAACCTGACAATGATACGGGGAGTCAAATCCTGGCCCCAGAGGTGTGAGGCAACAGTGCTAACCACTGCACCACCATGACGCCAAGCCACCATAAATATATATAAAAAATATATAGCAATTGGCACGAGGCAGTAATTCAGAACTGACTGGCTCACACATACTGTACAGTGGTCAATTCACTTAAGTTGCATTACCCTGGTAGTGAAGTAGCTCTGAATGTCGCCTGAATTACTCTGATGGAACAAATACAAATGTAATCCCCGGACACCCATTCATGAATGCTCCTTATCCAAAAAGGCATGACTTAGACAATACGGCGCGGGGGAGGTCACCTGACAGTAATCCTGATAGTTTTCAGTTTCTGCTCTATATGGGTGGAGGCTACACTACAAAGATTATCTCGACTCACATTTGTCTGAAGTCTGCTTCACTGTTAAGTGTGATCTCACAGGCGTAGGGTATAGCTGACAGTATCCCATTCATAAATATCTAATCGCTTTGCTTGAGTAGAGCTATTTGTATTCAGGCAACCGCTCAGATATTATGTTACGATGCTTACGTGCTGCTTTCAATTTGCTTTCAGAACAGAAAGACAGGGTTACCACAACATCACTCAGTACTGGTCAAAGCCCATGTATGCCCCAGGCAATCCTCACCTCCCACCGCGCATCTGAGACAAACTGAAATCGGCTCGCCAAATTGGCGCCCCCTCGGAAAATGGTGCCCTAGGCAGCCGCCTATGTCACCCAGTAGGTTAACCTGCACTAATCCTGCATGTTATTATGAAATACACTCTGGATCCTTGGGAATATGTATAAAGGCTGGGCTGGAGCCTACGGATGTTTCTTAAGGTTTTATTTGTGTTCATACAACAACTGATGCAGAGGGTTATAAAAACAAAGCATTCGGGAATGCGTTATTTTTTTTACTACTTTGACTCTGCCATCTGTGGCGTGTGTAGTTAAATCAGAAGTCGAACACGGCAAGCAAATAAATTGTTTAACTGCCAAATTGAAGAGTGCAGATAATGCCTCCCCCTTTTCCGTTCCGGAAAACACCCTGAGGGGTGCCCCTCCTGGCGGCAAGCTTTACCTTGACCCTCACGTTCCTTTTGTCACGAAATGTGACTTCAATGATTTCAGCTATGCGATTTTATAATCAGAAAAAGCGCAAAACGATCACCTGAGCTGCGCGGAGCGTGTTAACGATTAATCATGTCTAAACGCACCACTGGAGGACACAGCATGTGCTTTCACAGTTATTAACACAAAAAAAGCTCTGCGTTTAAAAAAAAAAAACACAAAATGCAGCCAAACGCACGGGAAATATCCCCGGAACTGGAGATTTCAAGAGGTACAGAGGGGAAAATATTGTGTTTACTCTAACATTCCAGTAACCGACCAGAACTAACCTTAACACGTACATTAACAATGTATAACTGTAATCACGATCATGCTGCAACGTAAAAACAATTTAACACAGTCAATCTGTTAACGTGGCTGTAGTTTTATTAACAAAATAATGGGTGATTGTCACCTATAAACAAGATTATTTCTGCTTCTCTTTTTCCACACTTATTTTTCATAATCTCAGTGGCTCAGTCATTAGCTCTATTCTCACCCCTATATGGATGGGGGGGGGCACACACCCTTCCTCCACTATGCGTATGTGGGGTTTGCATATTCACTCTGTGTTGCACAAGTTTCCTGTTTACTCTAGTTAACTCCTGCATCCCAGAGACATGCAGTTAGGCTAATCAGGGTCTCTAAATTAGCCATAGTGTATAAATGATTGTGCCCGACGTGCCCGGGCATCCTCTCCAGGGTGTACCCCGGCTTTGTGCCTGGTGCACTCTGGGATAGGTTCCATGTTCCCTGCAACCTTGAGCAGGATAAGAAGACAGATGGATTAAGTATGTTTTCATTGCTGCTGTTTCTAAATCGTTAGCACTGCCTGACACATCAATCAAGTTATAGCAACCATAACCATGAAGCAGCCTCTGGCCATTTTCATTCGTGGTCGTACTGTCGCCCACGTTTTTCTCTGCAGTTTCCAGGGAACGCAGAATCGACACCCCCTCGTAGCTGTGCAAGCGGCTCAGGATCTCACGACTTGCGCGGACGGCCACGAGTGCCGAAGCCTCGCAATTACGGGCGAGGCGGCGCCGCCCCAGAGAAGAGGCACGCGGATCACTGTAATTACGCGCGCGGACACACTGCACTTAGTGGGGGGGTGGCGGCTCCGCTGCTCTGCCGGTTAAAGTTTGAAAAGAAGGACTCGAATGGGCCTGATGAACAGGGAACTTCGGGGCGTTAAAAACCCACAAATTAGCCACTCTCAGATCATTACTGAGTCACCTAATTTAACCAAAAATAATTAAAAAGTTGCACTTAGAGCAGCGTGGAAACTTAGTATTTGTTATGATCACAAAAACGAGGGCGAGCATCGATTGATTATTGTGGGATGTAGGCATATTTCAAACGTTAAACCTGATATTAAGGCTGAGGGCAATTTAGTTACGTGCAGAACAAAATTCTGAGAGGAACTTTGACAATACTTCAATCCCTATTTTAATTATGTAATATTGTGTAAACCAATATCAACCTGGCACTCCTACAGGAGCCAATGTTCTCTTCCGTCACGCTGACAACATCGTACCGCTCATAAACGTTTCATTTGTTTGTATTCCCCGTTGTTTTTCCTCGGTTTCGTTTCCCGTACTAACCTAGTCCTGCTTATTTCAATGTAATGTAACGGAACCCTCTTATTAATCTGGTTCGGGCTGTGGTTTCTGTTTACCGACACCATTCAGTGGATGCGTGAAAACGAAATTAATAGAGTTCCGACCAAAACCCTAGCTGGTGTTTCAGTGTCGAGGCACGAGAGCCTACCTCGTGTGAGTGACGATGTCAGTCAGAGCTCCACCCTCCAGAAACTCCATCACAACCCAGAGCTCGTCCCCGACTAGGTAGCTGTTGTACATGTCGACCACGTTCTCGTGGTGGTAATCCCTCATTATAACCACCTGAAACGAGACAAGGGGGAAAATCAGCCGGAGAAGTCAGTCATTGAGAAGCCTCGCAGAGCCATTGCAAGCCCAAAGGGTCATCATTAAACCAATGCATTAGCTTACTACCAAGGAAAAAAATATGCTGAAGTGTTCAGTTCAGTCACAATTAAGATTGGCGTATAAAGGTAAATGAATGCACTATTGTATATGATAAGTAAGAAATTAAAATTAAAATACATGGAAAATATGCATGTTAAACTCATTCAGACAAAGTAATTGGTGGAAATTACAAGATAAATAATACTTAAGCAGGTTTCAGCTGAATTCTCTTTTTAATTAGGGCAGCTCAATAAGATGATGATGATGATGATGATTATTATTATTAATTTTAATAATAATAACACATTTATTAAGATGTTAAATAAATATATTTCAATGGGATCACTTTTAACCATATTTAGACAATATGGTCTAAGACATATTTAGACATATTCAGAGAAACAACTATCCACTGTGACGTGCAGACTTTCACGTGCACTTCTTTCATCCCACTCAGGGAATAACGCAGCATCATGCCCTGTGCGGCCTGGGAGAAGGTCCAGGCCCCCAAGCCACCCTCAGGGTAAGTGGTTGGAAAATGGATGGATGGATGGAATTTCTTTAAGTTTACTGATCAAAAAAACATTTTCCCTACATTATGTTAAATTTATCATCTTGCATACCTAATGTACAGTTTTATATAGGCCATGATATTTTTTTCCCCCAAATTAGAGAAAAACCCATCTCTCTTGTTGCCTAGGCAACATATGTGCCATGTGTAACAAACCGCATGTAATTAAATTACGCTCAGAACAAATGCGCACTCTGACCAAAGTGATGTTCTCTCCTCCCCAAAGAGAAGCAAATTTGCAGTTGTTGGCCACGATGACACCGTTGGGGCGGGGGGAGGGGGGGTTGGGGGAACAGAGGTGGCCATGCCAGGATGGAATCTTCAACTGCCTACGCGGCACATGGAAGGCATGGAACGGCTGCCATGTGGAGACAGGAGCAGCTGGTGCTTCCTTTATGGAAACGTGCTTCTACCCTTAGACACTCAGGTGTGGATTCATTCACCGCAACCAATAAGGTTCAATACGGGGCAAATTAACTTCTGCCATGCCGATGAAACGGAAGTGTTTAGCGGGGCTGTGGGCAGTGGTCATGACAGGAGTAAGAACTGGAGATCCATCCATCCATCTATCTTCAAAACGTTCATCCTGGTCAGGGTCGGGGGACGGGGGCTGGCACTGAACATTTCTGAGGTGAAAAGGGCTTAACATTTATCTCTTGTGAAATGTCTATGACAACACAGACTGTGCTGGCAGTCACACGACTATGTGACTGGTTTGATCACGTGGTCTGGAGAAAATTTCAGAAACAACACACTTATGTTGGTTTGTGTTGAATAATACACTCTTGATAAGAAAAATTACACAGTGTACCCAGAAAGAATGAGTTTGTAAAAGAACTGCAAACACGGACAGAGAGAGAAAATAAACTGACAAATACTACTGAGTACTACTTTCAACCCCTTCACTCAGACTAATGCCTTAACTCTAATGCCTAGCCACTGACTAACACCTTGACTCTAATACTTTAACTCTGACTAATGCCTTGACTCCAACACCTTAACTCTGACCAATACCTTGACTCTGACTAACACCTTGGCACTGACCTCATTGAAAAGCAGCTCCCTCCTCTGCTGCTTACGCAGGTCCATCTTCTTCACAGCCACTTGCTTGCCACTGTGCTTCTCCGTAGCGATGCAGACAATGCCAGTGGATCCCTCGCCAATCTTAATGAAATTGTCCAAGTACTCCCGTGGGTCCCCAGGCTTTACCACCAGCTGCAGAGCAGCCCGAAATTGCTCGTGGGACACTCTGGACGGTGGCTGGTCAGAGGCGGAGCCCCAGCTGGGGGGAGGGTAGGCCCCAGGTGGGATGTACGGGGAGCAGGGCTGGGAGTACGCACCCTGAGGTGTGTAAGGGGGGCTCGGCTGTGACGGAGGGTGGTGATAGGGGGATGGTTTATAGTGGAACGTTGGGGGATACTGGAAGCTGCTGGGGTAGCTTGGTTTGGCATGGCTTTGAGGTAGCTTGAGGAGTCCACGAGGGTACGTGTCCGATCCAGGTACCTGGGGGCTTCCGTCCCTGGACATCCTGTCATAGTCTCCCTGCACAAACATAATCACTGCAAAATTAGCAAAGTGATGTTCTCTCCTCCTCAAAGTGAAGTAGATTTGCAATTGTTGCCTAATATGATCCCATTGGGGGGGACGGGGGACGACACAGGCGCCCATGCCAGGATGGAATCTTCAACTGCCCATGCGACACCCAGAAGGCATGGAACGGCTGCCATGGGGAGACAGAAGCAGCTGCGGCTTCCTTTATGGAAATGTGCTTCTACCCTTAGCTGCCTAGGTGTGGATTCATTCGCCAGCATTGCACAGGAGCACAATAAGGAACAGCACTTAACACATCATCTGAAAGAGGAAACATTTTCATTAAGCAAAACAAAAAGCAAACCCATTCTATAACTCCATACCTGCAGCCCGGATTTTCACTTCAGTATCTCTATAGCTGCCATGATTTGTGGTATATTTGTTTTTTTATTATTTGTACCTATTACCTGAGGGGTATTCCGCAAAGCAGAATTTCCCAGTTGGATAACATAAGTCAAATATGAAAACTGTCCAATAGGAGGAGAGGCAAGTGATGTTCCTATTGGACAATCATGACTTTTTAACAATCATGAGTTAACCCAGCTAAGATATCCTGCTTCATGGAACACTCTCTGGCTTTCCCAGTTAGCTGGATAATTTAAGCCAAACAAGAAAACTGTCCAGTAGGAGAGGTAAGTGATGTTCCAATTGGACAATCCTTATATTTGACTTAAGTTATCTGGCTAATGAAAAAAAACGTTGCTTTTGCTCCTGGATTTATGGTCAACAGCCATGTATCTCTTACTGTTTGTGAGTTCTTCACCATTCCCTATGACAGTAGATAAATGACCTACAATGAGTGTTACCTCACTTTTATCCCCCAGTGAAACAGGAAGCCAAGGAATGTCTCAAGACTGAGACAGACACAGAACAGTAGAATATAAAGCCTGTTGTGTTTATTTATTTTTTAAGGGACCATAGCTGTTTAGCACCTATTATTTTGGTTAAATAAATATTTTATAGTGTACATTTAACATATAATGCATTCAAACATACAGGGGGTAGAGAATATGTTTATTCCAAGGTCAGGCATACCTATTGTGTTCCCATAGTAGCATCTGTATGCCTAAGTCCTTAGTCCTGAGCAGTGTGTAGTGGGCTATACAATAGGACCCTGAGGAAAATACCTCTGTTCTTTGAAGGATGAAGCAGGCGCACCAGAACTTCTCATAAAGGTTCAGTGATATTTAAATCTGGTGATAGGGGAGGCCATGGAAGTCATTTGGTTTTATCCTGACATTCATGAGAGCATTACTCAGTTTGCTTAGTGTATATGAAGACATGAAGACATCATCATCCTGGGATATGGGAACAGCGTGAGCGGGAAGTGCGTGACCACAGGGTGCGCCTGGTCCTGAAAAACGGCCTCATATTCCTTGGCCATTATGCAGTCATGCAGAGCAATCGTCTGACCTAATGACTCCCATATGATGGCTGCCCCTAAATTACGGACTCCCACCCCTCTTGATAGTTGGCAACTCATTTTGTCAGTTAAGGCATCCCGTGGATTTCACCAGATATAAATCCCAGCCATTGCTCAGAGGCCCGAGTTCTGTGGCCCTTACTAAAGCTCAGGAGTCTTTGTGCATCGGTTGGGTCACAGAGGTGCTGATTCAGCTCTGTGCCCGATTCTGAGGCTGTACTTTGGTCATGTTTGGTGTCCGTCTATCCCCGCCCATGAGCCTGGAATCGTGAACGTCGTTCCTCTTTGTTAATGTGCTTTTTTGCTGTCGTGATTTTTGAGACTATTCCCGTTGGCACTATAAGTCATTTTGTGTGTATTTATGACGGATAAACCTGCAGTTTGGAGACAGACTCCTTGGCTTCTTTGGAGCTCATAACTGCCTCATGTTGCTTTGAAAACTCACATATGATAGCGCTGAGTGTCTGACCTCTTTCACATATGACACACATATCGGTAACTGCCATTCAAACTAATGACTCACCTCTCTAGCTGCGTGTGTAATTGTGAATTAGTTGCTTCAATGCGAAAATCCCTTTTCATGTTATTTTGATCATCAGCTGTGTAGCCTGAGTACCTCAGAAAATAGTTTCTTAAATTGCAATTTTATTTTTTTTTTGTTTGTTTCTTTTTACGTTTTTGCCAATCATTTTAGAGTTGCCTGCAGAAAAAAAACTGCTCCGCTAATTATGTCAATTGCCGCATATGTGGGTATGACTAAGATTTTATATTAAGGATCATGTAAACCATGACCATTCAGCTTAGTTCTCTTTCAGAGATAGACCTACTGTTCCCACATTAGGCATTGCATCGGTCTTATACCTATGAAAAGAAAAACACTCTGCTTTTTAATGTTTCTACCTGATAAGTCCTCTTAATACTTCCCGGAGCCCCACCCGCAAACCCGCCAGGAATACACCTGGAGTAGTTTAGACTCGCAAAACCGCCCGAAACCCACCTCCCCCTATCCCGCATCTTTAATGGCCGGGAAGAGCAAAGCCAAATCACAATAACGTCGATAAATTAAATCATCGCCACACCCACAGGACACAAATTTCCGTAACATGATAGGACACGAATCGTCCCCTCTAGAGCGCCCGAGCGAGTCCGGAAACTCTGGCGCCCGGACTCTCGATGTGTCGGGACTGCAGATAATTACGGCTGCGGACGCGTTTAATACATCACGCCGAGCGGCGCTGCCCGGGGACGGACGCACGGAAGCCCGGCGCGGCTATCACTCGCCGGCACCGGCGCTGGCTGACAGCCAGGGGGTCTCCTGATCCATGTTCGTTAAATGCACATTAATCTGAATTTGGCAGTGTAATCAACATCCCAACTGAACTGTGAAATTGAATTCTGCAGTGGAACATCATTTGGCCATTTTATGCTAAGGCTGCAAAAAAAAAAAAAAAAATGCCGCAACATCAATTTGTCAGTGTGAGCTGCGGCACAGGGACTCACGACAGCGACAGAAAGGAGGGATCTCGCTCCACAAAAGAGGCACGACGACATTTCGATCCCCCCGTTTCAGCCCCACCTCTGACAAGCCCGCAGAGTCCGGATGGGACAAGATGAAGAAAAGACGCATTATGGGAACCGCGGTTCGGGATGACTGAGTAAAACTGATACCAAGCAGCGAAGTGCAAACCGTACAGATGTGCTGCGTCTCTTTTGCGTGTAATATAAATAAAAAAGCTAACAAATTTAGGCCTATTCGCACCATCCTCACAGTTTCCGTGTTAAGATTATTATTATTACATTTTTAAAAGGTGTCAGTCGGCGATGCTGTTTAAAGGTCCAGGACTGTCCCGAAAATGACCCATTACTGCGGCAACCTCTCCGCGGCTTTAACGACGATCATCTTTGTTTCAGCGCGTCAGTCGCATCTTAAAGCCCCCGAACCGGTGAAGCGTTTCCCTGCCAGGGCATGGAGGGGGCACATGTGCACCGGAGCGCGTGAGCCTCCAGCTCGACGAGAAGGGACCCGTAACCGCTGTTATTCACTCGCTCTTCACGCTAGCAGATTGTGCTGGGTGTTACAAGAAAAGGGGCCTGTAATCCGGTCCGTGTCTGCAATTTAAAGTCCCCAGTCATCCGTGTGGAAGATGCGCGACGTACCGGCTGATCCCCGGGGCCACGACCCAGTTGTAATCTCGCCATGGATTCACATGACGACTTAAATAAATGAAACACACATTGCTAATACTATGTCGACTAAAAACAAATATGGTAGAACGAATAAATATTATATAGTAAAGAAACATAACTTTAATATGCCTCTGGCTCATACCTTGTAGAGCCTATGGAACATGAATATATTGTTGTGGCTTGAGCAAGTGCGCATTTAAAAGGGTTTATGGGTTACATTCCCACAGTTTATACTTAATACAAACCCTAACTCACCTGAATATTTATATAAATTTTTATTTACACCTCCAGAAAATGTGCTCATGGCTGATTAACAGCCTGATAGTTGCCAGTGTATCCTGGTAACTGTCTGGCTCTTAAGGCCCTGGAGGAGATGCAACACAGGATTCATAATGGAGTATGGTCAAATCCAGGAAGTGAAAACTGGCCCACACCATCAACAGTCCCTCTCTGTCCTTTAGAGAGGATGAGGGCGGTCCATCACCACGCCGACTGTGATGGGTTACCATGGTGACCCAAGACAACCACGAAGGTATAGACCTCTCTCCACACCAGGAACCTTTGCCCAAATATAACTGCAAAGTAAGTAACAGAAACCCCCCAAGATAACCAAACTTGACATGCAGCCTTTGCACTACGGGGTGTGATGGACGCCCCTGCGTTTGTATTTTACCTGGGAGGCGGTCACAGTTTCGGAGAGACGTGGGTATGTGTAGGAACTGTAATGGCCCTGCTGGGTGGATTTGAATGCACTGATTCCATACGGTGGGCTGGGCTCCTGCAGCCCCGAGCCGGACCGGGACCGCTGGCGGATGGCGGGCTGAGGGCTGCCATGGCCTACGTAGGATGACTTTGGTCTCTTCTCATACTCCTCGCGGGACGGCCCATAGCCCCACTCACTGTCCGAGCAGCTGATCTGCTCGCTGTGCAGGGAAGTCCGCGACGGCGTGCCCAGCGGCTGCTCTCTGTGGTCCTGGACAGAGCTCCCACAGGAACTCTGGTAGAACTCCCGGCTGCTCCCTACCGCTTCCTCTGAGCGCACCTTGCTCTCCAGGTAGGTGTGATAGTCTGGGGGCATTTTGGCATAGTCTGACTTCTGAGGCATGGCATCAGGGTAAAAGGGACTCCTCATGGCATGCCCGTTCTGTTTGGTGAACCGGTAGTGCCTCCCCAACGCCCACTCCCCATCGAAGGAAGCCTTGTCCCTGTAGCCTTCTGACGGGAAGTCTTTAGAGCTGTCCAGGTCGCAGGAGTAGCGCGAGTAGTGGTGGCCAAAACCGTTCTCCTCTGCGGGCTTGGAAGAAGCGTGTTTCGAACCCGGCTGGTGGGGAGCAGGTGGGCTCTCCTTGCGGAGAGAGTTTGACCGAGTCACAGAAATGCTGTCAAACTCTTCGAGCAGACCATTGATTGAGACATCCTTCTGAGGTCGACTCCCTCGCACAATGGTCTGCAAAACAGGAAACGGGGGTTTTAATGAAGCTACCACCAGGGCGGCGCACATGAGCACAATAGACATAAACTGTCTTTCTGTAGCAGGACTTGATTTTGAATCATTGGCTGCTTAAATGTAATAAATAGCAAAAGACCCACATATTTCTCAGGATTCAAGTGTTCACTGAGCAAAATATACTAGCAGGGTTGACATGCAAACGACTGCTGCGAAGGCAGTACAGATAGCAGGAGGATTATTGCTTCCCCCCACACAACCACTGTAGCAGCATGAGTCACCAAACGCTTTTAATCCCAAAAAGTAATGACTCTCTGGAACCAGAACAAGATGCTGGGCATGACTGCGAGAGGTAGAGATGTGATAATTGAAGGCAGCTCCCTCTCTCTTTCAGGACTGAACGCTTCTCTGGACGTCTTTGAAACTCATACATTTTCGTTACTTACATGCAGTAACCTATTTTATCGCACCCACTGAAAACCAATTCCGTCAATGCCAGTTGTTTCAAACTGCCCCCTCCCCACATTAAAGCAAGTACAATGGGGATCAGTAAAAAAAAAATTATCATAGTGTGGAGATTTGTGGATATTTTCCTAAGATGAACAGAAGGAGACATTTCGGAGAAAGGAATTTTTACTGTTGGCTAGATATCCTCCTATAGCCTACAAGGCGAAATGTAGGTTTACAGACAATATAAGGACATCAGTGGTGAAGGTGCCCAGAAAATTGCAAGCATTCATTTGAACACCATATATGATATATAATATTACACACTTGGTAGAACATGACAAACATTTTGCACTAGGTTGCTTCCATTAACTTGGTAATAGCTAATTAGGTGTAAGTTTTTGCAGGCACTTTACAGTTGTATCCAAATATTTGCTGAAATCACTCCAACAGCAAATCCTGTGGAGGAATTTACTGGGCAAAACCTAAACCACGGCGTTGTTTGACGGTATAATGCTTTCCATAAATTGCACCATTCCGGGCTGTTCTTTGCCTTGCGCCGGATATAGAATAGGAAAATCAGTCATAGAAAATAAATAAATGGATGGATGGACATGTGCTTTAAAAATATTTCATATGTATGAAAATGTCGTTCAACTTTCACTGATATTTTATTAACCATAGATGAACACCAGACACGCTTCCGTTCATGGTCGGGTAGCCGCTCCGTGAGCGGTCCGCGTAAAGTGCTGCATTCCCAGGAGGTCACTGCTCACTGCCTGGACAGGAAATCCAGCAGCTCTGCGAATACACCAGCGGCACAGCTGCAGCGGATGCTTCGCTTGTCCGCCGGTAGCTCCGCGGAAAGACTGATAATGAAAAACAGACGCTGCACTTGAAGCTCCGGTGGTTAAATAAAGGTGAAATCAACCTGCCTGCCGCCGTTTTTTATTGCCATGTGATTTATAGGCTCTCTTAAACCTCCTACTTTAGTCGAAAACCACAGCGGGAGTCATTTCAAATCCAATTTACCCGGTTTAACACAAATGGGGACAGGGAAACAGGGCTTTTGACACGTAGGCCTATTATTATTATTATTAATAATAATAATAATAATAATAATATTAATTAATTAATAATAATAATAATAATCAGACGTGACTGTGGATACACTACAATATCCAATTTATAAAATAAACTATACATCTATAGAATAACAACATGCAACATACAAATTTATAGAATAAACTAATTTCTGTAAAATTCCTATTTTTTTCGGACACAACAGGCCATTTAGACGATACACGAATTTAAGTGTGGGCTTATATAGCCTATTGATGATGACAAAAAAGCCCATTTCCTGAGATGCCACATTTTCTTTCTGTGTCCTGTATATTGGCCGTCAACATACTGTGAACCTACTATCTTTTACAGTGTTTGATTCATTTCATGTTACATAGGCCTGATATTCAATAGAAAACCCATGTGAATGAAAATCAGTATCTGACGGTGGAAATGCGGCAGGGGGGAGGGGGAGGAAGACGAGGAAGGGAAGGTCAACCGTTCGCCAAACCGCTGTCCTAATTTTCCCATTAATTTGAATTAAGGGCTGATATTTTCAGGTGCCACTTCCCATTTTCTCCTTCGCTGCATTTTGAGCGTTTTTTTTCCGTGTCGCTCCCGGTCCCGGTGACAGTGGTCATATTTCACCGGCGTGGTGTCGGGGGGCTCTGTCCGTTGGCGATAAGCTGTAACAGATCGGCTCAGGGAGACTCCTGTCCAGTCGAGGTATTCAGGGGTGAAAAATGAGGCTTGTTTAAAGTCGGAGAATAACCTTGGTAATAATGAACTGGACAATTAGATGCTGCCCCAAGCTTTGTTCTCACAGTGCTGTCGTGGTGGGTAAAAAAAAATGCGCAGAATTACGCAGGATTTTCTACTCTTCATATTGTCCTACTTCAGCAATATTCAGTCTGACTGTTAGAAAACATGCAATGTTATAGAACAGAAGCACCGCTATAAAAGATTGTTTTGTCACAGAGGGTCCAATGCTATTTAATAAGCCGGAGCTGTTCGTTTTACGTTCATACATATTTAAAGTGTCATCTTTTGTGTGTACTTTTAAAATCACCTTAAATAAACGCAAACGTACACATATAAATCTGGTCTTTCAAGAAAAAGAGCAAATATAATATTTACATATAAAACATATTTTCAATATATAGTAAGCCTATAACATCAAATGTATTGTGTAGGATTATAAATACGAAAACAAATTGCATGCTGCCTAACTAGAAATAGAATAGAAAAGAGCCAGATACATTACAAACGCCGCAGTCTTGCGTGTGTGATTTTGTTTATGTAGTATACGTCTGTATACTGCCATGTCAGCCCTGATTCAGTACCGCCCCCGGTAGTGAGCTAATTAAGTATCTCTGGAGGTGGGTCTACATGCGGTTTGTGAATGTTGTTCCGGTATTTTAGGGATACACCTGAGTGAATCACCTCCCTCCGCTATGAAACTATATAAATGTACTGCAGAGAGACATTGGATCACTTAACAGATTCTGGATAACGCAACAGAGTCTGGATCACGCAGCACACTCTGGAATGCTTAGCGGATTATGGATCACACAACAGACTGTAACATGCATCCGGTTCCTGCGGAAAACAACGGCACCCTTCGGATGTTGTTTGAAATACCTATTGCCCGCGGCTTCTGCAGTTAATGGTGCTTATTCTTTCATTAACTCGCTGGAATGAACAGTTTCCTCGCTGCAAGCTTATCAGAAAACTTAAACTAAAGCGACGGGTTTTCGTTTTCATACGCAAAACTATTAACGATGGTTCAACACTTTGAGGAGGTGATTCATTTTATTTCTGATTTTTATTAAAAACCTGTATATTTTCACATGCAATATTAACGGTAGAAAAGCAGTTTTTGTTTTGCGTTATGTTAGTCGTATTATAACGCTCATAGGATACTTAGCGAATATTAAACCCATTCTTCAAGTTTGATCAGGTATTCACTTTTCCTCGAAGCCTAAATACTGTTTTGTACTTTTCCACCCCCTAGCGGTCATATAAACGAAACAGACTGAAGAATTATTTATACTGTGGTGACACCTAGTGGCCAAAAGGAAGAAAATCGCCTAAAAAGGGGGTGGTGGTGGTGCTGTTAGGGTCACAGAGATAACTTGGAATATTGTTTAAGGTTTTGCTGTTCCTCTTTTCAGGAACAGGCATGTTGCCTCACACCTCAGGGATCTGGGTTTGTGTCAGAGCTGTAAGTTCCCTGTGTGGAGTTTGCATCTTCTCTCTCTGTTGTCGTGGGTTTTTTTTCCAGGTACTTTGGCATCACTGAGTTACCTGTGGTGTGTGATTATGTGTATCCTTCAAAGGACTGCCATGTCATCCAGGGTGCCTGCGCCCCTGCACTGTGTCCTCTGTTGCCTGGGATAGATTCCAGGCTTACTGTGACCCTGTATCAAATTAGTGGTTGGAAGAAGCATCCATGCATAGATCCTAATCAAGTTACATGAGGAGTCTTACTTCCCTCTTATCAGGGCTAAAGTACATGAAGCATAATTCCAAGGGTTGAACAGCATTATAACTAAAATCATCCAGATGTTTTACATATTAGCTCTGGTCCGGAATGGTTCATTGCCCTGAACTGACTGTCTGACCAGTCAAATTGACTTGTCAGTTATTAAGAAATAAGGTATGAACCTATAACAATTATTAAAATTATAGTAGTTTGTTCATCCTACACGCGATCCATTTTGGTTACCGAGTGGAATAAATTCCAAACAGGCCCAAATAAGAGTTCATTATAATAGAGCCTGAACAGGTCAAGTTGAGCCAGCCTTAATTGTCATTTATTGACCGGTGAATCCACTTAGCTGTAATCAAGATAATCCTAAATAACACAATTCTGCTTACTTTTGTCCATCCTGATATGCCTTAATCAGTTTAATTACACTAACGGTTGGGATTCCTCAATATTAATATAATACACACTTAAGATTTTAACCAGTGAATTTGAAATATCATAGCACAAATGTATCAACTGTCACCCTCAGAAAAGTAATTACATTTTAATCGTAAATTAAAGTAGCCTTTTTCAAAGGTGTTGATCCGGAGACAATCACACTGTCGAGATGTTCGGGGGGACTCCCTACAGCGGATCTTCATTATATATAACAGTCTGTGTAACACACGCACTGCTGTCTGTGTGAGCGCGCTAGTTTCACCTGGACGTTAGAGGATGCTGCCAGCACATGCACATAGCTTAGCCTTGAATACGGACGAATTAAGGGCGAATCAGCTCCGTTGCCTTATGATCACTTATGATGTTCACATAATTAAGTTTTGAGGATTTTTAAAAGGCGGTCCCAAATCCACGTGCAGCCGCGGAAGAAATAAAAGATAAATGTGACAAGAGATACAATTTTGTTTTGATTTTGACATACCAAAGGCCTGTCAAGAATCGCCATTATGCGCCAAATGTACCTGCTGTTTATCTGACTGAGGCTGGTGTCCAGAGTGACTCATAAGTTCTGATAAACGTAGAGTATTTATGGGCTGTGATAGTTAACACGTCGGTAGTTAGGAAAATGTATGGCTCGCGACTAACCGTGTCACTTTTATCATTCCGCCCTTATGTACACCGATTAAAGTTGATAATTTTAGGAACCAGTTAACTATTCATTACATCTCTGCAATAACGACTGTAAAATGCAACTAGAGATTTTTTTTCAGAAGCGGATCCGTCGATGGTCCTACACGATTGAGCGCCGGACTGTTAACAGTGCAAAACCTGCCCTCAGTTTACGCGGTTAACTCGCTTGCACCACAGCTCTTTTACAGGTTTGTAAAATCTTTCATTGATTGATTGATTGTAAATATGCTTTATCCTAATCAATCTTGTTGCGTCTTAAATTACCTACAGTACTGTACAAAAGTCTTAGGCAGTCCAAAGAAATGTTCAAAGCTGTTTATCTGGGTAGCAAGTGTACTTTGGCTTAGAACAAAAAACACAATTTAACATGTGCAAATTAACAGTAACACAATAAAAACTAGTAATAATTTGTTCTGTTTTCTAAAAAGTTACTGATATGTAGTTGGATGGCTAGATGAACACCGCTTCAGTTCCCAAACTTCTCCTCAGGGGCACCTCAGCCGTTCCATTATTTTGTTAAATTTCACCAACAGCTCAATTAAATAATTCAATTAATTGGTTTAAAAGGTCAGTGACAGATTGACAAGCTGTATGAGGTGTGCTAGTGGCCAAGTCAAAAAATACATGGCTGCACTGGACGGTCGCTGCAAATACTAGGATATGATTTTAGCAGAGGTTGTGAATGGCTAAGCGGACACACTTTGACAGGCATAATATAGTTTTACACCAACACGAGGATAATCTAAACATCATTTTCTTTGCCTGTCTAAGACTTTTGCACAGTACTGTATGTCTTAAATTTGTTGGCAAGTTTCCAAACACACTGGGATGATAGAAAGAGTACTAGTTATATGATGATGATGCTGATTTTATTATTATTATTATTATAATTAATATTATTGTCGTTGTTTTTGTCTTGCGTTGTTGTCACCCTATGATCATTGGCCACCTCATTGAGTTTGGTGCCCCTGTCTCACTGTAAAAAATTCTGGAGACCACTGACTTAGTACGTTTTCACACCTATAGTTCGGTTTCTCCGGTCCGAATCAGTTGATGAATTTGTAAATTGTAGCGTTTTCCCCTCGGTTGGATTTGCTTTCACGCAGAGAAAAATCCAACCGAAGCAACAATGCGCCACTACAAACCACGTGAGAACGTTCATTTTGCTTATTGGTCAGATGTGTCTGTGGCGGGAGCAAGATAGTAAAGGAAGGAGGTCCTATGCAGCTGAACAGCTCTCACGTTTATGTATTGTTGCCTCGTTTTTTTTAACTTTCACACGACACCGTTCAGTCGACCGGTCAAATCTCTCCTTCAACCGCTGACTGAACATTTTGAAAGCTTGACAGGTGTGGTCATTTGCCCAGATTTCAAGAAGGCAACGTACATCACTGTAGACCTTGGTTCATTTATCCTTCTCCGCTTAGCTGCTGCTATACTAGTTTGCGTGCTCTACTGCATATCAAAATGCACCTGGCTACGGGACCTGTTTAGCTGAAATTCGCGGGGTATACCTGGAAACTCGGTCGGATTGAGGTCGGATCACACAACCGCTCCAGACTTCATTTGGGACCGCACCGAGACCATCTCCTCTCGTGGGTCTCGGTGCGGTTGTTTTACCTCGCACCCGAGTGTGATTACGGTGTTCACACCTGCCAAAACGAATCACACCAAGGTGGAAATCGAACCAGATTCTTCTTTAACCGGACTAAAAACTGTGTGGAAAAAACTCTATGTGGTAAGATTAGACTGGAAATATACATATTATCCACTAGGGGGCAGCCCAGTAACATTTTCGTTGCTTCTGTAGCGCAATGTAAATGACTTGAAAAGGGCATTTAAAAGGGAAAGAAAGATCTGCCCTCGTAGGTGGCTGACCGTTAGTATATGATAAATAAAAGCACATCAGTTTGATCATTCAGAGAAGCAGGCACCAGGGGATGGTAATCCAGTCCCCAATGACTCTGGGTGGCCCATGAAACCCTAAACCGTAACCCATATTAAAACCTTGCAACAGTCCAGCCCTCCCAACAGCTATCAGTAACCTCTTATTCACTCAGAATATTCTGGAAACCTAAGGAGACCCCAGATTGGACGCACACAGACACTCACAGCTAGTTGCTACACAGTCAGTGATTTTCCCAAATGTGTCTTTGGTCTGTGGGAGGAAGCTGAAGTACCCAGAGGAATCCCACGCAATCACTGAGAGAACATGCACACAGTTCCCACACAGAACCTGGGATGAACTCGACCCTGTAACCTTGGAGATGTGAATCAACAGTGCCATCTGGTGGCTGGGGGGAGGGGCTCACTCAGTAGCAGCACTGGCTCTGAGCTGTAATCCTGCTGACCTCTAGTCGATCCGTCTACAGCCACAATACAGTAAATAATCTGAGGTCATAATATAATGCCATAAAAGTAAGCATTATCAAGCTCGGTGAAACTGCAGAGCACAGGTGCCATATTTAAAAAGGGCAAATGAACCAATCTGATCTCTCCCTCCCAGGCAGGATTCCTGAGTCGATCATTGTGGATTTCCTACCTCGGACCCAATTAAGCCAAGAGAGCCACACTCCTCCCAAGCCCAGCCTTCCTGTCACAGCTACCCTCCATAAGGACAAAGCCAACCTTCCAGTTTTCCCAGCTGATGTCCTCATGCCGATTTTTCCCAAGGGTTTGGCATGTCAAACACTCTACGTTGAAAAATGGTAACAGCAAGCAAATGAAGTCAACCTGAATGAAATAGGAAAACTTCAGAATTTGAGATCGGACCGCTTTGCGCGGAAAACCTTCTGAGACAAAGGTAGACTTAGGTTTCCGCTGCTCTTCTGCGCCATCTGCTGTATCCCCTCAGCACATTGGAGGAGGGTTTTTCTCACCCTTTTCCTCTCCCGTTCACAGATCACTGATCAGAGGGCGCGTGTCACAGCACTGAGAATCAGGACGACCAGTTCTCAGCTCCGACGGGGTTGCATTGAAACACTGGGTTTAGAAAGCCGGAATTCTGGGGTGGGCCCTACAGGAACGATTCGGAGAGGGTTTGGGAGTGCTGTAGGATGGATTTTTCAGGAGAGCAAGGACGGAAAGGAGACGCGAAAACTGCATCACTAACAGGACAGAATCTACTTAAGTGTGAGTCATTTTGGGCACAGATTCAACCTGTACTACCTGAATAAACATGAAGTACCTACTTCGATTTACTTTATATGCAGATTTTGCAGAACTAATCTGTAAACTTGCTGCTTGTCAAATTATGAACTTCCAACCTGTACTGCATCCTGGTCTGGTCAACCCATTGGGCACACAGGCAGTTGCCTGGGGCGTCATCTTTTGAGGCGGTGCCAATTTAGCAAGCCGATTTCACTTGCCTAGGCTGCTACATGGACTTCAACAGTACTGACTTGTATGTATATACATGTGAACTGACTTGTCTATATGATGATGGAATATGACACAAGCCAGCTTACACATTGTTTTGCAGAAAGGACCAGATTTTAAACAATAATTCCAACAAAACTTTTCAGCACCAGCAAGGTCAGACGAGCCCATCGGGTACCTTTTCCTGTTTTTTGGCCCGTGTTCATCTCCCGATTTACAGCCTGCTCGGGAAAAGCCCATCCATCTGGCGCGTGATAGTCTGCATCAGTGAACGAAAGACGGACAGAGACACTGCCGCCAGATTAAGAGGACCTAGGGATTGGGCACAAACCCTGACACCAGCACCTCAAAAGGGGAGCAGTAATACCGGCCATCCACATGGGAGAGCAGGGTCGCTGGCATGGGCCCCAGCCAAGCGGGCTATTCAGGGGCTATTTCAAACCCCCGACACCCACGCTGCTAAAAAAAGCCGACTGTCCGTACAGTTTGCTGAACGCGGGGGATCTGAGAAAACATGCACTGGGGTTCTGAACCCCGCATGATCCGTTGTGGACTGAACATAGCGCGGTAATGCCAGCTGGTAGGCTTAGCAGGTATGAAATGAGGAAGAGGAACAGACCTGGGTATGGCTGAGAGCTGCCCTCTGTGGCGTCCTGCTGGCCACTCTCCCTCGCCCGTCCCGTTGGCCGCTCTCCCTCGCCCGTCCCGTTGGCCACTCTCCCTCTCCCGTCCCGTTGGCCGCTCTCCCTCGCCGGTTCCCCTCGCACCTGCTCCCCTCCCGGCTCCTCTCTGCTCGTGATTCACGCCGCGCAGCTGCTCTTTCGCACACGCGTCCCGCTCTCACGTTTCCGTGGCTCATTCACGCTGCCCCGCCGCTAGGGACTCGGATGCCAGCCGAGAGCGAGGCGGTATCACCCCCCCCCCCGGGATGCGGCAGTAGGCGCTCTTTGGGGCCGCCCTCGCCTTCATGCTCATCCCTCGCCCTGTGACGGCTATGTGACACGTCCACCAGATATTCATAGACATTCAGCTTCCTCAATACCATTTAGGACACGCACTTGCGTGTGATGCGTCCAAGAAACCTGGGAATTTCCGTGGTAAAATGATACATCAGCTATGTGTAACAAATAGCTATGCATCATGATCCAGATTATAAAACACAACACTGAACTACATCTGTCCATCCATCTTTTAACCACTTATCCTGGTCAGGAGGGCTGGAGCCTGTCCCAGGTGGACAGGGAACAAGGCAAAATTAAACTTCAGCATATAATACTTATATAAAAATAGTTCACTCCAGGCAGAGGTATCAGTTATGCAGGAGGATGTGAGATCTGAGCCCTTATAGCACATTCACATTAACTCCAACCAGCCCCTGAGCCACTGACTACTCCTATAATGTAAAATTAAGGACAGGGACTTTCCAAAGCAGAGGTTGTTTGTTCAAATCCCAACAGGAGCCCTGCAGTGAGGATTTAAACTGAAGCTAGGTAGAGTGGGACTCATTCTAGGGGTGACAGCAAACAGCCAAAGGATAAGGGGACGGCAGGAAGGAAGAGGAGACGCGAGTTTTAAAAAATTATGGGAAGGAACAAAATGGCAGGTCAGTGCAGAGGGAGGAACAGGAGCAGAAAAACAAATGGGTGTCAGGTCAAGGACAGGGAACAGCTCAGGGCGCGGAGGCATCAGCATCTGGGTGAGTTTATAGGGGAGCAAGAGCAGGAACCCCAATTTTATATAAGGAAACAAGATTTGTGCTTGGAAGCTAGAACTACCCCCACTGCAGGCCTGTCACAGGATGTAAGCCTGTCTGGGGGGAAACACGACCCGGAAAGATTGTCGAGGGCCCTGGGTACGACGCGGGTCGGCTCGCGAGGGCAAGCTGCGCGCCGTGCGTATGTCAGAGCGCCGATGGGGGGGAGTTATCAGCCCCTTCGCTGCACTTTCTAAAAATAAACGCGCGTTTTTGGTGGCTCGATAAGAATAACAGCCTCTCAGACGCCGATGCCTGGGGGGGTGGGGGTGGCAGCTAGCAGGGGCGACTCGTGTCACTGGAATGGGGCGGCAACCATGTTTAAAACCAGCTGCAATTTGAAACCTACAGCTCAGGCTCAGACGTGACCAGACAGCCAGCTGAAAACGCTGCGGATGCACATGGCGGCGAGGGAGAACGTGCCGAGTGGGGGTCATGACTGTAGCCTTTTCAGGGAGGGGGGCGGCGACAGGAAGAGGGCATTTATATGTACAGCATGATGACTGAAAATGAGAGTCTGCTCTATGGTTTCCTGTTTGTTTCCTGTTCGTAAATATGACCTTTTTCAGACACATGCAAATGACCAGGCATGTTCTGAAAGATTCTGGGTGGGTGCATGCAGTCTACCCCCCCCCCCCCCCCCCCCCCCCCCCCCCCCACCCTAAGAAGACACGACAACGAAGCCCCGGAGATGCCAGAGCATACC